GAGACTGATGAAGATCCCCTCCCTAGGATTCTCAGAAGAAACACCCATTCATGTACTGTTTATTATACTTTAAAAGTTAAAAAACAAGTGAATGTGAAGAATTCTTTTTTTTTTTATTCAGGCTGAAGAGTGACCTCAAGATGTGGGAAAGTTGTCTATTGCTTATGTTATTTTTACACCCACTTTTGAGTGCTTTGAGGCTACATTTCCCCTGAGTTATGACAGATATTGCCACCCACCTCAGTTCTTCCTGCCTCTGCCCTAACAGAACCTCTTTGTTGTTTTATCTAATCAAATTCAGAGCTTCTACTATAGTTGGCTCTCTAGGCTGTTCAAAGTGGTTATATTTCTGATTTCCCAGGCTTCAGAAGGACTAAAAATAACCAAAGAAGAATCCGAAATGGAAGGCTGAAATCTCTGCCAGCATTTTGAAGCGACCTACTTAGAATTCAGAAACAATTGCCTACAACAGACAATCCCAAAGCTTAGTTTCTGTATTGACATATTGGATAAGACCATGGTAGGGAGTTGCACTGGACCATAGGAAACGATCTTGTACTGAATCAGATCATTGGCTAACAGGGTACACTTCCAGCCTTACCTGGAGACAGGGAGAGGAGGGAATCAACTCACTTTGCATTTAAAGGCAAAACTAGTTAATTCACAGTTTCTGAAACAATATGAGAACCGAAACAAACTTCTCTGAATTTTGTATACCGTTCTTCAACCAGCCAATTTTTACCAAAATATATATATTAGGGAGAGATGTGCGTAAAATTAATATATTAGTGAAAATAACATTTAAGAAATGCATTATATTAGGGATGATGGTTGGAAAAATATGTACTTGTCACAGCTGCATACAATTCACAAATTGCTGCAGAAATATGGAGAACTCTAGATTATAAAAATTAGAAACTGAGATCAGAAATTGACATATCTGTCTGTGCCTACTTGGAGATGTAAAAAACAAAACAAAAACCCAAGCCTTTGATGTTCTGCAGTGTGTGTGTGTGTGTGTGTGTGTGAGAGAGAGAGAGAGAGAGAGAGAGAGAGAGAGAGAGAATGAAGCTATACCATGCTTCTGTAGAGCAGTGCAATCAGATGGAAACTGTCCTGAAACAGATGGATTGGGTTTTACGGACTGGGATCTGAAGTGTTCTGCACATGCCATAGGGCTTCAGCTCCCTTTGCATTCCTTAAGTTTCACAAGGTAGGGGTGCCCCATGAGGTATGGGGCAGCTACTGTCAGAAGGAAATCTCACCAGTTACATTCTTTGGGCTTTAACATTTCAGTGGCACCCCCTTGCCTTCTGTTGTTTGTCATTGTTGTGGCGGCCCCTGCAATGCCCTCTCAGCTTGGTGCCCAGTGAAGGCGAACTGGTCATGCTCCCCTAACTCCACCTCTGATCTCACCCGTTCCTATCACATGCCTATGGAAGCATTTTCCACTTGCACATGAGGGTGTCTGGATTCCAACACAAGAGACTATTGTATAATTTACTGCGCGTAGACTGAAACCCTTTTTGAAGCATATTTGGAAGCAATCATTAATAATAATAATAAATATTGTTTAGCAGCTACAACTAAGCTTTGCTCAAAAATAAATATAAACAGGTGGTCTTGCTCATAGCCTTACAATCTGAATATCAGATTTATTTATTTTTTGTCCCGTATTTTTTTAATGCAGTCACAGTTTTCCAGAAATCATAAATGGTCAAAGCCACACATCATTTGTAATTTTGGAATAATGAGCAAATGATGTTGAAATCTTTTTTCCGAACTCAAGAACCTCACTCCACTCCAGACATTTCATGGCTATTCTCTGGCTGCTTTCCTTATAGTTTCAAAACACAAGCTTGGAAATATAACCAGAAGCAGCCATTACACCAGGCAGACTCTGGCCCTGATAGGACTTATTCTGGGTGAAGCAGTCTACTACTTTTATTGCTTGCTTCATATATTGAGGAGGGGAGAATCAATTCACACAAACATGTCCCGGGGAGTGCCATGAGAGCCAGTGTTATGATGTGCGAATAACATCTATTGAATTTACAGGTTATTTTTCATTTTTACAAAAATGAACGCCTCCCAGGAAGCTAATGGTAATTCTGAGTGCTATGTGGCTTGTACGTGTGCGGTAAGCCCTTTTGTTATTTTTGGTTGCAGATGCTGTGTGTTATTTTTATTGCATAGTCATGTAAGGAAGTAGCAGCAGTGGCCACAAACAGAGAGCACAGTTTAAGGAAAATTCTCCATTCACTGCTGTTTGTTTGCTTTTCATCTCGTATGAAACTTCTAACCCTTTATTTTTTTAAAAAACAACAACACATGGCTTTGAAAATGGCCTAAGATTTATTATCATAATATCTGATTTCACATATTTTCAAGTTCAGTCCTGAAATACTATCTAATCAGATGCCTCAGGCAAGCTCAGCAGCTTCCCCCAATTTCTCTTTTTTAAAGCTTCATCACCACTTGGGCATATTTCTGTTTTGGAAATAAAACATACAATGTGCGTGTTTACACACACAAGGACACACACTACATTACTGCTGCAGTGTTCTATCATAAAACATATTGTTTAACAAATTCTGTAGAAAATATCCAAGAGTGATCTCACTTTGGGGTACTTTCCCCCTTTTTCTCTTAAAAAAAACTTTATTATTATGATGGTCATTTCTCATACAGAATGGTCGTTAATTGACATAAGCACATAGAAAATGCAGTAAGAATAATGAAGGCAAAAAGTAGAAAAATAAAATTAGAATACAGAGGAGAGGTGGAAACCGGGAGACAACTGAGACTTCAATGCCGCATGCAATTATCACATATAAGAAGAAAAGGGTGAGTCAAGTTAGTTCTCAATAAAGCCTCTCCACATATTTATCTGGTTTTGCTGCAACATTAGCTACAGATACCTGAATCTATGGCATGTATAGCAAGGTTTGGAATAATTCTTTATTGGGATGAGCAAATAGAAAGACCTCTGTTTTCTATACTTGGAAGTGCAGCCTGCTGTGAACTGAACAACAAAGCCCAAGTCTTGAATTTTCACTCCTGCTGCCTTAGGCAATTGTAGCCTTAGACTTCAAGTAACCTAGCCACAAATTTGTCAGAGGACCACCAGCCCAGTCTCTACTGAACAAAGCAGAGACAGATGGGGCCATGTTGAGCAGTGACACTGAAAATCCATTCCAAAACAACACATTGTTTTACAGTTCTGAAATGTTGCCAACTCTACTTTTTTCATGCTGTTGCCAATGTAACACACTTATTTAAGATTACTTCAGTTTTGGTAAACCACTCTAGCATCTTGGCTTCACCATAGAGTGTCTTAGATTGTAAAGCAGAGAAGAGGAAACGTATGGCCATGCTGCTGTTGTTGGACTCCAACTCCCATCAGCTCCGGTCAGTGCAGCCATTGATTAGGGAGGATGGGAGTTGGAGTTCAATAATATCTGGAGGGCCACAGGTTCCCCACTTGTTGTAAAGTGTGTGCAGCTGTACACAAGAGGCCTGGGCTGTGATCCTGAACACTACTGGCGAACAAGTCCTATTGAACATAAGAGGACTTACTTCCCTGTATGAGTACATAGGATAGTGTGGTTTCTGGCTATCCCCACTTGCTGCTTTGCTGCTTGAAGAAAACATCTCTGTATCTTCCTCTGACTTTTACCTTCTTTCCATTAATAGTTTGCCTCCAGTTTCAGAGTGTGATTGCTAGAAAGCAAATCTATCTTCATGCAGAGCAGTGTAGAGGTGAGTGAACATGCAAACAGGGGGCAGGATCATGATGACAGGCCCCCCTCTAAGCTACACACATTCAGTTTGTTATCTATTGATGTACACACAACCTCTCTCATGGACTTCAACACTGAAATGCTGTACATATACGCCATCTCACACTGAAATGCTCCACACAGAAACTTTCCATGCACACACCTTACACTGAAGACCCCTCCCCCGTATCTTCCCCCCACTGAACACCCCACACCCTGCCCCACATGGAAATCTAATGAAAAGTGTGGGTGCATGAATGGCAAGTTATAAGCAAGCAGTTTGAGAGTTGCACAACATGCATGTCGATTACAAGACGGATTTGTTATGGCATTGTCCTTAGTTTCCCAGCTTTGTGAAGATTGAGCCAACACTAGATAGCATTAACTCTGTACTCTGATGTTAAACTGGAAGGTCTTTTTAATCGTAAGATTTTATCACAAGATTTACACCAAAGCCTATGCACACTTCCTTAAAAGGAAGCCCCACTTAGTTCAAAGGAAAATTGCTCCCAAATTTAATCCTGGATCTGGCATTTCAGAAACAGGCTGCCACCATATTGTCTATGTTACAATCACCACAACTATTTTTATTTAGCCTTCCAGTACTTCCTTTGCAGCGGTGTGATTTTCACTGAACCCCCTCTGGAAGCCTGAGGGGGATGCATTCCTGGTATGTGTCGTGGGGGGAGCCTTTCGCCCTCCAGATGTTGCTGAGCTCATCTCCCAACATCCTTGGCCACTGGCTATGTTTGCTAGGCACGATCATCTTCAATGCTAAACGCTTCTATGATAGCAAAAGCAAAAACAGAATTCTCAAGAAAATGTGACACAAGGAGAGTCAATGATGCCTGCAGAATGCTTTTACGGTGCTGATGTTATCGTCACGGCCAGTAGCAAGCTGTCTTAAGAAGTTGAAAGCGAACCAAACTCTCAAAGTTTCCTTTTGCTCACCTACGTCCATCTCCAGCCGCCGCCCCACACCCAGTTCTCCCCGTGCATTTTTCTCCTTCCCTCCGTTAGGCGGCTCCTGGCTTCCCTAAGCGCTGCATTGGCGATGCTTCCATTCAGCCCCCAGCCCCCGTCCCTCCGAAGCGCTGTGTTTCTTTCCTGGATTATTGCTCGATTTAAGACACAGGGCCGGTTCCTGGCTTCAGGCGACGACTTCCTTTTCCCCTCTCCCCAGAGCAGAAGAGCTACCCATAGAAATCAATGCAGAAATTCCGATCTGTTACCATGATGGCTGCGTCTGAGCACCAGCGCGCCCTGCCTCGAGCAGGCGGCGGCAGCAGAAATCAAGCCTTACTACATGGGTGTGCAAAACGGTATTTATTTATTTAGGTTGTAAACATTTAAAATGCAGCGCTTTGCTCTGCCCTCCTTTATCCTCTCCAGCAAGTGGGGTCACGCGCTGAGATAAAACGGGTTCGGAGTTGTTGTTTTTAATTCGCGCGCGGGCTGCGAGAGGCGAGGAACCGTTTGTACCACGTGACGGCGAGAGGCCGGTCTCTTTCCCTTCCCCCCTTGTAGATTTCCCTCCCCAATCGGCGCTGCCTCACGTGACCATCACGTAGCCCGTAACTCTACGGTGGCCCGGCGAGTTCCGCTCGTTTCCTAGGAAACGGCGGCTGACGCCTGGCGCGGATGGGGCCGAGTCGCTCCGCGGACCCTCGTCGTCCCATGAAGAGTTCCGCCTCGGCAGGTGAAGTCCCGCGAGGGGATATAGAAGCGAGCCGTCGCCTTCTCGGGGTGGTGGTGAGAAAGAAACGGGCCCCTATGACGAGGCCTCTCAGCCCTGCCGGAGCGGGGGGGGGCTGGTCCCTGGGAACTTGAAGAGGGAATAAGCAGATGCAAAAAGGCTAGAGCTGTCAACAGGTGTGGCAGATGCGAGGAGCCTTTGTCTCCCTGTGAATCAGGTGTAAAGCCCCCCTCCCCCCGCCGCATTTCCTACTTCTAAGCGCCCTCCCTCGCTTGCCAGCGTTGGAAACAGAATGCTGGGCACTTAAAATTGCCCTCTTCCTCATCAAGCAACGCAAATCCATATGGCTCATACCTCAAGCTGCTCATATCCACCTGTATCTATATGCAAGTCTGCATATACAGACTTGGGCCACGCAGTTGAAACTGATCTCTCTGATTTTCAGTACGGCTAATTACGTTTAGTAGGACAGGTGGGCTCAGGCTGGCAGCTCAGGAAATCCATAAGGTGGCAGACCTATGCATGCTTTCCTGGGAGTAAGCACCATTGCACTCAAAGGGCTGAGTTAAAACAGGTATAGGATTATAATGTAAGCTTTCCTTAGACACTTTGTTAAATTTCTTTGATGATAAATGCAGATAAATTGAGGCACTACAGATGAAGGAATAGGATTTTTAGTTTTTACAAAAGGCCGAAATATTTTCTTTCTTTTTTCTTTCTGTACTTAGTTGTAAAGCAAACAATATTATTTCTTGTGCCTTTTTTTATTTAAAAAAAGCAGATTAGATTATGTGTCATGAGAGGTGGCATTTGTAATCTTCTTACCGTGTTTTCTGAGACTTTTTCCATGTGCTTACATAACAATACCTTATTTAATTGAATTCTCTGCAGTCATCCCTGTTGTTTTATATTGTAGTGCCATGTAGGTTTCAGAAGAACAATGAGCAAGATGTGGAAAATATGCTTTGTGATAAACTTCCCAAATTGGGATTTGTTTTTGATATTTTGTGTCGGCACTCGACACATCTAGAGAGCTTTAAAATGTCCTATTAGAGACCAATCAAGACACTTCTCATTTACTTTTTATATATATAGTATATATTCCTGGATTATGAATTACTTGAAGAAGGTTTAAAGGCCTGTTGTTCACCCATATTGGCTCAGGAAGGGATTTTCTTTGAGAGGTAAGTTTGCTTGTATTCATAGTGACAATTGCTTTATTTACATTTTGGGAAGTGTTTCTATTATTTAGTTATCTGAACAAAAATATTTGAGATATTTGACTAGAACATAGCTAAGGAGATATCCAAGTTGCACAACATAGCAAAACATGGTACACCTAACTATTTCAATCTCAGGATCATTTCTCTTGTGTTAGTTGAATGGAGTGGGTGGCTTATAGGAAATAATTGTTTTGTTTGCTTGTTGTTTATTTATATGGAGCCATCAGCATTCAATGTGTTTTATAGAGTAATGTAACAAAAGACGGGTTTTGACTTACAAGATAAGAATTCATTTTAATAGAATTACATACCCTCCAACATTTCTCCTATGAAAATAGGGACGTCCCATTCCATAATGATAATTTTACTAGATAGATAATTTATTACGGTTGGAGACCAGCTTATAAAACACACTTGGGGGTACAATCCCAGAAGGAAAACAAACATTTAAAACAATGTACAACAATAAATTTAAAATTTATAAATGCAATAAGTGTATAGTATAGACACTTAAAACTTTAAGATAAGCTACCGCAGAGAGATAACAGTAATTTTACTATTTATACCACACACATCTTACTGGGTTGCCCCAGCCACTCTGGGCAGCTTCCAACATATATAAAAACGTAATAAAACATTAAGCATTTTTTAAAAAAACTTCCCTATACAGGATTGCCTTCTGGTGGCTCAGGGAGGGGGGGTGTCAGATAATTCCATACCCTCCACCATTTCTCCAGTGAAAATAGAGACATCCTAAGAAAAAGCGGGACATTCCAGGATCAAATCAAAAACTGGGACGGCTTCTCTAAGTCAGGGATGTCCCTGGAAAATAGGGACACTTGGAGGATCTGGAATTAACTCATGGAAGACATGGTTTTCAGTCTCTCTTGTGAGAAATGACAAAATTCCAGCAAGCTTACTATCTTCCACGGATAGAACCTTATGTAAGAAGAGCTTTCATTTTAAGACTCTGGTATTTACATAAGAGTGCAGAAGTACGTGACTTTCGGAGCATGACTTTAAAGAGCATTAGAGTTCTGCTGGGTCAGACCAAGGGCCTGTCTACTCCAGCATGAATGGTTTGTTAAAGGTTGTCAAACAAGTATGCTAAGAGCAGATTGGAAGGTTGTACATTAAAAATTCAAATACTTGGCGGCAGTAATTTAATTTGTGCTTTATTCTGTTTTTGTTGTTCATGCTGTTTCTTTTATTATCTACTTGGTAATTTCAGGGATTTGCGAGTTTAAACGCAGTTGCTGATTATGGCTCACCGGTTTTCAAAAGAAGACCTAGATGAACAGTTTGAACAGTTTTTGAAAGAGGTATTGTTACACTTTTTTTTCTTTACTGTATTCTTTCAGAGACATACCTGCAGTTTGGCTAAACTTATTAACATCTATGATTGGCTTACAAGAGATGAATTCCGATTTATGGAATTAACTTTTGGAAGACAGAGCTTTCATTTTCTTTTGTGAGAAATGGCAAAATATACATCTCTCTTTAGCTTGTTCCTAATTTTTACAGAGCTTGGTGTAAACAAACAGATCATGTTCTTTATTAGTGCGTTTGACTGTTAAGTATTTCCTGTAAATGAAAGGTTCTGTAGCTAGTCACTGTTAGATCTGTGACAGTGGGTGATCCATCAGTGAGACTCTTGGTTATCATTCTTTATTGGATACCATAGCAGGGATCCTGTTGCTTCCTTTCTAATGAGAGGAGAAGCAACTACAGTGTGCACATCATAACCATTGCCATATATATGTTAGGGTGATGTAAGTTCAGCAGTTAATGCACATAGCAGCCAGCCATTCTGCACATTCACCAGGCCTCATTGAGAATGTGCACATAATCTGTCCAGTGTTTTGCACTCTGGATTCAACAATGGAATTGATTCAACTAACTGGTCCTGCTAGTGAAAGCCTTATAAAGGACTTCCGCTAGTGTAATGGAACTTCCCCCCACCCTTCCCTGCCCAGCACCCAGATCAGCTCTACAGAGAACTCCAGAACAGTGCACAGCAGGAGGAGAGGAGAGATTGTTTCATCAGACAAGCAGAAATGCTTCCACAGTTAGAATGTTTGTAACAGCATCATGTTGAACTCCTCCTTCTATACGTAGGGCAGTAGTCAATGCTAGTCCTACTCAGAGTAGACCTATTGAAGTTAATGGACACGACTGACTTAAGTTCATTAATTTTTAGTGGGTCTGCTCTAAGTAGGACTTGGTTGACTACAACAGCCTTGGACACTGTGCATATCTCAACTGCATTTTGTACATTCTCTGGAATCTTGAGGAATGTGTTTATCTGTATTTTAGTACTGCCCCCCATGCTGCTATTAAGCATAGTCCTATATGGCATGTCTACAAGCACATTGTGTGTGTGTGTGTGTGTGTGTGTGTGTAAGTGTAACTACGCACTTGTAACCCACACATTGTGTGGACACTCAGAGTTGTATCCAACTCACGATAGACCCACTGAAATAAACAAAGTTAAGTTAGTCATGTCCACTAATTTCAGTGTGTCTACCCTATTACTTAGTTGGATGCAACTCTCATCTTTTGTAAAATGCTTCATGGTGTGTGCCATTAATGAGGCAACCTGATTTAATTACACTGTATGCTACTTTTTCAATGCTACTATCATGCTACATTTGGCTTTCCAATAAGAACCATTGTTATTTAGATCCAAATCTCACCGCTAACTCTATCTAACTGCTTTGTATAGTCCATGATTTTGCACGGACATACAGAGGTGGGGTTTTTTTTTTGTCTTTTTATTTTTTGTCTGTCAAACCGGGGCTTGGATGATACAGCTAAAAAGGCCTGGATAATTCCTTTCTTTTTTCAGTCTTTCTCATTATGGTCATGTTCATGCAATTTATATATCAGGGACCTGTAATGCCATTTTTTTCTGTAAGTGTTTTCTTTCCCAGCTGTTACTCTACTGTTTTTGAAGTTGACAAGATGGCTAGACATAGAAGGTTTCCAGATCTCTGTTGAAACATCTGGGGACATTTCAGTTTCTTCAGTTACAATGCTCTGAGGAGTGTCGGCATCATCCTAGTTCCACTTGCTGAGCAGAGGATGCAGTTAGTCGCAAAAGAAATAGCAAGTGATAACAGAACTTGCATCAAGCACCTGTCAGTAGCTCCCAGTGCAGTTGTTTTGTGGCTTCAGTGTTGCATTTGAACTTGTGCTCTGCCTTAAAAACAGAACTTAACTTTGACTTTGTTATTTATATGCTATGCATTAAAATTATATTAAAAACATAAATCTGTTTTCTCTGCATAGTTCAATAGCTTCGAAAAGTAGAAATAAATGCTGTTATTTTGTCTTTACCACTTACTTAAGGGCTGCTTCGTATGCTATGTTTCAATACTTGAAATGTCTAGAAAAAGTCTATACTATGTACATTACTGTGGGTTGATTCAGATGTAAGACCAAACAATGGCTTATGTTTAGACTTTTTTTAAAGAAAAACCTTTAAAATCTATTTAATTAAAATCATTTCTAAACTTCTTGATACTTAAAAAATATTCTAAGCAGCTCACAAGCAGTACAGATCAACATAAAAGCAGTGAAATAATCTCATAATAAATAAAAGATAAAACGGAAGTCCTGTAGTTAAGTGTTCAATCTTATGGATCAGGAAAAGCCTGCACAAACAGATACATCTTTACAAGACTTCTGAAGCAAATAATTAATGTTGTGTCATATACAGCAGAAGAAAAGACATTCCAAAGTGTGAGGAAAACCTTGGAAAATGACGATTTTTTGGTCACCACCCTATGATATTCTGTAGTGTGCAGTGCTAAGTGATCTTAGAAGTCTGCAAGCAATCCTTTGGGTAATTGTTGTGTTCTGCACATGGTTGTACAGAAAGTCCTTGGCATATGTCTGCAGGTTCTGCTACAAGTACATAAGCGTCTTTCTTTCCCTTCCCAGAATGACAGTGATGAGAAATACTGGGGAGTAGTCAGAGATTAATTTGTCTGCTAAAACAGAAGAAGAGAGGCTAGAAACCGCACAAATACCACACTTTGCCATAGAATATCAGTACTCTGGTCCTCCGGTAAATTACCATGGAATTGATCATCAATATTAGTTAAGACCCATTGAATTGCTGCAATATGCTCAACTCTCTTTGAGATCAGTGGGTCTTAAAAAAGCTTAACTTTGAACCGGTCTCATGTCCTATTTTATGGAGACCCAAGAAAATAAACCGTAACAGCACAAGTAATTCTTGCTTCTGATTCAGTCCCTTTCAGATGATTCACTTGGAAATGAGCCAAAGAAAAAATCCAGCATTCCTGACTCTGTTGGGCAGGCCACAAATAAAGAACCGAAGAAGAATCCTGTGCCGTGGTGGATATCTGAGGATGATTCCGATAATGGTAGTGAATTCTATTTGGATTCTGTGTAATGTTTTTACTACTTGTGACCACAAGATGGCAATCAAGGCCTTTTGTGTTCATAGTTTTTATGATTATTTTTTTACAAATAGAATTATTGAGGTTCCTGTGTTAGATAAAGTAATTTTCAGTTTTAAAGATGCTGTTCTTAAAATACAGACTACTCAAGCAAGCCATTGTGGAACCTGTGTGTCAAAGTAGGTGAGCGATGCAGCCTCTGCAGGCAAAAACATTTTCTCTGAATACTGTTTGATTTTACTTATGCAAAGTTCTTGTACAAACATCTTGTTTTAAGAAAATGACTGTTCTGCATATTGAGCGCTTCTTTCCAGGTCACATACTGGTTCCAGAAGCACAAATTAAGTAGGCTCATATTTAGTTGTGAATGAGTTTCTCTCTTATCCCTAGTCAAGTGCAGTAGTGCCTAAGGAGTGAATTCACATTCTTTTGGGCCTCATATTTGGTGAAGGATTTGCAAGGTTACCTGAGGACAAAAGTGTTGCATGGAGAGTGCAGTCAGGAATGTATGGCAGCTGATTGAGATAGTGTACTTTGATTCCTTTGGTCTTCAGCCAAGGTTGCATTGGCCAGCGGTCGCTGTTTCCAGTCATGGACTTCTATACTTGGCATGCTAAGACACTGATGCTGTCTCAAAGGTGCTTGCCCCTGCCATTTATTAAATCCTTTTTTGGACTTAACTTGCTTGTTTGCTTTTTGGTAACCTCCCCCCTCAAAAAAAAGAAAATTGACATGATGTCTTCCTTGGCTTTCTACATATGTTGTTTTTCTCTCATTTCCCAAGTTGCTAAGACAAACAGATTTATCAAACAAGAAAATGAGAAGAAACTCATTGGGGCAAAAGATGAAATGATTGAAGATAGTGAAAACAAATCACCACTTTCAAATAACCAGTCTGGTACTAGATTTAGTTACCCCTTTTTAGAGATCAGCTTTGCAATAGTTGTGCTATATTGCAAGTCAAAATCAATTATTTCTGAGAAATAATGGTTTTCCTTTGTTTGATACCAGTTCTGATCAAACAAATATTGGCTTTAATTATGTGTGCCATCGCCAACAGTATTTGGTGAACGCAACTTTGACTTGGGTGAAAAACCTCGTGCTTATTTAGGCAACATACAAAAGTATGTAAATATGGTATGAATTAATTGTGTAATCGTGAGCTATGTGTAGAGATGATGCATGGTGCAGTGCTCAGCCAGGAATTAGGATTGGACAAATTCAATCTGAATATTAGACCAGTTATTATAATCACACCCTTTATTCATTTTTACTGTTAAGTTTCATTGCAAACAGTGCTTGAGCAAACCAGTTTTGTTTTGTTTTTTACACTGAGCATTCTGACTCCATGAACATGTGCAATATTTCTTGTAAAGCATTAAATAAATAGTTTGGTGTATACTTCAAGGAAGCGTAATTTAGCCAAAGAACTGTGTGGTGTTGTTTTAGAGGAGTTGTCTAATCGTGGTGCACTTCTAGCTGCAGTGTGAAAATAGCTAGATATTGAGTCATTTTTTTCAGCTTGGTAACAAAATTTACCCTTCTTTTTTTGGTCCCTAACCAATTACCTGTACACTTGTGACTGTTTGTGTGTAGTTAAAGTAGTTGCTCCTAAACCCTTTTCAAGTGCATCCCACAGCAAGGCACTGGCTAAGTACAAAACACTGGAAAAATCCCTTAAGGCAAAGAAAAGTGTGTGTTCTAACAAAGAAGAAATCTCTGCTAACAACAACCATGACCATACTAAGGGTAACAAGCCTAAACTGGTTTTTCAGTATGATTTTTAAAATTATTGTTTAAAAGAACTATTCACACATATAGCCTTTTCGTTAAAAAGTGCTACTGAATGTAGTCTGTTCTTTTTTACAGCTATAAATTGTTGTCTGTTTTTAACTTTTTTATATGGCTTTTATTGCATGTTTTATATATTATTGATGTAAACTGCTTTGATGTTTTTCTTTTTATAGTACAGCAGAATATAAATATTTTTTATTAATCAATATACCACTGAATGGGCTTCATTAAGTAAGCAGGGCTCTGTTTCCTGGCCTATGTTTGAATCTATTCATTTTGCAATTTATGAAATATCCTAGGGTTTTTTTTATAAAAAATCTTTCAATGATTTATTAATAGAACTTCCAACCTAGTTATCAGCTATAATGTAGGAGCCAGTGGTGCAGGAGTTAACGTGAGTGAATGTCTATTATTTTTAGAAATAATCTAGAAAATGAAGTTGCCAGGATATCGCGCTTTGTGAAATAGAGTTGTGAAAGCAAAGATCCATACTTGGAATGGAGAGAGCCCTGTGCACTGGCTTCCATGTGGGCCTTGGGGATGTACTGATTATCTCTTCCAGTTGCAGCCCTCAAGAAGCTTTTAGACAGTCCGTAAACTATACGGACCAATGAAGGGATTTTTGACACCTTAGTAGTGCAGTGCACTTTTATTTCTCCTCCAAAATAAAGATTGCTTTCTCCCACATGCACCTCCCCAAATCTTGAGATCCTCTTCAGAGACGCTGCTTACTAGGGAGGGGACTTTTCAGTAGTTGAGCTGCAGCTATGTGACCCACCTCCCTGGTGAGACTCGCCTGGCACTTTGTTTTTTATTATTTTGGTGCCTGATAACACCTTTTGATTTTTTTCAGGCCTGAAAAAATGTGAGATTTTTCACAATTGTAAACCATTGTTTACATGTTGTGCATTGTTTGGCCTTACAGTGAAACCGGTTTTATCTCTATCCCTGCTGACGTGTTGTTTTTAAAGCTATGATTTGTTTTTTTATGGTATCTGTTTTATGTTTGCAAGGCATCCAAAGATCAGTCTTGTGTGGCAACCTATATAAATTCCAAAAATAAAACTGTGTTCCAGCATGGATTTTTATGTCAGACTTTTCTTCCCCCTCCTCCTTTTGTTTTAAGGAATACGCAGCACAAATAGTAGTTTTCTGAAGTCGCGAAGGCTTTCTCATGCTATCATGGAAGTAGACGAAGATCATGCGGGAAGCATTCAGCTTCAGCAACCTAGTGGGGTTTCGGTTTCTTTAAGCAAAGATAGCCTGGAAACTAACGGTAAAATTGCTTCAGACCTCAAACTTCCCTCTCCCCCAGCCCTACTCAGCTTTATTTGGCAGATTAAATAACTGTTAAATTATATGTTGAATATGAACTGACCCCCTTAAAATAATATGATACTTATTTTTACACTGGCACTAAAACTTGGGAGATGCTGCAATCAAATGATGTTGTATAGTGCTGTTCAGGCCTTTAGCGTTCTCTGAATTGCTCTTATTATAATTACTTCAGTCCCCAGTCTGTTCCAGCCATAGGAGCTCTGGTGCACACATGCAGCTCTCCTGCTCAGAACATCTTCTCTGTTTCTATGAGGTTATACACAACTACACCAGAGTTTTGTGAGCACTCAGTGCCAGTTTCATAAACACGCAATAAATGTATAATGCTCATGAAACTCTGCTATTTTTAGAATAGGCTTGTTTAAGATCAAGTCATACATTTTTGGGCATTATCTCTGCATTTTCTTGATTTCTCACTTAAAGCAGTGCCTGGACACTAGACAATTTCCCCCTGCAATTACCTTCTTACGAAAATTGATATTAATTTACTGTACTTATTTATATTCTGGTGCGTTTAAATTTAGATTCTGTTGTGGCTTCAGGGCCTCATGAGATCTTTTTGGGAGCCGGATTGGATACTTTAGAAGAACAAGAGGAAAAGGAGAAGTTCTTTGCTGATCTTGAGAAAGGAGCATCATCTACGATAGACTATTCTAGATTGAATAAGGAGCTGGATTCCAATGATTCTGAAGGATTAAGAGCATTTCTACGGTAAAGTTAAAATAAAAATCAATAGTTCTAGTAATATTCAGAACTCGAAACATTCATGTGATATTTTCAGTAATAGTTTCTTAAGCAGGGCATAATAATATCCAGTTTTCTAATGATTAAACCTCAATTCTCTGCTTTGAACTGTGCAAATTAAATCTTCCTGTTATGGCTCACCGTATTCAGGATTCTGATTGAATTTGTGGCTAACCTGTAGGCCTCCAGCTGTTGCTGGACTCCCAACTCCCATCTGCCCCAGTCAATGTGGCCAGTACTTGGGGTTGATGGGAGCTGTAGTACAACAACATCTGAAGGACCACAGGTTCCTCACCCTGTTTTAAAACGTGACTTAATTGTGAGTGTATTCCTCACCCTCTCTTATGACTCCCCTCTGCAGATTCTGCACACAGCAGATTAGCCACAGTGTGGCTTGTCATGTCACATGGACCCAGATAATGGTTTTTTTGTTTCAAACAAGCAGTAAGTCAACAACAACAACAACAACAACAACAACAATAATAATACTATCGCCTGTTTGTGCTGCACATGGAAGCAGGAGGGCTGGGAGGCACATTTGCTATTAAGCCAATGTTTAAAACAGACCATGGCTTAGCGTCAAGAGTTCTGTACTACTTGCAAAGTTGTCTATTTTGCATAGTTTAGATTTTTAAAATTTTTTTAGAAGGATATGCTGTTAACTACCAGAACAGCAGAGCAGTCTGTACTATGAGCATGAAAACAAATTTGTTCTGTCTAATACTGTTGGGTGAGAGACGTTTTTCTAGAAGTAATGCTGTCATATTTTGCAGAAATCACTCTGAAGCCAAACAGGTAGAAGAAGGCAATGAAGATGAACCGAGGAACCATGAAAAATCTGGTAACTGTACTTCAGTGTTTTATTATCATTTGCTTTATAGACAGCATTTTATGGACAATAATTTGACTTACGAAGTGAATGATCCGTGCAGGTCAGGTCACAATAGCCTAAAGCTGTAGTTACCAGAGACAAATGAAAGCATATTGCTGTCTGCCATGGGTAACAGAGTGCTGAAACAGATATATTGGGGTGGGGGGGACTTTCTCAGCCTGAGGGCCACATTGTCTCATGAACAACTTTCTAGGGGCCTCGTGGATGGAGCCAGAGACAAAAGTGAGTGGAGCAACATACATGACTCTTACCCTTGAGCCATAGGATACATTCCTGCGACTCAGAAGTTCTAAACACACACACCTACCACTTTTAATCCAGATAAGCAAAAGGCATTATCTCAGTTCAGGGATACACTCCAGTCATGCAAAAGCACTCAAGGAAAGTATGGAGCAGAACTGGTGAGGGGTGGGGTCTGGGAAGAACAGGGTGTGGCCTGGAAAGGGGCGTGGCCTGGGGGGAATTCCAAGGTCTAGCCAGAAGGACCTGGAAGGCCTCTCTCAGGCCTGATGTCTTCCAACCCAAGATAAAAGTTTTAGTCTGATCAAAGAAGGTTGTTCTTACAATCTAGCGGTACATGTGAGAAATATTACAGAACTGATGGATGCTGAAGAACCTTTTTCAATGCTTACTGCAGAATATCAGTTTTTTTGCAGAGCACAGTGTGCACTTTGGAAGGGACTCTGTTCCAAATGAATGAGGGTTTAAGTATTGGGGTTTTTCATGCCATCTAGGTTATTTCTGCTAGAAGGAGGGTCGAGAGATTATCCCTACCCCTAGAACCTTTGTCTAATACTTGAATTTGTGCAGTTCACAGTCTGCTGAAGGAGGGGGCTGAGCTGCTTACTCGTGAATAAATCTGCAAATAAAAGGGTTCCAGTCTGTTTCTTGTATCCATCTCTTCCTGGTCATTTGATCTGATCCAAAGAAGAGCTATATAGAGATGTAGGGGGATGGCTGGTCCTATTTTCTTACAAAGAATTAACCGTATGCCTTGCGTCACACACATTCCAGGTGATTATAGTGAAGATTTTGAAGAAGGTTCAGAATCTAATGAAGACAATAAAGCTGAGCAAGTTCTTGTGACAGAAGCTAAAGTAAGCGTTTTGGAAAAGCAGAACCATTTCATGTTTTGAACATTACTTATAATGATTTTAGTGTTGCTTATACCCAACGAACAACTTACCAGACATCTACTGTACAGTGCAATCCTATTCAGACACACTAAAGGCCCATTAGGTTCTTTGGTAGTAGGGTAGCAGATGATGATGACGATGATGATGATGCATCCAGCCCAAACGTAATGGATGCTATTTAGTTGATAGGCTTGCTGTTTAGGGTAGCGGTGGACTCTGTAATATTTAATATCTGGCCATTCAATCCCATTTGTGACTCTCAGGGTGGTTTTACAATCCAGGAATAAAACAAAGGACAATAATAAATGTGACAAAGATCAATGTAATCTGAAAACTGCAGGGGGGGGGGCTGGATCAGTAGCAGTACTGATGCAGAAAAAGATTAGGAGATATAAGGCATGTTACCAAAAAAAAACATTAACAGTGCCCAGGCATCACTCTCAGTCACAAAATAGAATAGAAAAAGGTTTGTGAATTGCAGGATATGGATGTGATAGGAAGAGAGATGGAAATCCATGTGTACATATGTGCCTTACTATTTTAATAAAGGCAGGATGAATGTCCCTGCACTGTAGTTGTATAGCAGTCATATGCTCACCATCTAAAGCATTCAAGATAATCAAAATATGTATATTTCACATCATGCACATTCATATGTATTCTCTAACTTTTTAGGAAGAAAAGACTGGCATGCTGGCTGAAGGTACAAAAAATTCACAAGATGTGGAAACGTGTTAAAAATACAGCACAGGGCTTGAATGTTTGATTGGCTTTGCTGTACCCAATTTTGGGTGAAAAGAGTCAGAAATTATCCACACTTTTTAAATGGATCTCAATGCTAGCTCCGATTGTGCTGGCGATATTTGCTTTAGAGATGCTTTGCAGATATCTGTAGAAGTAAAGGTTATTCCTTTTATTCCAAATTGATGCCTACTATAGGCTTCCTTTTGGAATCAGAGGATTAGCTCTAGAACTGAATATCTCCTTCCATTTGTAAAAGGGACTGAGATCCAGTAGAAGGAGGGAGAAGTCAAATGTTTACCAGTCTCCCTCTCCCATTATTCTAGAAAGAAGCTCATCCAAATCTCTGGAGGACCTTTTAAGGGAGTATAGGGTTCTTCCGCTTAGAGTTTTTCTAACAGTCATTTATTGTTAGATAAAATAAACACACGGGCAAGGAGGAATAAACAAAAATCATCTCCTCCCTTAATGTAGTAACAGTGGAGTCCTCAGTATTTATCACTATTAATCCCCATTTTTATCTGGGAGGACATGAGCAAGGTCTGGAATCAAATTATTAGTAACAGAAACCAGCACAGAGCGTTGTTCTTCAGTTTTGAGAATCATTTTGAGAAGTAGTTCAGATGTGTAAATTGTGTTTATGCTGGATAATCTAAACCAGCCTTCTCAATGTGATGCCTCCTGTACTATTTATTGGACCTTAGCTCTTGTCAGCTCCAACTAGCATGGTCAATGGTCAGGACTGATCCAAAATAACAGGAGGGTGCCAAGTTGGCTTTAACAATAATTTTATAAGCCAAACAATCCCAGTAAAATAATTAATATGTATTTGTATTAAGTTACCGGTAAATATATTTATATTTTATTGCAGTTCATGGTCAGGTAAAACTTCCTTGCACTGCTATCTTTCTGACCTGTCTTACTATGAGAAATGTGGCACCCAACTGCATACATTTTTACACAAAAGCAATTCCCACCAAGTTCATTGTGACTTTCTTCCAAAAAAGGGTGCCTAATTGCACCTTTAGCTATGAAATTTATACCATGCTTTGGGGAAATCAAGCTAAATCTGGGCAGGGCTTGAAGCAATTGCCCAGTAGTAAAGAGCCATAGTTGGAGTTTGTACTACAAAAATCCTTTATAGTGAATTGTTTACTATAAAAAACTGTGTTATCCATTTCCCCTTTCCACCCTGTTTATCACGAATGCCTTCTCCACTTTTGAACCATCTTCTGGCCTATGGCCCTAGCCTCACTTATTAATCAAGCAAAGCGATCCAAGCCCCCAGTGCACCGTGTGGGAGGGGACGGAGGTGTCCCTCCACCTAGCCTGGCTGCCAAGCCTCCACTGGCAGGGGAGCCCCACCAGCACCCCAATTTACCCACCCAAATAGCAGGTGGGCAGAAGCTACCATTGGTAGCAGCCCTCAGAAATCCACCAAAATGAGGTGTTTCAGGGATAAGGAAGGGATGGAGGGCATATGCTGGGTCTTGAGCCAGCCCTGCTGCCACCACAGGATAGCAACAGGCCTAGTCTTGGGGGTGGCACAACAAAGAGGCTCCCCCACTCATCTTTTGCCTGGGCTAGCACAAGGGACAGAGCTGTGGATGCGGCCAAGCCACTCTGGCAAGCCCTGTTGCTCCCAGCCAGAAGTTTGGGTTGCCGCCTTATATATCTTATCCATGTGCTTTTTAGAAGCTGCTAGGGACATCTGAGATTGCTGGGGTGGCTACTTTAAAAAGTTGTACTGAAATGGCAGAAGAGCAATGGTTAGAGTCTGTAACCCTCATATTGTCTGATATGGGAGATACAATTGTGTTGCACATCAGTGTTCTCTAACTTATCTGTTTTCTCTTTAGTTGTCCTTCTCGATTCCCAAGACTCGACCCTGGAGATGCAAAAGATTGGTGAGCAGCAGGATGCAGCTGTGACAGAACACCCTCTACCTCAAGAAACCGCTGCCGATGAAATGAATGGAACAGGTAAACCCTCTTTATTATTGACTACTTCTTTCCACATCTGTTAGCCATGCTGAAAACAGAAGTAAGGCAAGAGCAGTCTGTCTTGGTCAGTTCTAGCTCTCTCTGCTTCACAATTACCCTTTGATCATGTAAACATTTAGAGCCTTATTCAGCCAAAGCTAAGCTCTTTGAAGTCATATTGATTTCAACAGGAAAGAATCAAGCATTTCAAATTGAAGAGACTTAGAAGTGTATAACTATAACATGTCTTCATTGCTTAATGTTTTCTCAAGGTAAAAGATTATGTAGGCAATTCCTAAGTTTTGAAAATCTAGTTCTGAATTGAAGAAGAGAAATGCTTTGTTTTTTTCTTACTAGTTACTGAGTTTTAATGGCTAAGGATGTAGTCTATATTTTTGTCACTGGTGGCAACCAATATTTAATTATTGTGAACTTCAGCCTAATACTGCAATCCTGCACTTGCTTCCTTGGAAGTCGGTCCTACTGAACTCTTGGAAGTGTGCATAGGATTGTAGCCTAATGCTGCAATCCCTTATCCATTACTAGGGAGTAAGCCTCACTGAACTCAGTAAGATATGTTTCTCAGTGGACACGATTCTACTGTTAGTATCTTAGGTAATTGTTGCTATTGCTTTATTGACATTTCAGCTCACTTCATCTTGGTTGACTTTTTCACCTGACCCTCCTCAGGTATTTCCGGTGCACAAACGAATAGTGATATTGAAGCTTTGCATCAGGCCTACTGCCATATTGAGCAGTCTTTAGGAGATTCTGATGAGCAAAGAATTCATGGTGGTAAAATAGAAGAGAACTTGGCTAAAGATGTTTCACCGAACACAGAAGGCTGTCCCAAAAATACCTCCACTACTGATTCTGGTAAATATTGAAAATTCCCAATACAACTTTATTTTGGCATATGCCCATAAATGATTCCTGATTTATTATTGCTTCCAGCACAAGCTTATACCAACACTGGTGGCTTGGGGATGGAGTCCTTGAATTCTCTTGGAATCATGTTATTTTACCTCTCCTCTCGAGACACTATTTTCCCATCTCCAGCATTCAATCCTTATGTTTAGTAGGCTGCAGTTGCACTAGCACCAAACCACAGTTTAGTTAAAAGATTGGCTGCACACTGTTGCAAAGGCAAGCATAATTGTTAATGCAGTCTGTCTTCTAGTGTACACATGGCTTCAAGAGCACTTTCTGAGCCAGGCTGAGGGCAAAGTCCTTTTTTTAAAAATCTCCCTTTTAATTCCATGATGACTCATCCTGCTATCTGCTGCATCAGAACCTGCACTTGCCTAGATGTTTATGAGGTCTTCCTCAGCTTTGAGGATAGTGTTTTGGTTTCCACGGAGATCCTTCATGGCTCATTCTTTTGTTCACAATAGCTTCTCTCCCTTTATTTATTGATAATATTTATCATCTGCCCTTCAACATAAGGTCCCAGAGCAGGTTGTAGCAAGATAATATACAGTTATAAAAACAAGTAAATCCATTACAGTCATAAAAGCACATAAAAATGTTCCAAATGGAACAAATTCAGCAAAAGAAGTGCGCAACATAAAACAATATCTTAATGGTCTCAAAGGCCAAGATAAAGAGGAGCATCTTCCACATACAGTCTTCATAAGTGACTATTAGCCCCATTGACCCTCAGCAGCTTGCTGTGGAAACTGCCACCCACTGAATTATTATTCATCTGTGTCTTTGCTACCTGCTGAGATACTAGCACAGCATGAAAGTAAATTTTGAAGCACTGACGATGCTCATTTTTCGAGTGGTAGGTCCTTAATCAGATACCGTTTGAGTGTGTTCATTTAGTAATGTGAAAGTTGACCCAGGAGTCACACAAACTGTTCACTCACTAAAAAAGATTGCATATACAGGAGACCTGACCAAAATGTAAGACAGTTACTAAACACATACATAAAAGTGAAGATTAATTGGTTTGTAAATAGTCTGGGGAGGTTATGAATTATATCTCAAAAGGATTGCTGTCGTTACAAAAGGAATGTTATGCCATAGACAGGAGAGATCACATTACATATAACAGGAGACTACCTATAGCCAAAGACATACTGGATGTGCACATGCATGTACATGAACACAGAATCAGTGGGTGAGTTTCATTTGAAAGTATTTCATTACTGTTTGTTGATCTAGAATGTTGTCGTTTCATCTACTTAGATCTCCCCACCATAGAAGAACTGATGAAACCTATCAGAGCAGATTCAGATTTTACCAGGGACCCTGCAAGGTATTCATTCTAGAAAATACACAGTTTATGCCAATTAATGTCCTTTCTTTCTGTCTTGTTCTTTGCCCCCTCCCCCTTCTTCAACCTCTGTCCAAAGGATTTGGGAGTTTGTCTTAGCTTGCAGTTTGTGCTTTGCAGTTGAGACAGATCAGTCCTTAAAACCTAATCCTGAGATTGAGTCCCATACTGCCAGTACTCACTTAATACAGTTATTGGCTTAACTTTGAAACTGGCATGCTGTTGTGCACCTGAAATAGATTCTAATGGTCCAGTCCTGCAGAATGCTAAACTAAGAGAACAGGTGCTGTGACTGGGCACAGTTTCCAGCATAAGTGAACAGCTCTTCTCTTTGCACCAGCTGTAGGAGCCAACCCTAGTCTTTTCTAACATAGAAAGCTGCTTTATATTAAGTCAGGCCATTGGTCAATCTACCTCAGTATTGTCTACATTCATTGGCAGCCTCTGTCAAGGGTTTCAGGCAGGTACATTCCCAGCCCTACCTGCAAATGCTGTTAAAGAAAACTGGGAATATCAAGCTGTGTCTTTTCCACTCAGCCTCATATAAGGTGCTGCTTTTTAGCTCCTGCAGCACCCACGGTTTCTTCCATGACTGCTTAAAGCCCGTCCTGCAGGATCAGGCCATATGTCTTAATGTATCCCGTTAACAGTCACGTAACAATAATGTGTAAACTAAAACCTAATGCATATAATCTTTGGCTTGTGCTTTCTTCACTTTTTTTCTGTAGCCCTGTGAAAGCAACACACAACGGCACTGATGAATTAATGAGCCATTTAATACTGGAAGAGCAGCAGAATGCTACTGCTCAGGAAAAGCAAAACATTGGCTGTTCATTGGAGCAGCATAGTGGACAAGAGAATGTTTTTGTTCAAGCTGTTGCAAAGGAAGATAGTGAACTGATTCCTCATCAAAGGACTGGCAAGGACAAACGGATTGATAAACTTAAACATGATGTGTTGAGGCAAAATAGTCTCCCAAGCTCTTCAGTATTGCATCAAGACAAAAAGACTAACCAGGTAAACAGCATCTCAGTGTCTTAAAGAGATTTATGCAAGTATAAAGATCAGCTATGCACATAATATATTTATTTGTTTGTTTGTTTGTCTGTTTAATAAACAGATTGTACATAATATTCACTAGTTAGGCCCTTGGGTGCTACAAGGATTAATTGATTGATTATTTTTTCCTTAATATTTTTATCTCACTTTCCTTCACCAAGCACCAAAGATGGTTAACTAAATTAGCCTCCCTAGAAAGAAGTCCAAGACACTGGGCTCAGCCAATAAAGATCTCTGTTGTTGAATCCCTGCTATTGTTCCCCATTTTTTTCCTCTAACCCAGGGGTAGGCAACCTAAGGCCTGTGGGCCGGATGCGGCCCAATCACCTTCTCAATCCGGCCCGCGGACGGTTCGGGAATCAACTTGTTTTTACATGAGTAGAATGTGTGCTTTTATTTAAAATGCATCTCTGGGTTATTTGTGGGGCATAGGAATTCGTTCATTATTTTTTTTCAAAATATAGTCCGGCCCACCACATGGTCTGAGGGACGGTGGACCTGCCCACGGCTGAAAAAGGTTGCTGACCCTTGCTCTAACTTTTTCACTGTTGCAGTTTCCTCCTTGACCTCTTCCTGCCTCACCTGTCTTGACACTCTTGGCTAATCTTCTCTGATTATGCAGCTTTGAAGACAGAAGCTGCCTTGTCTTCTGTGTCTGAAGCAGCTGAGGGCTAGGCAGCTGAATATCAAAGAAGTCTTAGTAGACCTTTAAAATATTATCAACAGACTTCTTTCCATCCCACTCTTACCCATGTTTACTCGGGTAAGCGAGATCAATTTCAGTGGGACTTACTTCCAGGCAAATTGTTTTAAGAATGCAGCCTTCACCTCTCTCAGTATAGCCCATCAGTAGCGGTGAGGCAGAGCCACTCTTCTGACAACTGTGTTGCTCCACTACCTGGATAGAGCAGGGCAATGGAAGGTCAGGGCTGCTTAGGTGCACCAGCAGTAGTGCTGGATTGGCCAACAGAGCTCTGACCCCAGCCCCACCCAGGTAAGCTGCAGTGATGGCAGTGCCAGGAAGGCTGCTTCACCCTGCCACAGAAGCTGGTACCTCTGCATGGGCACACAAATTTGTTTCCTGGTTATTCTCATTTTCCAGACTTTGGGAGCTAAGAGGAAATTTTACACATGAGCTGAATAGCACAACACATTGAAATGTAATCTGGTATATATCATTGGTGTGGAACCTCTATTCCCTTGAGTCTCATTAGACCTACCAGCCTCAGAGGTTTGCTCACCAGGTTGTTTTGGGCACGCTATGCCCTACTTTGCCTGGCCTGATGACCAGGGAAAGTTCTAACTAGCTAACAGGAAGTGTGCTCCCAATTCTTCCTTTGCATTCTGGCTTGAATTCAAGCAGATTCTTTCCTTTGAAGTTCTGTCACCTGATACCTGATGATTGACAGGTGAGCACTCTGTATAAAACTTGTTGTGTTAAGCTCATTGTAAACACTTGACTTGATTTTACATTCAAAGCCAAGCTGGTTGATTTAATATTATATAATGTTGTCTCCAGACCCGTCTTTCCCACACTTGGACTAAAGAAGGTCTAAATTCGGTGATGAACAAACAAGTAACATTCAGAAATACCAAAAATACAGCTGCTGTACATAGAAAGAAATCTCTAAGTGGACCCCATAGCTCTGTTAGGAGTTCTGGATATGGAAGATCCAGTTCTCCATTAAAGCACTTTTCCACAATTAATGAGAAGAAGACATTAAAGGAAAACGTCAAAAAGCCAGTTTTAAAAACAAAATCTCCTCCAAGACAAAAAGGTAATGGATTTTTAGTGTGTCTTTAATGCAGATGTGTTTGATTTAATGTAGGGAAAATGTCAAGTGTAGGATTCCTCAAGGTTAAATATTACTGCATACTGCTTCTTGCAAGATGATAATACTGTTTAAAAACGTGGAACTTTTAGATACATTCAAACATACGTTTTAACCTAAAAAAATTTGTTGGTAGATTTACCAGTGCTCAACATAGCAACGTGATTGCACAAGGCATTTCAACTTCTTTAAAGCAAGGTGTAGTTAGTTAACTGCACTTCCAGTTTGTCAACTATATTCAGCAAACTGTTTGAGACTGCAGAGTATCTTTGACCTCGAGTTCCCGAGGCAAAGCCACTGTGGCCTGAGACTATTTGTAAGGCAGCAGATAAAGAGTTGGCCATGAAGGAGTCCCAAAGGGAAAAGATCACCCTGTGCATGCTCTTTTCCCTCAGCTTCTCATTACAAAGAGCTCCTGTGGATCTTCTCTAAACTGCTTTTTGAAGATGGGATAGATTATCAAGTTTGATGATTCAGGGAAGCAAGTCAGAATTCAAAACAAAAAACTGAGGACCTATGTGTTAGTGTCCTTCAGTTTGGTAAACACGGTGCTCTGTTTAGGATACTCTGAAAAATATAGAACTTTCTCCTAATTTGTTTACAATCCAAACCTAGATGAGGAGGAGGAGGAGTTGACAAAGTGAAGGGAGGCTGAGGCTGGGATAACAAGTTGTAAATGCATTCCTGTGCATACTTACCATGTGGTCAATCTGTATAGGATTTGGCTGCACAACATTAAGTGAAAGAATTTGTGCAAAGGATGTGTTTTAGAGAAGGATTTAATGTCAGAATTCTAGATACAATAAGTAGCAGTGGGATTTGTTTAGAGACCTTTGAGTAGGTAAGGTTGTTAAAGCAGGAAGGAAATATTTTAGATGGTGGTATGTTTACAATATAAAAGCACAGAAATAAGGTGAGGGGGTGAAGTTGTAAAATGACTTGTCAGACACAGGTGCCTTGTTTTAACATGCATGTTCCCTACAGGATTGATCCTTGTTTAAAGTGCATTCCCCCCCCCCGCCCCCGAGAATTGTAAGAGAAGATTATATGTCATTTTAAATACTTAGAGGGTAATGGGATATATAAAGAAGAATAGTGAACTGTGGAAAGTGGTTTGGAAGTATGGCAGCAGTATTTGGTTTTGTAATTTTAAAGCAGGAAGACAACAGCAGTGGGCAACATTTAATGTCACATGAGTGACCTCCGCCTCCTCTAGAAGTTCCCTCAACACAGCAAAGAGGAGGAAAGGAAGGGGAAGTTATTTTATGGAAGCAGAAGTCTATTCTACTAGTGAACAGGCATCATGGAATTTCGCCCAGTAGTAGTATTCGCTTTTCCACTTGTACATTGCATGATCTGTTCAAAGAAATGTTATGTCTCCATATAAATAGCTAGGGCTATTAAGATTACAGCGCCCACTATATTTTTTTTCTCATCCAAGAAACATTTTCTGGAACTATGACAATACAGACAGCAAACAATCCAGTTTCTACAAAGAGAAATTACTGTGCTACACCTGGACAATCATCTGCAAGCAGTCTTCAACAGCCAGCTAAAGAAAGTGACTCTTGCTTACAGACACACAATGTAAGTCATTGCTCCTAAATTGAAATTTTTTAAGGGGACTTGCAAGGGAATAACAGTACTGCAGCAGATATAAACTTTTTGTAGAGTCGTAGGAATCCCTGCTGTCCTGGAGTGTCTCAGTGTCACCCAGGTTGTCTACCCTTACAAATGTGAGAAGAGAATACATATGTAATTTGATGCACTCTATCTGTTCTGATCTGTGGCCTGATTTACACTGCACTTATAATGTAACTCCAAATCATTGCACAAAAAGTGTGTGCAGCATTAGAGATCCCGTTCGGGTTACAAAAGTGTGTTGCCTTCTCTTTGAATTTAATAGAGTAAGTGTCCACTGGAGGCAGGGCAGCTGTCATTAAAAACTGCATAAGGTTGGAAGCAGAGGTCCATAAATGAGAGTGTAGGAAGAGGCAACTTCTATCCCTGCTCATTCATGTAAGCCTTCATTGAATCATAGCCTCTGGCTGGTGGAGCCAGTGTGGTGTTGTGGTTAAGAGCGGTAGACTTGTAATCTGGTGAACGGGGTTCGCGTCTCCGCTCCTCCACATGCAGCTGCTGGGTGACCTTGGGCCAGTCACACTTCTCTGAAGTCTCTCAGCCCCACTCACCTCACAGAGTGTTTGTTGTGGGGGAGGAAGGGAAAGGAGAATGTTAGCCACTTTGAGACTCCTTTGGGTAGTGATAAAGTGGGATATCAAATCCAAACTCTTCTTCTTCTTCTGCATAAGGCAGACATAGGCAAACTCAGCCCTCCAGATGTTCTGGGACTACAACTCTCATCATCCCTAGCTAACAGGACCAGGGGTCAGGGATGATGGGGTTTGTAATCCCAAAAACATCTGGAGGGCCGAGTTTGCCTATGCCTGGCATAAGGAGACCTTTTGATTTTCCATTTGTGGAAATACTAAATTAGACCCAACCCATAGTAAATGATATTGATTTCACTTCATCTCCAATGGTTCTCCATCTATTAATTTGATAACATCCATATCTATGCTACAGCCCAGGGTGCTCCCAAACAACTGACTACATTTTTAATGCATGAAGTTTTTTCTGCAGTGCCAAAGCTACCTCACACTTGAAACGAGTTGACCTTGAAGCTGACATCTTGTTTCATGGAAAACTCACTTGCATTGTTGTTGTTTTCCTCTCTCAATTTAAAATGCTAAATGGTTCTCATAAAATTCAGTCTTTGAAAATTTTGAAACTTGCAATTTGTACTACAGAAGTGAAAGAAAATGATCCATAAATCTTGGTTGAGTGATGAGCTGTCAGAATAGTATACTTTTTCCCCACAGCAGGTTGCCTCATATTCTCCATCCCAAAATAGTGGGAGGGAGCTTTATTTACTGCAAAGAGTTCAGGAAGCAGAGGAAAAATTGGCCGAAGCCCATGATTTGATTCAGAATCTAAAAGCCACATCTTTGCAAAAGGAGAAGGAAATGGAGACTAAGATCCTAGAAATGAAAATGCAACAAGATAAAGACCGTTTTCAGCTAAACCAAGAAAATTACATTCTTCAAACACAGGTACTATACCTAGTTATATCCTTTCCCTGTTCAATTTTTTTTTAAAAAAAAACCACTTTTAATACAGTTCACTAAAAACAGCATTTACTATATATTTCATTTTAGTTCTGATAAAATCAAATTGGGAATCATGGCAAGCCATGGATAAAATGTTGTCTCTCATAGCTAGCTAAAACACCTTGCAGGAAGTGACCTTTTGCGTTTAGAAGGCTATTTCAGCTGGTAGCCAAGCAAGCTGCTCCCCACCCCCTTAATATGTTTTGCTATATTGCAAGGAGACAGGCATAAGATACAAATAAGAGAACAGTCTGTTAAATGTACAGGAATCTGTTAATAAGGGCTTTTTCTTCCGAGTGATTTTATGAAGTATACGTTAATCATAGTTCATGTTTTCTCAGCTAAATAACAGAGGAGACCCGAACAAAGGAACAAAGTTGTCAAATGCTTTGGAAAGAATTCCTGATGATGGAGAAATGCTGAAAGAAATCCAAAAAGAAGTCCAAAATCAGGAGACTCTTCTTCAAGGGTATCAACAGGTAGATATACTTAATACTGTGGCTTCACTGAGTAAAACTTACAAAGTATTTACACAGTCAGTTTTTAAAGCTGTATCCAGGTTGAGAACTATGGTGCATTGTATTAAAATAAAAGGAGAGGTGGGGAGCTTGATAGTGAATTGACCAGATTGTTGAAGGTCAAAGGCAATGGCCTTCACACCACTTATTATTGAGGGGAAGTGCGTGGAAAAGGTCTCGGTGTTTCGATTTCTGGGAATGGAGTTGAGAGATGACCTAACCTGGGGAGAAAACAGCAAAGACCTGATGAAGAGAGCACAGCAGAGGTTATATTTTCTGAGAATCCTCCAGAAAAACAATCTCTCAAAGGACCTGTTGATGGCATTTTACCATTGAACTGTGGAGAGTGTATTAACTTATGGTCTGTGTGTGTGGTTTGGGAGCTGCACGGCCAGGGAAAAAACAATGCTGTCCAGGGTTGTAAAGACTGCAGAGAGAATAATTGGGTGCACTCTTCCCACCTTAGATCAAATCTATGCTGTCAGGTGCCATAAGAATTCTGTAGAGATAGCACAGGATAGTACACACCCTGGAAATGATCTCTTTCAGCTTCTGCCTTCTGGAAGAAGGTATAGGGTTATAAAGACCAGGACTAGCCTCCTGAGAAACAGTTTCTACGCAAATGCAATTCTGGTTCTAAATGTAGCATAAGGAGTCTCTTTAGTATATTGTATTTTAAAATGGGGTTTCAGAGTTTTTAGGGGTTTTTGAATATTTTATGTAGATTTCCAATTTCATTGTTCTGTATGGGACAATGACAATAAAGATATCGTATATGAAAAGACATTGGTATCTGAAATTGGTAGATAAAAGACTGATAATGAAGGTAGAGCAGCTGGACAATCGCTGGGACATGCATGAAAATGTTAGTCCATTCATAAGCAAGGGACAATGTGCATTGATTAGTTCAATGAGGTACTTATTTATATGGAGACGGAAGAAAAGGCTACCCTTCTGGAATTTGTAAAGAGTAATTTCTAAGAAGTGTCTTTCACATGAATACATAACAACTAAGTGAATTAATCCTTGATATTTCAATGAAGGAAAATGAAAGATTATATAAGCAAGTGAAAGAGCTGCAGCTAAATAACAAGAAAAATGAAGAAAACATGTTTAAAGAGAACCAGCGTTTGATGGCTGAGTTGGTGTCTTTACGGTGAGTTTATTTGAGGATCTAATGGAAAATGTAGATGACTTTAAGCAGGTCTTAATGTGAATGTAAAGAGGAAGCTGCCCACATACTTGCGATTAAGCCCCAATGAACACTATAGGTCTCTTTTCCAAGTAAACGTACATAGGATTGAAATGCACGTCCAATTTTTTGTGTGGAAGGGAGTTAAACTTAATTCTTCCATTGAAGTCAGCTTAATCAGGCTTAGGATCACAGATATCATTTATTTATTTTAGAAAATTATATACCATTTGACTGTAGCAGCAGTCATGTATCAAAGCTGGCAAAGAGTTTGGGTGTCTTCTTTTCAGTGTCCCTTCCATTTCTTTAACTTTTCAAGAAGTAGTATAACAATGATTGTTTGTTTTATTAAATTTAGTCGCTTGTCATCTAAAGAGTCTTCAAGGAACTTACAGTGAAAAATATATATACATGAATACATTATACCAAAGAAAAGGGGTATCATACAACACATTAACATTCCATTCGACAAAAGGGGGAGAGGACTCTCACTAACACTTATAGAAAAAGTAGTTACTGTGTGTTAAATAGGTTGAAGAAAATCATATGAATTGCACTTTTTCAGTGACAGAATACACCTACCAGTAAATAAGACCAAGGGTATAATCCTCTACCCCCATCTTTCTCACCCATGTTTCAGTAATGCATGCCATTGGGCACTCTCATCCATGAATGAGCACTGTCTTATTCTGTACAGACCTGGCATTTAGCAATAGCACACCAAGCTGTTGGGCACAGTGGAAGAGCATCCAACAGTATTCTGGAGCTGTGGGGAGGCAGATATAGGCATCAGATGTGAGCATCTTTTGTTCCATTGCCACCACCAAGCTGTGCCTATTTTTTCCTTCTGTCACCAAGTTGCATGGTCCCCTGTGCCTTGGCTCTGTGCAACTCCCTGCAAATACATGCTGCATGCAGATTACCTTTTCACATCAACCCCTAATGCATCATAGCAGTCAACAATACAGTGCCCATCCAACCAATTCACCATCACATAAAGAGAGAATACCCATGCAGCAGGGAAGGAAGGGGGAAGGGGAGGCGGAAGAAACAATAAATCACAAGAGAGAGGGAGAGAGAAAGTCTCAGGCGGCCTATCCCAAAGCTCACCTGGGGTACTTTAACATTCACCCACCCCTGCTTCTTACCTATGGGTGCTGACTCCCACTAGATTCACAGCCTCTCACTCTGACAGTACTAGGCAAAATAAACATTCGCCAATATTTCTCACCAGAGAGAATAAAACAGTCTTCCAACAATCAGCACCAAACTATACCTTGACATGACATGTGAAGGTCAGCATGAGTTAACAAGGACTGGATATTTTAAAAATTACTCTGATTTAATTGCAGGAATAGTGTTTAGATAGAACTACTTCAACAAACCATGAGCTGTATAAAATTAATAATCCTCTCTTTTTTTCAAAATTAAACTAGAGAGCAACAGGATAAAAATAACCTTTTATCATGTGGAGTGCGGAATGCTGAATCAGCTGGGAATCAGAGTTTCACTGACCTGATTTTAGAACTTCGGGCTGCCAAGGCAAGTACTTATGCTTTTTCTTTAGACTAGTTTGCTGAAATAGACACCACTTAAAACATTATACATTTTGCCAACAAGTTGCTATTACTATTAATTATTTTTATTTCAAATAATGAAACAAATGGGCCATTTACGATAAATTGCTGTGGCCAAGCTGCATGGAGACCTCTAAACAAGACACTATAATTTGCATTATATTGACACTGCTGGCATAACAAATCTGCTCCCCTCTGCTGTGCAGGTCAGGCTCTTTTTCCCCATGCTGTGGCCCCAGTACAGCAGATCCATGCCTGGAAATCTCTCACTTTATCCAGGCATCAGTTCAGTTCACTTCAATGGTTAGAAGAGGTGTTATCCTCATGGCTGAATTGATTTTCGAATGCTGTGTTACTTTTATTGTTGTTAGCCACTCTGAGCCCGGCTTCGGCTGGGGAGGGCGGGATATAAATAATAAAAAATTATTATTATGGCATGTTTTCTGTATCTCTCTTTTGTTTTCCTGGGGTGTGGGGGATGAAGACTATAGAAAGCAATTTGCTCGAAGAGAGAAAGCGTCTAAAGCAAGACAAGCAAGCCCTTGAAGTAGATTTGGTGCAAGTGAAGAAGGAACGAGATTTAGCAAGAGCCCAAATCACTTCCACTTCAGGTAAAGCACTGCTTTTGAACAGGTTAATCCTCCGTTTAATAATAAGATCTTTTACTTCACTGAATATAAAATCTGTGTTTCCATTAATACTGTATTAAGCTTTTGTGATACTGTGTCTTGCATTAACACACCAGGGAAGAGTGGGGTAATCAAGAGAGATGGCGGGGGCAGTAGCTGGATTATATGTCCACTGGCAGCTACCCCTCCAGAAACACGTGAGCAGGGTACTGCACAACATTTGCTTCTGAGAGTTGTCTACCAGAGGGTGGGCCTGTGTGATGGAAATCTCACAAATGAAACAATTTATCATCATACAAGCATAGGAAGCTGCCTAATGCAAGGTCCTCCTCAAAGTGTCGGGTCTTCTCCATCACCTGATCTTGCTCCTTTCTGGAGATGCTAGAGATTGTACCTAGGACCCTTTGCATGCAAAGGAAACTGCTCACATATGAGTTGGGGACAGGCAACAAGAGCAGTTCCGAGAGAGAAAGTATGCATCAAAGACTGGGGGCAGTGGGAGAAATTTCCCTAAATTCCTTTTGATGGCAACGTGGGATGGAATTATTGGAGGGGGGGTGTTGGTTCCAGGCCACTGGTTCTTTGCATATCAGTAGTAGTCTGGTCTTCCTATGTATATTATTAGAATGGAAAGGAAGGAATAGCAGCTCTCGAAAAAGCTCTCTGCCACCACAACAAATCGTCAGACTGTAAAACAATGATTTATAGCTTTTCTTTACAAGCATCATTTTCACCACAAAGAGGAAATCTAAATATCTTACGGCTTTTGTAGAAAGCTTTAAGATATTTAAAATTAATTTGCCTCTATTTTTTCCCCAATGCCCAAAATAAGCTTAGTCTTGAGTCGGATCTGCTTTGTCACACTTTTTTAATTGGAACATTTTCTTCCTAGCTGAAAAATCATATGAGATGAAGATTGTAGAAGAATCATACAAAGACGAAATTGGTCGCTTGCAGAAAAGACTCCAGTGGTATGCAGAAAATCAGGAACTCTTAGACAGAGATGCAGCTCGCCTTCGAGGAGCTAAAGAAGAAATTGATAAACTGCAGCATGAGGTGATTGCATTGTCACACTTCCCTCCAGTACCGTTCAAGGCAGTAGCAAGGCAAAGGCCGTCTGAGACCAGACAGCAAAATCTTACTTTTTCACATAGAGATAAGAGAAAAGGCATGGGCACCATGCAGTCTGAACTTCAGGAATTTTACTTTGGGAATGGTTGCTGCAATTCCCTTTTGGCCAGAGCTGAGTAGTGACACTTGGGCTGAATCCCATCTAACATCTTTCAGGTTTCCAGCTGTCAGGGGCTCAAGCAGTTCTGCTTGCACATTTATGATTATAGATTTATCTGTCATAAAGTTCCCAAAGGCATGACTTTCAGTCACAGGCTGCCAAGCAAGCTTCCCCGTCTCAGCCTATGGTCTCCCTTTCTTTGGTTTCACGGTAGGTCAGGGTTTGTCTGAATCTAGGCTGTAATTCAGTTTCCACTCCAGAATATGTAGTTAGAACATTCTGCGCATGAGATTTGGCACTAACTAAACTGGGATAAAACGACCCATTCATTTACCATGCTGGTACTGATTTTCCCCTGCTGTTTAAATTACAAGTTTTGTAAATAAGATTGAGGGGATCATTTCCTATGCACCGTGGTTACCAATTTCTGTGTTTATCGTTCTTGTTCGTACACATGCAAGTCTTTAACGGTTTTAAAGAAGAGGTCGTGCTAATGATAAAATGAATGGATTGCTTACATCGCTCTTCTGTGTGCCTTTCTGTGTACTGTGTAGGTGGATCAGCTTAGAAGTGAAGCTGGGAATCAGTCTGCACAACAAAAGAAACGGCTGAAGGACAGAGCGGCAGATGCCAAACGAATACAAGACCTTGAGCGGCAGGCACGTAGTACAACAATTCCCCTTAACAGGCAAGGGAGGGAGGATAGTCTCTGCTGGTAATTTAGTGTGGCGAGCCATACTCTGGCCTCTATTCTTACGAATCCAGTTTCGAGATGTATGGTAGCATCGGAGACGTGTTTAGGCACTTGTAGGGCTGATCTTAATTTGTTTAGATTGTACCAGTTCTAATGGTGCACAACTAGCAAAGAGTGATCTCGGTGTGACATCTGTCAACCCACTGTTTGCCAGAGTTGATTCGGTTGCTAAAATTAGGTAAATGGGAGTGCTATAGGACAGAGATGGGGACACTGTGGCCTTTCAAATGTTTGTGGACTCCGGCTGCCTTTGCTTGGCCTTGGCCAGCATGACTAGTGGTCAAGAATGGAGTTGTTGTCCCAGCCACATCTGGAGGGCTACCGCTTTCCTCATTTATGCTTTAGGAGAGAAGAATAATGGCAAATCATCGGCACAACGAAACACTGCTTCCCATATATCTTAACTATATATTGCAATGTTTCAAACAGCATTATATCCAAAGGTAGGGCACCAAATTCCAGGTAGGTGAGGAGCATCGAGTGTCAGAGAAGAAACTGCAATCCAGACTTCAGATATGGGATAAGTAATAGGTAATGAAGTTTTTACTACATGTGTTTATGAAAAAAAATAAAGATTTTTATTAATTATGTGGTCTATAGATATTGATGTCAGAGATAATTTTGTGGTTTTAATAGTTGATTCATGTAATTTGGTGATGCCTTTTAAAGCTATTACTTCCTTATACTTTCATTTCCTGTATGTATATGTTTATGGCATATGGGAAAGAATCATACAACTAGGTTCAGATCCTCAAGAGAACTTTGGGTATTATTATCCTAGGATCGTATACAGTAACAGGCAATGATTCTCCAGGGTCTCTCCCAAGGGTCTTTTTCCTCACCTGCTACCTAATTTATTTTAAGGGGTAATGCCCAGGATTGATGCTGCTATCATCTGCATGCAAATCTCTATGAGTGAGCTATGATCCCTTCTCTGTTCTCAGTCGACACCAGTGTTCATCTTCCTAGCATCTAGCAAACCATTTTTGCAAGAGAGGAGTATTATGATAAGGCACTGGGTCTGCTGTTCAGTTTTTTTATAAAAAGAAAAAGTTGTAAAAGCCTCTCTGTGTGCCCAAACTCTTAGGCACAACTTGCTGTGTGACTTTTTTTGGATGCCAGCCGTGTCTCATTAATGATAGAATTTTAAATTTGGAAGCACTATTTCTAAACATTTGCAGTGCAAAGTGCGTAGACAGGATTACATCCATGATCTTAATTACTGTCAGTATATTCTCTGTCATTGGGAAAATGCAGCTCATGTGATTTCAGCCTAGTTAAAACACAGTAACTAATAGTTGTTGTCCTAATTTTTGAAAGGTTAAAGAAATGGAAGGGATACTGAAACGAAGGCACCCAAATTCTTTGCCAGCTTTGATATATGCCGCTGCCACGGCCACTGCTTCTGAAGGGGAAGGCAATCCATCAGCAAAAACGAATACAGTGGATTTTCTTGAGAGAAGAGTTAAGAAGCTGGAAGCCGAACTTGAGGGTAAAGATGATGAAGCGAAGAAAAGTCTCCGTGCCATGGAGCAGCAGTTTCAAAAGATAAAGGTGATTTAGACTCCACTGTGCTTTTAAACAGCAGTATTGTTTTGATGCGGTTGCGTAGTTTTCGTTTCTCCCGACGAGTAGTTTGAGCTGCTCCTAGGCGCTCCCAAGTGTTAACTGAATCCTACAGTAATGAACCAAGGAGTGGGAATTAGATCATGGTTACCTTTTATATATTCTTTAAAAACTCTTTGTATTCTAGCACCAGAAATTTCAATACCTTTAATATTATAGACATGCTCCAATGCAGGCATATTCATGGACAATAAGTATGCTCATTCCTGTGCAGATTCAGTTGCATAGTCATAACAAAAGATGCCTACAGCAAGTTTGCTTAGGCTCAGAGGAGCATCCCAGTGGGGATGTGGGTCTAGGTGCCTATCTGCTTCCATATTAGCAATGTGTGTGGAAGGCTGCTTCCATATGCAGAACTTCCTGAATTAGGGTGCTCCTTTATCTGAGCCTTTTAGGGTGCGGAATTAGGGTGCTCCTTTTATCCTCTCCTTAAGCTGCACGGGGGGTTAAGGGTGAGGGAGTCACAAAACCTGCCTCTTCCCTTTGCACCCGTGGAAGCATCCCATGAGCAGAGCTGCATTCACAGTTAGTCTCAATACAGCCCATTGCAAAAGGACCCTGCAGATTATCTGGTCCAAACCCCTGCAATGCAGGAATATACACCTGTTCCATATGGGGATCGAACCTGCAACCTTGGCGTTATCAACACTATGCTCTAACCAACTGGGCTATCCCATCTGTGTGTATGATGCAAATCTAATTTACCTGGAAGCGTCACTTCATGGGGTCTTGTCTTTGCAGATTCAGTATGAGAAGAGGATTGGGGAGCTTGAGCAGCTGCTGGAATATAAGCTGCTGAACGAGCCGCAGAAGCTTCCGGACAAGGCCGCCACCCTTGCAGCTCATGAAAGAGAACTTTGTACTGTAAATGAAGCCCACCAGATCACAGTGCAAAACCTTCAGACTGAAATAAACTCTCTCAGAAACCAGTTAGCTCAGCTAGAGCTGCAGAAGAAAGCAAAAGATGATGCGGACCTCCAGTCGCTAGAATACCAGGTGGAGCAGGCTCACTCTAAAGCGAAGCTGGTAAGACTAAATCAGGAAATGATTGCCAAAAACAGAGAGATACAGGACCTCACAAAAACTGTAGAAAGGCTTCAGAAAGAGAGGAGAATTATGCTCTCAGCTGGCAAAGCAGATGCTAAAGAGAAGCCTTCAGGAATCCTGAAAAAGGATATTGTCAAACCTAGTCAGCTGAACCCCAGAAATGAAGAGTTCTTCCCTGGCACTCTCGATGAGAAAATATATCAGCCCCACGCTTTTGCCGATTGTCACATTTCAGAAGTCCTGCAAGAAAACAGCCGTCTGAAAGATGATGTAGAAAAGTTGACTCTAGAACTAAGCCAGGAAAGGATAAAAGCTCAAGCAGCCATGGCAAATTCTGAAAGTCTTGTAAGAAGGTAATTCACTTAACACTGAGCAGTTTTTAAAATGCGATGTTCAAGGTCACTCCTTGGGCTTGGGGCAGGAGTGGGGAACCTGGCAGCATCCAGATGTTTTTGACTACAACTCATGTCTTCTATAGCCGTTAATGGGGCTGATGGAGTTGGAAGCCACCAGCATCTGTTATGGCTACAGGTTTCCTACTCCTGCTTGTAGGTACACTGTTCTAATAACCCCACCACCAACTCTGGGCACAGAAAAACCATACCCTGCCATTTCTATAAATTGTGTAAATTAAGCCAACATAGAGATTTTTTTGTAGTGTATTGTGCTTCCAACATGGGAAGAGTCAATGAGTTATGCATAGCTTTGTTCACTGAACAATGGAAACCTTATCATGCTGGAAAACAGTGACTTCCTCTCCCCGCCATCCCCATTTTAATTGTAATGCAGCTGCAAAAGGCTGCCATTCCATTTGGGGCAGTGGTGGCTTGAAGCAGCAGGAGGAGAAAGAATGTGTTTTAACACCTTTGTGACATGTACATTTTTATTTATGTATTCCGTCTTCATGGGAGCTCAGCCTAGCTGTAAATCTGGACGTGTAAATGTCACCCCAAATAATTTCACTGATACTCCAGTATACAAGAGGAGCTTTAAAAACCAAGCCCCCACATAGCTATTTTCTAGGGGAAAAACCACACACACAAGCACACACCCTACATTTAATGTGCAGTTTGGTTCTAAGGCAGCTGTCCCCATCAGGGACTAAGGGCCAAGCTAGGCATGACCTTCTACATATCTTTAACCTTGTGCTTGTGTATTCAAAATGTAGTAGGCGCAGGAGGATATGCGTTGGATTGGGGCCATGACAAGAGGAGCTTTAAACTCCTTTCTCCAACTGCATACCTGATTCTCTTTCCACTTATGCCTGTTATTTGCAATTGGATAAAATCTTCAGTTGGCACCATTTTCTCCCATGGTTAGCACTGGGTGGTGGGAATGGCATTTCCAGTTGGGACCGTGGTTGGGGGACAAAGGCTTCAAGCCCCTTTCCCATGTCACAGTACCTATCCAGCTGGGAAGACCACATGCCAAATATTTGTGTTTTTAAAGGGCATGCAGACCAAGGTTAATGCCAGGTTCATTTGGGGGCAAACCCAACATTTCTTTAGCATTCTTATCCCTTGCCCTCTTTTTGTACATGAGCCAAGATATATTGTACAGGAAGGATTCTAGGCAGAAAAGGATACTGCTACAGGAACATCACAGGCATAAATGCACATACAAATCTAAAATGTGTTGTTTTTCATGAAAATGCTGTGTTATTTTCTGATGTTTCCAACAAACTTCTACCTACTATTTTATTTTGCAACATTTACAGGGCAAAGGAAGATTTGGAAGAATACACTACAGCGCTTAAAGCATCACATCAAAAGGAGCTGGAGAAAATTCTTTGTCAGTATGCTATGGAGCATTCAACTTCCAAGGCAGCCGAGTTAAATAGCAAAATTTCAGCACAGGAGGTGAGGAAGACCAGTCGTCTGTCTCACTGCTTCAAAAAACTGCCAGCGTTTCCTGTTTCTCAATGTTTCGTACTGTAATCTTGCCTCTGAAATATACTATGGTAATAGTTTTGTATTCATTTAAGGTGAAGTTCACAATTCTCCATTCCAGTGTCTTTTTGTGTTCCTAGTCATAGCTGATCTTACATGCTTAGTCAGAGTTAAATTCAAGTGATCTTAATACAGCTTTACTCAACAAAGTTCAAGTTGTTAAACCAAAGCTCCACTTACCTACTTGTAATAGGATTCAAGAGATACTTTGTTGAAAAATTCTAATAATTGAAAATCTTCCCATAGGTCTTTATTAAACATCTTCAGCAACAAGTTCGTGAGTTGCAAAGAGATCAAGAAGCACTTGCGGTTTCACAAAAGCGAGAGGAAATTCTTCAAAAAGAGGTAATTCAGAGTATTAGAAATTTGATTCTTTAAAACGACAGTTTGAGCAAGAACAACAATGTGGTGCCCAGACTCTGCCCTCTTCCCCCTTTCTGCAATTTATGTACAGTGGTACCTTGGGTTACATACGCTTCAGGATACTGACTCTGCTAACCCAGAAATATTACCTCGAGTTAAGAACTTTGCTTCAGGATGAGAACAAAAATCGTGCTCCGGCGGTGCGGCAGCAGCGGGAGGCCCCATTAGCTAAAGTGGTGCTTCAGGTTAAGAACAGTTTCAGGTTAAGAACGGACCTCCAGAACGAATTAAGTATGTAACCAGAGGTACCACTGTATTGGCTTTGGTGCTTCGTTCATCGAGACTTTAAGCCAGAGTTTTCCATTGCATTTTAAATGGGAAACAGGGGTGCAGTATTGTACTGCAGAATGAGATATAAAACCAAAAATAAAAACTAATTTTTACATGTGACAATGTGCGCATACACATACACACACACACAAAATACATATATACCTTGGTTTTCGAACAGCCTAGTTCTCGAACGTTTTGGCTCCCGAACGATCGAAACCGAGAAGTGGTTGTTCCGATTTTTGAACTTTCTTTTGAAAGCCAAACATCCAACAGGGCTGCTGCAGCTTCCGATTGGCTGCAGCTGCAGGAGCTCTCTCTAGCAAGTGTACTTGGGATTCCAGCCTTTCCGCTAAGCTAGTGCAATCCATATGACTTCTATCCTCTTTATATAATAAATAGTAGGGATATTTTAATAAACAAGTGCGCTTATTAGATTCCAGCGTGCTGCATCCCATACTGAATCAATGGGGATGGTGTGCTTACTGAATTCCTTTTGGGGAAACTCCTATCCCCAGAAATGTTTTGAGTGGGTGTAGGAACATCTGTTGCTGCTAATGCGGTTGAACATACACAAAAAAAACAACAGGTAATTTCGTGTTCTCAAATTTTAGATGGCAAAACTGTTAGAAGAACTTGGAGAGGCTAGAGAGAGCCAGACCCCAGAGATGAAACGATTTGTGTGTCTAGAAAGGAAGATCAAACACTTGGAGGCCAGATATGAACAAAGAGAACAAGAACTTCATCAGGTAAATAAAACAGGGAATTCTTCTCTTTAAAAAGTCAATGTTTCAAATGTCTGAGTGCAAATGCCCTTCAAAATGCTTAATGTAACAAGTACTTAAATTATGGAGTCTCAAGCCACATCTAAAAAGTCTGATAGACCTGCAACCTGATTTAGTCAGTATTTAGATGTGTTGGTTTGTAGAGCCCCTTCCAAAGAATTTTTAAAACAAGAATAAATGAAAGGTTTTCTAAATGCTCTGATAATGAAACAGTCGGGTTTAGAAATTATGCTGCCATTTCTCATCAGTGAACCTGCTTACTACCCAGGTAATACAGCAAACACCGCATATTGCGGAAGTTGAACAAATCCAGGAAACTGAGAAATGGCGGAAGCTGGCACTGTTGAAGAACCAAGAGCTTGAGAAATTTCGCATTGAACTGGATTCGATTTTGGATGTTCTACGGCAGCTGCAGAAACAGGGTGTTATCATTCCACCAGGTGGCCCAAGCATGCCGGAAAATGACTGGAAGACTAGAAAGCTCCTCATTTAATCAGTGAAACAGCTTCAATAGAGAGAGAAGATGAAGCCTTGCCACAAAAGGTGATTAGTTTTTAACTTTATAGTTGTGCCCAGGTTTCTCCTGTATACATTTATCCCAATCCTTGCTGACTTGTTTTTATTCTGTATATTAAATAATACTACTTGCAAATTTGAAGTGCTGAACTTTTTTTCCCCTTCACAAAAAAGAATCTCCGCACTTTATTGGATGCATTAAGAGATTTGTCTACCAAAGTAAACTATTGGTGACCAAGAAGGAATATCCATAAGCAGCGTATGATGTCAACTTTCACCAGGTCTTTCTCCTTTGGGGTGCAGGGGTGTCAGCAAACTTCCATTTTCATTCCTGCTCCTAAACCTGTATAAATAAAGGAGCTTCTTTCCACTCTGGAAGCAACTACAGCAAAGCTTTAAAGTGTGGATTTCTATCTCTTGAAAAGGTATGAATAAAGGCTCTTGAAAGGTAAGGTGTATATATATCTCTGCTAACACAATTTTCCAGGTGCTTTTCTAAAAATCAAATTAGGAAAATGCACATCATTTCAAATGATATTTTATGTTTTATTGCTGCACCTGCCTTGCTAGTGCAGTCTATATATAATTTTATAAAGTATTTATAAAATGAATGCTCTTAATACCACATAAATTGTGACTGTAGCATTGACAAGGTGACATAGGTGCATCAATAAAATGGCAGCAGATTTCAGTCTCCTGCAGCTGTTGCAACATGACAAAATAAAGGCATACAGGTGGTTTTTAGGCATTAGAGGCAACTGTTAAATCGTTATCAGGTTAACAGCTTTTTAATTCCTTGGAAGGGACAGAATGAACATTTGCAAATGGCATCTATTCTCATCCTTTTCCATGTCAGTTAATGCTGGAAAAGTGCTGGTTTAGATATCCTAGGATGGAAAGATTTCATTGGCAAGGCCGCCAATCATAATTGGCGATCTTGAGCAAAAACAGGACCATTGCCCATTAAGGCCACTTTCAGACATCAAAGCCAGCTAAAAATTAGTCGGCTACATGAAAAGCACTGGGCCTCAAGTCAGTGTGAAAGTCGCACCATCTGCCCTAGAGTCTGTTTCCTCTGAAACAAAGGGGCTGATTTGTTTCTACTCTGCTTTGAGATTCCCCAAAGTGAGAACACTAATGGTATCCTTTCCCATAAATGATGTGCCACTCTATTTGGCCATGGAAATACTATCCACTCTAGTATTGATACAGTGACACCAAAATGCTACAATATTTAGTCATGTAAAATACTAATTTACATGCACCAGCACCAGGCCATTTAATGACACTCCTGGTGCCTGATCCATCACAATTAGCGATGCCTAAGCTTTTCGCTATCCATAGACTGGTGGAGCCCTAACTTTGCAAGGGATCAAATAGTACGCATTGTTTAAAAAGGCCTTTGTGGTATCAACATGGTGCCACATTACTTCACATGATCTCCACCTTCCCTAGAGATTAAATGAAGTCATAGAAAGTGAGGGAAGGGGGCAGAGCAGGCAAGCTCACAAAGGCGCATCTATTTTAACCTCCAGATGAGGACCATCTTTTAAAAAAATCAGTGTGTCCCTACACAGTCTAGATACCTGTTCTCCCACCTTCTATTTTTTAAAAAAGAAATAACACCTAGCAAAGTAATATACAAAACCATCATTTCTGGCTATAAACCTGCCATTACAGACATGGTGTTGTGTTCCAGCTTCTTGTTCTTTTAATACAAAGGTTAAAAGGTAAAGGACCCCTGAACAGTTAAGTCCAGTCAAAGGCGACTATGGGGTTGTGGCACTCATCTCGCTTTCAGGCCGAGGAAGCCGGCATTTGTCCACAGACAGCTTTCTGGGTCATGTGGCCAGCGTGACTAAACCGCGTCTGGCACAATGGAACACCATGAAGGAAACCAGACTGCATGGAAACGCCATTTACCTTCCCGCCACAGTGGTACCTATTTGTCTACTTGCACTGGCGTGCTTTCAAACTGCTAGGTTGGCAGGAGCTAGGCCCAGCAACAGGAGCTCACCCCGTCGCGGGGATTCGAACCACTGACCTTCTGAGTGGCAAGCCCAAGAGGCTCAGTGGTTTAGACCACAGCGCTACCCACTCCCTTATGCAACTACTACTCCCTAATGCAACGGCTTTAGTAGCAGATATATATGTATATATATGTATCCTCCTTGGACTCATTCAGACTTAACACTAGAAGCAAGCTTTTGAGATGTAGAAAGCTGCTCATTGAGTGAAGGATGTTCAATACAAAAATGGGCAAATTTGAATTTCAAATTATTTAAACAAACCAATAGGAGCATTTAAGGAGATACTATGTTAATTTGCTTTGCTGGAACAGTTATGTTATATAAATCCTCAGAAAAGGCAGTAACCAACCAACAAACAAAAAACCACAGGAATAGTCAACAAGATTCCATCCCACCATCAGAGAACCCTTGTAAAATAAAGAAAATATAAAGCAAAAAGGGACTTACATTACCACAGCTGGAAACGTTTCCCAGGCACGCTGTATGCCGATGTGATGGTATTTGCAGAGTGGTCAGGGCATTTGGTGTCAACAGTAAGGACTCGTAATGGTTAGAGGCCTTATGATGCTGTCAGCTAGATGTCACCATCTTCCTTCTGATAGAGGCACATTCCTTTTTCATAATGGCTAGGTGTGGTATCTTCTTTAGTAGATCAGAGTCTTCATGAGCAAGCCAAAGCCCCCTCCCCCACATCCCAGGGAGGTGGGGCCATTGCCACATCTGCAGCCCTGCAGTGGCAGAAGGTGGGGCAGGTATATCAATTTGGTCCAGTGACAGCAATGGGGCCATTTGGGGGATTTCTGCTGGTTGATGTCAACAAGGATCCCATCAGTGGCCCATCCAACTGCCTACAGGCAAAAGGGGAAGCACTGCTGCCGCAGAAAACTGACACTGGCTTCAATCCATGGCTCGATTTGTAAGTTTGTTTCCATAGTGCTATGTGCAATGCAATTCAGAAGCTCACTTAAGACTAGATATTGCATGGCACAATAAAGGTATGGCAGTTCACAGAAGGTCGCAGGCTTTATTTTTTAATATAAAAATCAACAACCCAGTTTATTTCAAACAATAGTACTGGAGAAATAATGTATATCAAGAAGTTACACTCCTGGATCAAGCATAAAGAAAAGCAAAACAAAACATGCTATTCACACGGAAACCAATTAAGAGCATCTCCGTTTACTTTTTCAATAGGAAAAACACAACTATGGGAACATAAGGGAATAGAAGGTACTTGTCTGAGCATGATGTATACCTACAGGGCTTTTTGTATACAAGCAAGAAACATGCTAGACAATTGGTCCCAGTAAGTATATGTGGTATACATATGACTGAACACACAAGAATAGTTCTTGCACATTATGAGGATTATAAAGCACACATACAGCATAGATACCCACTCATTCCTGCAACACAGCATATGGCATAAGGCTTTCGCCACAGAATGTCCAACTACTTCTAAATTACATAGAACTATGTCTCACTGTAAAGCCATTGACCTCAGTGCAGAGTTCGCTACTTAAGTCCTTTGATCTCAACAGGACTTAGATAAATTGTGGCAATCCCATTTATTTCAACACTTAGGTACAATTGACTTCCTCTGAATTGAGTTTTTGGAGGGTTGTGTTCTTAGCTTGCTTAAATGCAAGGCTTAAGAGTTTTGTGACTTTCAAACACACTCAGGGGCTTCACATGTACACAATCCAACAACTCTCACATCCCATCATATTCCAGCATGGATAACTTCCTTATTAAACAGCTGTTCTGTACTTCTAGAAATAAAATGAAATAAAACAATAAGCAGTGTAAAAAGCTCTGGCTTCATCAAACACTTAAAAAGACCACATAGAACTATCCCATGCTGGTTACCAGAGTGTATTCAACTGTAGTCCTGTACTCACCAATGAAAAATAGGATAGAAAGTAAAGGAGAAATGTGTTCTGTTTTAATGTAAGAAATACCTTGCTCAATATTCTTCAGTCAATAATCTGGTGGGAGGCTGGACTCAGTGTTTGCTCTCTAAAATGATAGGCGGTTCTGAAATCAGCAGGTCGTCTTCACCCAGGGAAGAATTCTGGTCAGTGTTCACAAAGTTGGGGATGTTGAATTTTGCATGGCTATTCAGCTCCTCCTCCAGTCCCTCGCTGCTTTGAATTACTTCCTGAAAATGGATGTTACTGTCCATAACTGGCACTCTCTGGCATTGCTTTGCCCTGTCCATGTTCTCATACTCATTGATGTAGCAGTGAAAAAGCAGCCTGGATTCCTCAGCAGCCTGCTGAGAAATGATCCTATCAGAATCGAGAGGCCTTCCAAAGTCTGCCACAAAGTTGTTCATGCAGAGCCTTTTCTCAGAAGAGTCCGTAGTGCTAGGAAGCAAGGAGAGAGGAGCGGTGGGTGAAAAATTGGGCACTATTTTGTTTAGGAACTCAGTATAAAAGATCAGGTGCCAAAAAACTCTCTGGAAACAGACTGGGCTGAGACAGGATGGCAAAAGAAATGCCCTCCCCATTCTCTTGAGTCAATGGCTTGCCCTTATCCTACACTAATCAATTGATTACATGCCTAATCTGAACCAACCCTAAGTGCTGCAAATTCTGTAGAGTTCATTGGAAGGACTGTCCTCCCTGCCCCACGACAAACCATACATTTCTGATAACAATAAAGCAAAACACCTGTGAAAACACAAACTTAACATAGCAACTGAATGGAAATACTTGTCCTCTCCAGATACTCTTCTTAAAAGGAGAAGCTTGACATGCAGTTGTAATTTTGTGTTTTCAACGGTTAAAAAAAATCCCCAGGAATTTTGAATGTTTTCCACATAATTGTAATTTTCATTTAAAAAACCCAGTTATAAACAAAACCTAAGCCATACCAATTTAAATAAAATCACTAAACTTCTTTTCAGGGGAGCACCCTTACACTCAGAGAATGGATAAAATTGTGTTGGAATCCATCTGCCAGAAAAGGTTTGCGATAGATGGCCTCTGCCTCCTGCAAGCCAGCTAAACCCTATAGCTGGACATTCTGTATTCCCAATGGTTATGGAACTGGGATGGGGAACCTGTGGCTCACCTGATGTCAATGGTTTACACTTCCCATTACTCCCAACCATTGGCAATGCCAGCTGAGGCTGATGGGAATTGGAGTCCAGCTCCATCCACAGGGCCAGTTCTTTATTCCTCATCTCAAATATTCATTAGGCTATCTGATTTATTTCCAGACATCCTGGTTTGGGGGTGCGGGAGAAAGAAGGCTGATGGGACTTTGCCCTTTCCATCTTTCCCCCAGCTTCCAAGCCTTGCCATAAACCACCATCTTGTGTCCTTTTCTTCACTGAAGTAACTGGCATGCCTTCATTGACAAGATCAAGGGGACATCGTCTTTTCAGAACGGACATGTTACATAGAATTGTACAGTGGCTAAAACATAAGCTGTGTTGGGTCTACTCTATTTCTGAGCGAATTCCAAAGAGCTATGGCAACAGAGGTGCTGCTGCCACCTGGGTCCTGGGCCTTAGACGTCTGTTTGGTGGTACTTACTCTTGGTGTGGTGCTCCCGCCTTGGTCAACAAGGTCAGTACAAAGAACATAAAAATGACGAAGACAACAAGGCCAACCCAAAACCCAATCACAATCGAATCTGTAAGAGAAGCAGAGAAGGAGGGAGATTAATCGCTGTGGGTACATTAGATTTCCATTAATACAAAAATGAAAAATGAACCAGCTGTTGCCCAGTCCTTGGCTGATTATGTTTCGTGTACATTTTGTCAAGCCCTGATTTGGTGAGGTTCAACTCTGCACAGAAATGTATTTGTGCGTGCTACTGCCCCCAGCTATATGTACAATCCACATATATCACTGTCTGTGTCAGCTGTTCACAGTGTGGGTCACTTGTGAGCAGGCTGGGGTGCCTAAATTCCCCTCCCTACCTTCCTCTCTAACTTGCAGCAGGTGATCAGTGATGTTAGAACTTGCACTGCCAGTCATGTAAAGAACTCTGGATCGGGGCCAGAGTCTTGTATAATATACACTGTCAGTGAAATCAGGCAAAGAAAAACTGTGCTGCTTTGCAGGGGCGGAGGAAGGGGGTGCAGTGGGGGTGGGCCGCCCCAGGTGTCACAACTGAGAGAGGTGACAAAATGCCAGGCGGCACTCACTGCGAGGCCTGCAGAGCACCCAAGCCACACGTCTCTCCTGGGAGTGAGGCGGTGGCTTGAGTGCCCACAGGTTCTGCGCTGCCCCAAACAGTCCGCCCGTTGCCTCCCCCTCAGCAGTAGGGCAGCTGAGTGGGAGGAGACAGGCAGACTCCTCAGAGGCCCCATGGAGCGTCCTGCCCCAGATGGCCCCGCTCTGCAGGTGGCTGGCCCCATCCATGGGTGCAGGGCACGGCCCTGGGCATAGGGCACACGTTCCGCCCCAAGCGCCTGAACGGCTTTCTCCACTGCTGCTGCTTTGCAAAGATTCCTCTAGCACAAGTATAGCATGGGAAACAACCAGCTAGGTCCGTGCGCATACACACAAACACACACATTGTGGCATTTCCTTCCCAATAGTCCAGGGGGTTGAATTTAAAACCAGCAAAGAAGGCGAACTCAAATGATAGCAAGAACACAAAAGTAAGATACTAAAAGCTATTTTTTTCTTAGCTATATAATTTTCAAACAATAAAAGGAACGATTACCGCGTGGCAGAGTAAAGCAGCTTATAATTAAGGCTGATTGCAGCTTCTTTATGCTCTGCTCACATTTGACGTTCTGCATACAACTCTGGCAAATTCCATTTGGAATGATAAGCCTCCTTTCATAAAGGACTATGTAGTGCTCATCACAACAGTCTTGGCAAAGAACAGCTCAGATTACAGGAACAAATTGAGGTTATGTGATTATTAGCAAGGCCATGAAACATAGGATGAGCAGAGACAATCTAAAAAGAAGCTCGCCATCTACCCCTGAGGCATGGAGTGATCCTGAAATGACTGGTGCTCATAAAAGAAAAGAAATTCCTGGCTCAGAAGTCAGGGTTGCCCCCTTCCCTATCTGTAAAGCCCATGTTCTCAAACTACGGGCACAAATATTTAAGAAAATTACAAGGGGTAAGTCAACGGTGCTATCAAATTGACTAAGAGTGTGTGTTTGTGTGTGTGTGTGTGTGTGTGTGTGTGTGCGCGCGCGCAATTTCAAAAATGCATTTTCTTGACATTCGAGTTGAGAATGAAGAGTTTTAGTAATTGAAACAACCAAAACATAGAGTTTCCATATTAAGACTTACACTTATGAGCCTTGAGGCCTTCAAAGGAAACTGGCCCATATTCATAATATTCATATTCCCAAGTATAATCAGAATTCGATAGCAAAGAGTGGTGGGATGTTCTGTTGGAAATAAATCTGGGTCCAGCCATCTCCAACCTGTATCAATACAGAAATGCAAAGACAACAAGCTTTAGCAGAAAAAACGCATCTGAACCAAGCCCCCACCCCAAACCTCTCAGCTTTCTACCCACGACTCCTCATTCCAATCAGCAGCAGTTCTCTTCTCTTACAAATGCCAGCCTTCACCTCCACCTTTTGCAGTCTGTTGATGGATGGCTAAAATCAGCATTGAAGCGGCTGAACACAAGGTGATTCCAGGACTGATGTCAGGCTATATATAGCCTTTCCTCCATGGAGCTCAAGCTGGCATACAAGGGTTCTCTCCCTGACAACGTTCCTGTGATGTAGGGGACACTGAGAGACAGACACAAGGTCACCCAGTGAGCTTCATGGCTAAGTGGGAATCAGAACTCTGCCTTCCCAGGCCCTAGTCCAAAACTCTAACCTTTACGCCACCTGGACTCTCTGGGGCTCATAGATTTTATGCTAAAAGTGAGGTGCTGTGGACCAGCTGTAGACACATAAAAGGAACATAATGCTGCGTTATCATCCATTCAGAGACAGCTTGCAATTATTACAAGCCCTCATTTTATGTTTGCATAGTTTACAAATGTATGCTTATATGTGTAGCACAATGCCACAATCAGGCGCCTTCAGTGTAGTTTAAAGGACATTAATAAGTTGAAGCCTCACAACCGTTTCCACTTTAGAGGAAAGAGAACTCTGAAAAATGTGTGCACATATATTAAGACTGTTTGGTGCAGTACAGGCTATTTGGTATTCTCTCGCTATCCAAGCGTACCTGTCACAGAGGGATTTTTGAAAACCCTCTGCAGGCTTAGTGTTTTAAAAATAGCTGGGCTCTTAATTTTGATAGGCAGTTCGTAATAAATTCTGCAGTTTTGAAAAAAAGTGTACACTCTAGTCAGCCTCAGGAGGTAATCTGTTAATTCTAAAACTAACTACTAGCATTAAAAAAAAAGAAAATGTGATAGCCATTCATTTCTTTCAGTTCTTCAGACGAAAGCATGTGCTCCACGTTCAGTTTCTTGCCAGGGCCCTTTCACTTTTAAGTATAGCCACTTTCCAACTGACTCTCAGTATCTAATCATCACCTCATGTCTCATAACAAAGAACTCTGGGGCATGATGTTATTTTCCAGTTGTCTGCTCAGTGGGTGCATACAAACATTTATTCACTGCACTGAAAGCATTAGTCAACATACACCCATTTTTAGCATTTACCACATTTATCATGCCAACTTCACAAAGCAGACAAAACGTAGGATTGCTAGCATACCCAATCAGTGCACTTCATGGGATCAAACCCAACATTCTGTCCTGTACACCTGAGTGACGCAGGGAAACTGGGGCAAGGGGGAGGGAGATCATTTTTGTTAATCATTCACATTTGATGATTTGTTTCCTCCTCCCTGCCCCACCACTTTCCCTCTCATGCTCCCTGCTCTTATTTAAGCTTGTCAGCTTTCAGAAACAGTGTATGCTACCAACTGAAGTGCTAACATAGTATTCTTTAATAAGAGATGAACGACTAGCTAATGAGTCTCAGACTCCGGAAAGATATTGTGGGGGCTTACGTTGTGCACAACATTGTGGATTGCAATGTCGCGACATTGGGCACAGTGCCTGGCGAGACAGCCAGGCAGCTCAGCTTCCATGGCCGGGGTTCCTTCGCCGCCTCCTGCTGCTGCCATGGGCTGGAGGCTGCTTCCCCTCCACAACAGCAGGAGAAGGAGCCAAGTTCCTGGCTCACACAACCACTTCAAATGGCCCCCCTCATAACAAGTGTCTGAATTTGACTCCCCCTTTGAGCTTGAGGTCAAATGTTGCTCCAGTCCCTCCACGCCACCCCTGATACCTTGCAGTCACTGCAGTGAAGTGTACAGTGGTACCTCGGGTTAAGAACTTAATTCGTTCTGGAGGTCCATTCTTAACCTGAAACTTTTCTTAACCTGAAGCACCACTGTAGCTAATGGGGCCACCTGCTGCCGCTGCGCCGCCAGAGCACAATTTCTGTTCTCATCCTGAAGCAAAGTTCTTAACCCGAGGTACTATTTCTGGGTTAGCAGAGTCTGTAACCTGAAGCGTATGTAACCTGAACCGTATGTAACCTGAGGTACCACTGTACATCCTTATGAAGCTTTTTACATCCTTAAGAAACTTTTAACAACAGAACAGATCCATGATCTGGCAATGGCCTCAATACAGTCATTTGATCCCCTAAGGGCTAGATCAGCACTTTATTTATTTCTTAAATTTGTATACCACCCTATACCCGCAGGTCTCAGGGTGGTTCACAAAATAAAATCACGATATCAAAACACAGAATACATAATCAAAATATGACCTGACCAGGAAAAGGGAGTGGATCCCTCACCCTTTCTGGCTCCTTAACAACGATCTGATATTCAGAAATCAGCAACTGATGCTTTTATTAGCATGAACATAAACATAAGAAATGGGTACACCAGCCAGAGAGACTTCAAATGCCTGGATCCCTTTGCAACAAGTGTGGGAGGACTGCCCAATCCTTGGATGATTTTTTTTTTAAAAAAAAGATGGGCCACCAATGATGGCTATTCTGTGCTTAGGGATGGGAAGGCCTGGGGGGGGGGCAGGAAAATTTTTCCAGTTTTTTTTTTTGTTTGTTTTGTTTATTATAAAATATTTATTGGTTTTACAAAAAAAAGAATTTCCAAAAAAATACAAAATTACAAAAGTTCAACAAACAAAAAACAACAATAACCATGACAAAAAACAAACAGAAATAACAGTATCCATAACAAAAAGAGAAAAAGGAAAAAAGGAAAAAGAGACAAAGAAATTCAAAGAATATTATACTTTCATTTATCCTTCTTATCTTTACCTGGTTCTTTGACTTCCCCGCACCTCCCGCTTGTATTTCCATTTAAGAACTCCTTTCAGCAAATCCTTACCCTCCTTTCATTATCTTAACTCAGAAAACTTAATCTATTTATATATAAATATTTTTACAACCTTATCAGTCAAATATTCCATACTCTTAATCCCAAGGCTTTTGCCAATACCAGTTATTTTCAATCAGACTTCAATTTAACATTCATTGATTTTATAGTATTTCTGTAGATAGACTTTAAATTTCTTCCAATCTTCTTCCACCGACTCTTCTCCCTGGTCACGGATTCTGCCAGTCATCTCCGCCAGTTCCATATATTCGATTACCTTCATCTGCCATTCTTCCAGAGTGGGTAAGTCTTGTGTCTTCCAATACTTTGCGATGAGTATTCTTGCTGCTGCTGTTGCATACATAAAGAAAGTTCTATCTTTCTTTGGCACCAATTGGCCAACAATGCCCAAGAGGAAGGCCTCTGGTTTCTTTAAGAAGGTATACTTAAATACCTTTTTCAACTCATTATATATCATTTCCCAGAAGGCCTTAATCTTTGGGCACGTCCACCAAAGGTGAAAGAATGTACCTTCAGTTTCCTTACATTTCCAACATTTATTATCGGGCAAATGGTAGATTTTTGCAAGCTTAACTGGGGTCATGTACCACCTGTACACCATTTTCATAATATTCTCTTTTAAAGCATTACATGCTGTGAACTTCGTACCTGTGGTCCATAACCATTCCCAGTCAGCAAACATAATGTTATGTCCAATATCCTGTGCCCATTTAATCATAGCAGATTTTACCGTTTCATCCTGAGTATTCCATTTTAGCAGCAAGTTATACATTCTTGAAAGTGTTTTAGTTTTGGAATCTAGCAGTTCTGTTTCCAACTTTGATTTTTCCACCTGGAAGCCAATTTTTCTATCCAAATTATAAACCTCTCTTATTTGGTAGTAATGCAACCAGTCTCGCACTCTGTCTTTTAATTTTTCAAAACTCTGCAATTTGAATTTATCTCCTTCTTGTTCCAAGATCTCCCAATATTTTGGCCACTTGGCCTCCATATTGGACTTTTTTAGGGCCTTTGCCTCCATTGGTGATAGCCACCTTGGGGTTTTGTTCTCCAATAAGTCTTTGTATCTTATCCAGACATTAAACAATGCTTTCCTGACAATATGGTTTTTAAATATTTTGTGAGCTTTCACCTTGTCATACCACAAATATGCATGCCACCCAAACACATTATTAAATCCTTCTAAGTCCAAAACATCAGTATTTTCCAGAAGTAGCCAATCCTTCAACCAGCAGAAAGCTGCTGATTCATAATAAAGTTTAAGGTCTGGCAGGGCAAATCCCCTCTTTCTTTAGCATCAGTCAATATTTTAAATTTTATCCTAGGCCTCTTGCCCTGCCAGACAAACTTAGAAATATCTCTCTGCCACTTCTTAAAACAGTCCATTTTGTCTATTATTTGTATCGATTGAAACAAAAACAGCATTCTTGGCAATACATTCATCTTGATGACAGCAATTCGACCTAACAAGGAAAGCTTCAAGTTTGTCCATATTTCTAAATCTTTTTTAATGTCCGACCAACACTTTTCATAATTGTCTTTAAATAAATTCCCATTTTTAGCTGTCATGTGAATCCCCAAATATTTCACTTTTTTACCACTGTTAAACCTGTCTCATTCTGAAACCTCTCTTTTTCTATCGGTGTTAAATTCTTCTCAAGTACTTTAGTTTTAAACTTATTCAGCTTAAAACCTGCCACCTGACCAAACTCTTGAATCAGTTCTAATGCTCTTTTCGTACTAGATTCTGGCTCCTGTAATGTCAGTACAAGGTCATCTGCAAATGCTTTCAGTTTATATTGTTTCGCTCCGACCGTTATGCCCTTAATCAGATGGTCCCTTCTTATCATATTTAACAAAACCTCCAGAACAGAAATAAAAAGTAGTGGGGAAATTGGGCAGCCTTGTCGTGTCCCTTTCTCTATCTTAATTTCCTCTGTTATCACATTATTAACTATTAATTTAGCTTTTTGTTCTGAATAAATTGCATTTATACCATTTTCAAACTCTTGGCCTACCCCCATCCCCGGAAGATTTTTTTCATAAAACTCCAAGAAATATTGTCAAAGGCTTTCTCTGCATCCACAAAAATCAAAACTGCTTTAGTGTTGATCTCCTCTTGCAGCTTCTCCAGAATATCAATTACGTTCCTTGTGTTGTCCGAAAGATGTCTATCTGGAAGAAAGCCAGCTTGGTCCTTGTGAATCACTCCTTTTAACACTTTTTTAAGCCTTTTTGCTAAAATATCAGCAAAAATTTTGTAATCCACATTTAACAGGGATATGGGCCGGTAGTTCTTAAGCTGTGTCTTTTCAGTCTCAGCCTTTGGTATAAGTGTAATAAATGCGTCTTTCCACGACTCTGGCGCTCTTTTCCCCTCTAAAATTTCATTACAAACCTCAGTTAAAGGTCGAATTAACCAGTCTTTCAAAGTTCTGTAATATTTTGAGGTTAAACCATCCGGTCCTGGAGATGGAAAATTTTTCCAGTTTTTCCCCCAGGTCTTCCCATCTCTACCTGTGCTTATGAGATATTTATCATTTAACAAGAGAAAGCAAAACATCCACTTGAAGAGACTTTTGTGGAAACTGTACTTATAACCCCAAGGAAAATTTTCCCTAAAGTGTTCTATATTGCAGGCAGGGGAAAGAGGCGTCATTGTACAGTGGTACCTCAGGTTAAGAACTTAATTCGTTCTGGAGGTCTATTCTTAACCTGAAACTGTCCTTAACCCAAGGTACCACTTTAGCTAATGGGGCCTCCCACTGCCACCGTGCGATTTCTGTTCTTATCCTGAAGCAAAGTTCTTAACCCGAGGTACTATTTCTGGGTTAGCGGAGACTGTTTTCTCCCTTCAGTTACTCAGTGTAGAGGTACATAATTTTGTCTTTTGCCAGGGGGATTTTGGAAGGCAATAGACACAGCATCAAACTGTATATTTAAAAAATATCAAAAGGCATAATCCACATTCTCTACCTGCCTCAAGCAAAAGGCATCATTAAACCACCAGCAGCATCTTCAATTCTCACCATAGTGAGTCTCTGCATGACATCAATTTAAATTTGAGAGCTCCAGGCAAATGTTTAGTCAGAGAACTGACAGGCCAGGAAAGCTGTTGGAAAATTGCATTTGCAAATAATGGTAGTGGGTGAAGTGATGATATCAACAGGTTTCTAGTAGAAATTGATGATTCAGCAGATTGTTTTACGTGTTCCCTTACTCCTTATACCTCAAATAAATCTAGCAACAAAGTGTACCACATAGGTCATCCAAGGAGTCCTCTGATGGCTTCTACAAATTAGAAGACAAATTTCTCTCTTTTAAAAATAATAATAATACTGTACTAAAGCTATAACATGAAAGCCCTGGATGACAAACCTGCCACACTGTGGCAAAATCCTTTGCAGATTTATAGCAAAATCCTATTTACATCAGCAACCATTTATAAACAATAACAGTCTGTCTGATGGCATGGCTCATACCTGTGGAAGCACATGTTCAGCACTGGTTCCTGAACTTCAGAGTATATCCCAAGATGCTTTTCTACCACCACCCCCACCCCACACAGGATGGGCCAGAGACATAATGGTGCTTGAGGTGGCACATCTAAAATGGAAGTCTGCTCACCAAACAGTGTGGCAGTGACACATTCCAGTGGAAAGTTCCCCTGCTCAAGCCACATTGAAATAAATAATAATAATAGAATAAATGCTTAATGAGATTCTGGCCTTAGGTCAGTGTATACTGAGCTCTTCTGCTGCTCCTGCCCATTACAGGGAGCTTTGCACAGAGAACTTCCTGGTGGGTTGTGCTCAATAGATCATGTCTCTCCCCATTCTATTCTGCTACATTTAATGGCACCCACAAAGTGCCTTGCTCCTGCATGCACACACTTGTGGGTGTATACACACACCCGCATCAAGATGATGCCTCCTGTCATGGCAATCAGAGAGAGAGAATACACACACATAAAAATGCATCATGTGCATACAGAGTTCCAAGATTTAAAAGCTTAGCGCAACACTCCACAAGGAAACAAGTCAATCTGAGAGATTTTATGCCCATCTTCCGTGGGTTCCTGCAGCTGATAAATCAGGCTGATGAAATGAGGCATCACCAAAAAGCAAAGTAAGGAAATTTAGGAAGAACCATGGAGATTACTCATCTACATTAATGAGCTCCAAGACAGCTAATGCAGCAACCCAGAAAGCAAAGTAGCTTTGATAAATGCTCATTAACAACGGTTGCGGCTGTAAAGCAGAAAATAAAGCTTAGATAGCGTTTAAGGATCTTAGCACAGAACTACAATTAGTTACAGATGGCCCCCTATTGATTCCCTCCTCCTCCTCCATCTCCCTCTCCCCTCTTTTCATTCTCATTCTCACTACTTCCCATAGAGCAAGGAGGTGCTGGTCCAAGGTTCATACTGCCTCCCCTGTTGGTATGCATCTGAGTACCAGTTGCAGGTTATCACAAGTTTCGAGAGTGGTGTTGTGCTCAGGTCCTGCTTGCGGCCTTCCTGTGGGCATCTGGTCTGCCACTGTAAGAACAGGACGCAGGACTCAATGGGACTTTGGCCTCATCCCACAGGGTCCTTCTTGTGTTCTCCTGGGAACAGTGGTGGTCCTCAGTCCCTGTGCCCTACTTTCATTTGTTGCATGGGGGAAACAGTGTACAAGGACCAGTCAAACAGATTCCCTTTGGCCCCAGGAGCTAAGCATCAGTAAGGATTCCCAGAGCCTTCCCAATCGGTTAGCCCGTTGAGCCATGTCAGGGCCCTGGTGGTGGTCAGCTTAGTGAGTCGCAGACCCACCAGATTAATTACTCGATCTCTGCCTCCTTTCTTTTAGCAAATGTTTTGTGCCACTGGGGAAGTGGTTATTCTGTATTGATTTGTTTTGGATGTTTGTATGTGATGCCAATAAAAGGTTTGATGATGAGTAAGGATTGACATGACTCTGTCAAGGCTATGTGAAGCATTCTATCTTATTATAAATGGCCAATAACACCTAAGGCAGAAGAAGAGGAGCCTGGCATGAAAGCAGAAATATGCCAGAGGAGAAGAAGAAAATGATAGTGGCAGAAAGAGAAATGGAAGAGGGAACGTATTAAGGAAGGAGAATAAAGGAAAAGGAGTGTCTCTGTAGACACATCTATCCATTGCAAGGCAACACTTGTCTTTTAAAAGCAAGCTCACATAGAAATATTTAAGTATAGTGTGTATACTTTATCATTAGAGTCTTGACACTTTAGAAACATGGAACAATACAATGGTAAAAAAACAACTGAAAGAGTCAATGTCTAATATTAGCACAACTAAGAAAGGAATGCAATATAAGATGAAGTAGTCCTTTCTACCTTCAGTGACCAGTGTGAAGGGCTTTACCAGGCAAAGGGCCTTCTCAGTGGTGGTGCCCACCCTGTGGAACACCCTCCCATCAGATGTCAAGGAAATAAATAACTATCTGACTTTTAGAAGATATCTAAAGGCAGCCCTGTTTAGGGAAGTTTTTAATGTTTGATGTTTTAGCATGTTTTTAATATTCTGTTGGGAGCTGTCCAGAGTGGTTGGGGAAACCCAGTCAGCTGGGCATGGTATAATTAATAAGATTATTATTATTATACACAGATATAATTTACTAATTATCAAATATAGGAAAATAGAATGCTGGACTAGACAGGCCCTTTGCCTGATTCAGTAGGGCTCTTCTTGTCTATCAAGGGCAGGAATTGCTTCATTAGAAATACACTGCCATCATCTCCCTGGCCCCACCTGAATGAACCACATGAGTGATAACAGCAATCTCCTATCGTAAAATAAAAATCTTCGCTTCTTAAGAAATTTCAAAACAAACAAACAGAGGTTTACAATAACCAAAAGGCACCTGTTTCAGGATTAAAAAGAACACCTAAATACATTGTTTCCAGTTTCTCCTATTTAGACTAAACCAAGGTTTTCTGATGCTTTCACAATTCAACACAAATGCTCTGTTCACTTCTATCTGTCTTGTTCTCCTAAATAGTGTGACATGCCAGGGATGTGCCACATGCAGGCATTTTGGCGTTGTCCATGACTTCTTCCCACAGCCCAGAACCTGGGATTTTCTCAGGGCACATATTAAAGCTTTGCCACAATGTTTTTAAACAGCTCAGTTATCAGAAGGCAGCATATCAGAAATACAAGGCAGAATTCAAAGTTGCACAAGTGAATGACCACTCACACCATGGAACTTCACATTCTACTCTTCTCCCTGCAACTTTTTGCACCCCCTAGCCCCATAAATATCTGCTCCAGAACCAGAAGGTCCCCCCCACCTCCAGATTTTGAGGACACACAGAGGACTGCAGAGGGAGGAGAGGAAGTTGAAGTCCTATCGTCCATGCAGAACTCCACTGCATTCACGCGGACAGCACTGGAAGCAACACACAATCAAGTTGCCTTCAACAAACAGTGCCTTGTTCAAGAAATTCCCACCTCAAAACTGTGAACGTTGGAAGTTACTACCCCACTTCTCCAGAACAGCAGCGCAAGGTCTTACACAGCTGGCCTGCTTAAATTTATCATTTAAAATTTATGTGGCTTATTAAGTTCAAATAAGATATTCAAATACACACACTCCCCTGACGGATGAACAAATTATCCACTTCTCTGTACATTATAACAACTCGCTGTCTGCAACTGCATTAAAATTCATACAGTTTATTAAACCCTGGTGTTTTCCAAAGGTAACATAGATATGTAGAGCAGGGGTCAGCAAATTTTTTCAGCAAGGGGTGGGTCCAGTCCACTGTCCCTCAGACCTTGTGGGGGGGGCGGACTATATTTTGGAACAGAAAAAAAAGAACGAATTCCTATGCCCCACAAATAACCCAGAGATGCATTTGAAATAAAAGGACACATTCTACTCATGTAAAAACACGCTGATTCCTGGACTGTACACGGGCTGGATCCGGCCCCCAGGCCTTAGTTTGGTAACCCATGATGTAGAGAGTGCCTGGCATTCGCTTCTCCTCTGAAGAATACAGTACAGTATGGCTAGGAAGATACAAATGGAAATAATTGGGTTGCTTGACTGTAGCAATTACTGTAACAATACAAAAGAGGGTTAGAAGGAGAAAGAAAATAAAAATGACCTTCCGAAAGAGCTACGTCAAATTACAACCAAGGCTCCAGCTGTACAGCTTACATATCTTTTTTATCTTATAAAAAGATTTTATACAAAGATCCGTGATCCTCTTGGTACCCAGTCACAAAGGGCTGGAGAAGCTTTGCTTCAGTGACCCAAACTACTCTAGTGTTGATTTTTAGCACAAACAGCTATGCAAACCTGTTACGGGTGTAGAGCTCAAGGTTTAAGCGTGATTGTGCAAAACAGGTGGATAATTTCTTGCTAGAAAGACAGGAAGTGGCTCTCAGCACTGGGTGGCAACACTATGCTAGATTTCCAGCAGGTGGGTTGTAGATGTGTGGGGAGTGTTGTATTTTCCTGTTACTATTATTGCATTATTCTTTTTTGTGTAAACCACCCTATGGCCTCTTGATGAAAGGCGGTATATAAATTTAACAAATCGTCATCCTAATCATTTTGGACACTTTATATTTTTATTAAAAGTCTATCTGAAGGGGGGAGGAAGGAGGAAGCTATGTTTCTCTTGGATCTACTGTATTTTTCGCTCTATAAGACGCACCAGACCACAAGACGCACCTAGTTTTTGGAGGAGGAAAACAAGAAGAAAAATATTCTGAATCTCAGAAGCCAAGAAGAGCAAGAGGGATTGCTGCGCAGTGAAAGCAGCAATCCCTCTTGCTCTTCTGGCTTCTGTGATAGCTGCACAGCCTGCATTTGCTCCATAAGACGCACACACATTTCCCCTTATTTTTTAGGAGGGAAAAAGTGAGTCTTATAGAGCAAAAAATACGGTACTTCCCAAAATCGTACCCACCCTCTCATCTCTTTCCTTGAGATATCCAGTTTCACAAACTGGGAAGCCATTTTGCCATGCTCTAAGTTGAAGGACAAGAGAGAGCAAGTGTTGAAGTAACCCCTGCTGTCTGAGGCCGTAACAGAGAAGCAACTGAAGGTGTACTTTATCCCAGAAACAAAAACAACCACGTTTATTTCCTCCATAAACAGTTCTGCTCAGTTACTAAATGGCTGCTCCACTATTAGCCTTGGCCAATTCCACGTGGAGGAAAATGACTTCTGTTAAAGAGAAAGAAATGCTGTTTTTGTTTTGTTTAACACTGGACGAGAAGCATTTTAGCAATGTCCCAATCATATCTTCCACATCATTAGCGGGTGCAGAAACTAAATTGTAACTAAGTCGGCCCCTTCCTCAACGTTAGAGAAACTCAAAGCAATTTAATAAATCCAGCTTGCTTCAGCCTAGACCTGCAGCTATTTTTTCTTTTAGTTTCTTTTTTAAAAATTTGCTTTTTATTAGTTTTCTTCCTTGGTGAACAAACACAGACAATAAAATAACCAAAATAGTAAAATGACAACAACAAACAAAAAGGGAAAGGGGGGGGAAGGAAAAAACTTACAAAAAGCATACATACAACCATAAATCCATAAGTTCTTCCAGATGGACTTATGTCACTATATTCTTTAATCCCAATTCCTTTTCTTCTCTAATAGGCTTCCATCCTCCTCAACGCAGGTCTATTTTGCCTATTTTTAAAACTGTTCCTTTTATCCTTTCTTCATTTCTACTGTTTTCCGCATACTATACTTGTAATCCATGCTGTGTTTTGCGAAAATTAATCAAAGCAAATCCAGGTTTTGACTTGGGGATACTGTTGTTGTTTTTTAATAATCTCTGTAAATTTCCATTCCTTTTGGAATTTTCGGTTAGGCTTCATTTCAGTTTCCCAGATGGTAGACAGTTTAATTCCATCCATTCAAGTTACGGTGGAACAAGTTTGTATTGGCTGAACTATTACATTAGCCCAATTATTGCAGCTCTTACATGTCTGCCCTTTCACTGACTGGGCCCCCTGCCCACAACACCACCTCCCCCAGCAAACTTCATTATAGAAGCATAAGACTGAGATCTGACATAAAGTTGACTGCTCATCTTCTTTGAGGCTTCGGCACACGCTTTGCTTTGCTATCCCGATCTTTGTTTCTCCCACTGTGCAGCACAAAAGTTCAGGCAATTGTCTTCCTCTGTCCAACCTATTTGGCAAATACAGATGGGATAATAGGGTTTCTAAGCGCGTTCCAAAGCTAGGTATGGCAGAGATAAATTAACAACAACAGATCTTGCAGGTAAGCCTTCAAATCTACTTGTCTTTACTAAAAATCTCACTGGAGATGACTCAGTCAAGTTATTCATGCTTGGGGACATAATATGATCTGCTAGCTAGGAACTATCAATAAATCATCTTTGCCTTATGGCTGTCAGCAGTACCATATATTTGGAAAGTGAGGCGTACCCAAAGTAAAGGAAGGATTGAACTTTGATTAATAAGAATACACACAGAGGCTTGAACCAGCAAGACTCTGGGAAGGGTGCGTATAATAATCTCTGTCTCCCTCCACCCCTCGGCCCAGGTCGTTTATTCACAAAAGAACTTTTACAGAGTGTTTGTAAGAACCAATCAGATTTCTTCTGAGCTTTTCAACAAACCCCACGGGGGAGGGGGGGACAAAGTTAAACTACCAAAACTAATTAAGCATGGGGTAAATAAATTGAGAACTACAAAGGAGTGCATCCAGCAACCCCAGAGATCATAAACAAGCAATATACATGATAAGAAGGATGGCCAGGAGGACAGCGATCATTATCACCTTCATGTGAGATCTGTTTCCTGGCCCTAAGATTAACATCCTGGGATTAACATATCAGAAAGGCTACTTCAAAGAAGCTGCCCACTGTCTTTGATGACCCAGGATGCCTGCCTGGCAAGCAACTGGAAGCAACTGGGCTGCATACATGACTTGTCAAGCAAGAGAAATGGACAGTAGAGAAAATGGCCAGAGATGCAGAGGGTTGTAGGATTTGATCAGAAATTATTGTCAATGCATCAAACCCAGTCAACACAATGCATTCATCGTGGACACAATGGCTTGATGCATATTTTATAATTCCTCATAGTAATCCCACCTGACCCCACACTCTGGATATTTGCACTCCTACAGGAAAGAGGCACATGCATGGTGCTGTGGTCTAAACCAAAGAGCCTCTTGGGCTTGCTGATCAGAAGGTCGACGGTTTGAATCCCCGCGATGGGGTGAGCTCCTGTTGCTCTGTCCCAGCTCCTGCCAACCTAGCAGTTCGAAAGCACACCAGTGCAAGTAGATAAATAGGTACCACTGTGGCAGGAAGGTAAGTGGGATCATCTTTAAGGATGGTCCTGGTTGTGGGCAGGCCCCCAGGCCGGTTCCTCCTCCACTGGGTGGGCAGAGTAATGCCGTTATGCCAAGGTGGCACCACGATCACCCCGGCTTCTTGGCCAATCGCTTTGGGGGGGATCGTGGGGGGATATAAAAGTGGCAGCGTGACGCGTGTCAGGCACCTGCTTCACGCTGCCAAACACCCACCCACCCACCCTTTATTTTAGATGTCCTCTGGCAGTGGTTTGGATTTCGGTTGGTCACCTGTCTTGGGACGGGGGCCAGGTAGGAATTTTTCCATTTGGCAGATTGGCACTGGCCACTTGGTTTTCACCTACCTCTTCGCAATCGTCACAACTTCGTAAGGTTTGGCGGTTAGGCATTGGCTCACTGATTTGTGGGGGAGGGAAGGTCAGCCATCGCCTGCCCCTCCATTGACCAAGGGTATTCCGTTAAAGGAATCCAGGGCCTGAATCCTGTCTGAAGTCCGCTTGAGGGGCTAGGGCCATGCCAGGCCTCTAGAGACACCGAGGAGAGCTACAGGCGGGTTCCTCCAATGTGGCTTCCTCTTTGGTTTACCCTTACTCACTTCCTGCAAAGGGGGCAGGAGTCCGATATAGTCCTTTGCCAATGCCTAAGCCAATACCGCTCACATTTCTGTAATCAATAAAGTTTTGGCCTGAAAGTGAGATGAACACCACAACCCCAGAGTCGCCTTTGACTGGACTTAACCGTCCAGGGGTCCTTTACCTTTTACCTTATATTTGGAAAGTGTTGCAGGAATGGGTGATACCAAAGGTTGTAGTTTGAACAGATCAGGGATGGCCAACTCCCAAGAGACTATGCAACTCCCAAGAGACTACGATCTTTAAAAACTGGCAGTGATCTTTTTAGGAAGTAGGAAGGCCCGTTTTTTAGGGGTTCAGGTCAAGATTGTTAACCTTTTTTTAAAGGAGGGGGAAAGCCATGCTTTTTTGGCATGCAGGACAAAAATGTTGAGCTTTTTTTAGGGGAGCCAAACTTGTTGAGCTTCTTTAGGGGGAGCCAGTGATCTCCCACAGATGTCCAGTGATCTACCGGTAGAATAGATGGTAAGTCTGCAATATGTAGTCTTTTGCTTCTGTCCTCGTTTTCAAACAGACTCTTCAGCAACCCTGAAGCTTCAACCCCCTTTTTCCTCCTCATACTCTTTCTTTCCTTTGTCTAGTACTTATTTAGCCCTTCCCCCCCCCCATACTGAAAGTCTCGAGAAAATAAACTGAGTGCTGAATTGAGACTAGGAAGACCTGGGTTCAAACAACTACAAAGATTACGGTGTGACAGTCTCGACAGCCTACCTCTCAGAGCTGTAGGGAGAATGTATTAATATGAACCCTTGACTGCCAACCCTGAACGCATGGGTTGAAGGAAGGGATAGGAACATGGTCAACTCTAGTAAATGTTCAGTGAAATTATCACAGAAAGTTGCAGGAACCAGCGGTAGCCTTCTGCCATTCATCGCTAGTGCAACCATATTTGATCCTGCTATCACATATGTCCATTCCTCTGGCTGACAGGATCAGAAGTCTGGAGAGAGGCTTTCTTTTATTTAGTAAAGTGTCAGAATTTGACCAGGGGAGACTGGAAGCATCAATCGGCCTGTTGTGGTGTTCTCTTCTGCAATACAGAATTGCTATAATCCCAACAGCCAGAAAAACAGAGAACTGCAACAAATACTTCTCTTGCAAGCTTTCCCCAAAAGCTTTCCATCTCCTGCAGCACTGACTCAGTTCAGCCAAATTCGCGTCTATCAAGGAACATACTGTTCTCACAGACTTGATCTGTCTTTTTTCTCTGCAAACCAATTTTAAATTCAGACGACAATTATCACCCTCACAATGAATCCTGCCATAACAACTCTGCTGTAGGCATATTCTCCCTCCCTCCCTTCCCCCTCTGTGAGTGTTTCATTCTGGGATCTGGATTAACTTCAGAATAAATTCCGCCAATTCACTTCTACTCACCACCATCAATGACATATCAGAGTAACCCTACTGTGATCCCAGCTACTTTCTCAAGACCATTTGCTGTGCAGTACTTATTGGTTCATATTTCAGCCACCATTTCCCCACAGAACTGGTTGAAAAACAAACAGCAAAGAAGATGGGCATATTTAGCTTTCGGAAGTGTGCTCGTGGAAGTGTCTTCACAATCAGCTATTTTTGTTCCACAGTACAGTTCAGTTAATTTACAGCAGGCATCCCCAACCTTCGGCCCTCCAGATGTTTTGGACTACAATTCCCATCATCCCTGACCACTGGTCCTGTTAGCTAGGGATCATGGGGGTTGTAGGCTGAAACATCTGGAGGGCCGCAGGTTGGGGGTGCCTGATCTACAGTATTCTCATAATGTCCAGATATTCTTTGGGAGGTGGGAGTGGTGCAGACAATTAAGGAGGAAGAAACAACCCCAAATATGACATTTTATTTTCTAGTTGCCTCCAATCACGTCATTTTTGGATGGTTATGCAAAGAGGCCCTAAACCGCACAGCATGAGACTCACTTTAAAAAGAAGACCACAGGGTTTGCTTACATTACCAAGTATCATTTGATAACAACTCCTGAATGAAGTTCTACCCAAGTTATTCATAGAATTATGGAGTTGGAAGGGACCCAGTTGTTTGCCTCCCATTTTTCAGCCTAGAATGCCCCCACACTAAAATGCCTTTACAAATTAACAAAGCCTGGAACTATATACGGTAGTCTAAATAGGAATGCAGGGATCTGTATGGAAGCATCTTGTAGTCTCTGCCACCTAATGATGGCGAGAGCAATCCTCTGTAGGATAGGGGAGCAGGAATGATGGGCAGATCATCTGTCACTTCCAAACCCCTGCCAGCTCACGCTAGCCAGGATGGGAGTAGAGCACTGCTTTCCATTCTTCTCACCTAGCAGATCTTTGCCTTTTAATTTCCTTCCCCCACAACTGAAACCAACAGGGAAAATAATTAACTGTGACAGCTCCAGGCTGGTAAAGGTAGCAGGCCCAACTTTGGGGGCTGTCACAGATGGACGGCCATCTGCCACGTATGATTAAGCTGAGAGTCCTGCATTGCAGGGGTAGGTCTAGATCATGGGTAGGCAAACTAAGGCCCAGGGGTTGGATCCAGCCCAATCGCCTTCTAAATCCGGCTGTGGACGGTCCGGGAATCAGCGTGTTTTTATGTGATTAGAATGTGTCCTTTTATTTAAAGTGCATCTCTGGGTTATTTGTGGGGCATAGGAATTTGTTCGTTTTTTCCCCTTCAAAATATAGTCCGCCCCACCACAAGATCTGAGGGATAGTGGACCAACCCCCTGCTGAAAAAGTTTGCAGACCCCTGGACTAGATGGTCCTTGTGGTCCCTTACAACTCCACAATTCTGCGGTACTATTGTTCAGCTGCCAAGGTCCACAGTTGTGCCGCAACCACAGATATTTAGGTGGAACTGCACATCATACATTGTTTCTGTCCTTCCCAATCCAGCTTCAGCATGTTTTCAGAACCATTTCAATTATGTTTCCATTCTAATGTCTGTTGAAGCAGTTCAACAATGGGGGGGGGGGGGGATAAATCTCACTCTGTGGTTCTGCCAGAGTAGACAACTCAAAGCTATTATTCACTCACTGATGAAAAATTGTTTAAGTTCTTCATGAAAGCATGACAGTAATTGATCATTTGTCCTCGCCCACATTCGTAATGCATTGTACTGTTCCTCACTGTAACACAGTTTCTACATATGATTGGCAGAGCCTCCAACCAGCTTCACTTTTTTTCTAACAGGTTCACACAAAATAGTTCACATATAACTCTTAATTCTGAAATGTGGTCATGGCGATGGGCTACAAGAAGAGAAGGAGATGAAACATCTGGGTTGGAGTGAAGACTACTGCCCATACCCCACATCCCCAGAGAGAATATAATGGACAGGTAAAACAGATAGAGAAAAGCAAATACAAGATGATTTCCATCTCTCTATCTCCCTGTGGAGCACAAATGCTAGCCATCAGCTAAAAAGAACATTCGTAGCTTCTCACAGATACAGGGCAGGTCCATATCATACATTTAAAGCAGTGTTAGAAAGCCAGGCAACAAATGGCACCTTAAACCTGGGTTACAGTCGCCACAACAGAATGTCTATTCACCAGGGGTTTGGACTGGATGACCCTGGGGTTCCCGTCCAACACTACGATTCTACAATCTCAACTACATTGCTTGACCATAGCTTGCTCTAACATCAATTCACATGTCCCAGTATGGAAGGAGGAGAAACACACACAGTGGAAATGGAAATGGTATTAACTATTGCCAACTTGGTGCCCAGAAATCTCTACTGAGTCATGATAGGAATGTTTTGCTCCTTGCACAGGTCCTAACACCTGGGGCATTTTGAACACTGATTTAAAGCACTTAACTTTCCCCAAAGAATCCTGAGAGCTGTGATTTCCCCATTCATAGAGCTATTATTTCCCAGTACCTTCAACAAACTGCAGTTTCTAAAATTCTTTGGGGAAAGTCATGGCTATAAATGTGTGTTGCTTGTGCTTTAAATATACTGTGTGAAACTTTCCATAAATCAGCAGCATCAATCCACAGGAAAAATAAAAGGAAAAAATCTGGAGCATTTTAAAAAAGAAAGAAAGAAAACAGCCCCAAACACTTTGTGCTTTCAGCTCCTTTTTAAATGCCATTTTGCTTGTACAACTTTTTCTGTCTGACAGAACATAAATGGGGGAGCAGGAGCTGCTCTCTCAAGAAAGAGCTGCAAAAGGAAAACGCCACTGAAAAAGCACTGGTGTACACAAAAGGCACAATATCATATGCGGTTTGAAGCAAGATAGAAATCTCAGAAATAACTGAATCAAGCAGAACAAGACATGGATCAGGCCACTTCATAAAAATACAGCACCTCTTCTACAGAGACTCTGGTTATTTTCCAGTTGTTTCTGCTTTAACATTTCATATTCTTGACATTTGTTTCAAGGAACACCTTACCTTCAACAGTTCAATCAGCAACGAAAATGCTAAAAGCAGTCCCAGTGGTGACTTTCTGTACTACAAAAATCCCAAGAGTGAAATAACACACACAAAGATCCAACAATATGCTTTGCAGCCAATTCTGGAATTAGCAGTAAACTGGATGAGGAACAACAAACTAAAGCAGAGTCCAGACAAGACAGAGATACTGCTAGTGGGCCAGATTGCACCCTGCCTACATAATCTAGCTTTTATTTTGAGGGGAGCTATTATTGTTGGGTGCTCAAATTACACCTGGGACACAACGCATTTTCCACCAGCTATGGCTGGTCCTGGACAGAGCTAGCCAGGTGGCAGCTAGCCATGCTCTGATAACTTCCTATCTGCACAACTATAATACAAGATACATGGGGCTGCCCTTGAAACTTCAATTGGTGCAGTGTGTGTGTGTGTGTGTGTGTGTGTGTGTGTGTGTACTATTCCTCACCAATCTTAAAGCAACTGCATTGGCTTCCATTCTGTAACCTAAATGACTAGAAGACCCGGTTATCTGCACAAACCTGTCCATGTATTAAGACCTTCCTCCAAGCTCCATGTCCGGGTTTCCCTCCCTTCCTTCCCAGGTAGATGGTATCAGTGATGTTCTCCCTAAGGAAGCTCACCTTGTGCCAACTCTGTCTTTCTGGTGCCTGATGGAGACTTTTTTATTTGCTTGAGTTTTTAAAAAGCATTTAAAAAAAACAACTCTTATCTTTTGTTCCCCTTCCCATTTTAGTAAAAAAGCTGCTGTTTCCTATCTGTTTTTATTTTTATCATGTTTCACTCTCTTTTTAGGGACTGAAAAGCAGTCTGCGAAAGGTTCTATAGCTAAATAAATATCCTTTCTACCAGCTGCCTCGACTAGAGAAATTGGTAATCAGCAGCCACAGCGGGTCATCAGCAAAAGTCTGCGGCTGCAAAGCAATCGCGGCTGCGATACCAGAGCGGGGAGGGAGGCAGAGAGAAAAAAGAACCCCCTCCCCTCCTCCATTTACACGTTCCCAGCTGAGTATTGATTCTCCCAGTCACAGCTGCACTCCCGCTTCCAGGCAAACCGGACTCTTCATCTCACAGTCGTGGGTTCGAGCCCCGCGTTGGCAAAAAGATTCCTGCATTGCAGGGGATGGACTAGATGTCGCTTGTGGTCCCTCCTAACTCTACGATTCTAGTACGGTTCCGATTCCAGACGGCATCTCCACCCCTGCCGCGTCTTTCTACGGAGATACGGAGAGACTGGTCAATTCCACACGGTCCCTTTACAATAAGGGGACGGAGCGATTCAACGCTTGGCGGCTGAGACAGGCGCGCAGCGGTGGAATCGATCCGCCAACAGGGCTTGCTTCGGAGTAAAAACGTGGTTACGGTGCGGCTAAAGAGGAAGGAGAGCAGAGGGTCCCCTCCGAATTAAATAGTCTTCTGAGCCCACCTGCAGCCATCCCATCAGAACATACACTCCCTTGAGTTTGCTAGGAGAGGAAGCCGCGGGAGAAACGCCCGAAGCTCGTCGTGTCCCGTGTCCCGCCCCCCACTTCATAAATCCCCTTACCTGTCCGGGGCTCCTTCCTCCGCTCCAGACGAGCGGGCAAGCCGCTTTCATTCATAAGAAGAAGCGCGCCGCAGTGAAGCAAAGGCAGGAAAGCTCCTCCCCCTCAGCCAGCCTCGTGAATGAATGCTCTCAAGCTCCTCCCACGTAGGAAAAAAAAGAAGGCTCTGGTCACGTGGCATCGAATTCCGAAAAGGACAGGGGCCATTGGAGGAGAAGCAGAGCGGGTGGTAGCCTATTGGATTTTACCTCTGCAAACTGTGGGTGGCGATTATATTGCAAACTATTTCTTATTTTAATCAAACCTGCCTCTAGAAAGCTAGCGCATCAGGGAGATAAGGTTTAATACCTCTCATTTGTTCTTGTTTATTTTATTCATATGCAGACCACTTTTCGCCTGCCCTTCACCTGGAAGGATCCAGAGTTGGTACAAACTGAAATTAACACATGCAGTCTCATAAATAAAAATAGCATCTGCGTTCTATCAGCTGCCCTGGCTTCCAGTGTATTTTCAGGCCCAATTCAAAGTGCTGGTGTTAATTTTCAAAGCCCTAATCAGGCCTGAGCTATTAGATGAGCCACTTGCACATATACTATGATGCCCACGCACTGGGATCTCAGTCTGAGAGCTTTGCTGGGTGTCCAGCTCCTAGACCTTTGAGAGACAGGACCTTTTCTGTGGTAGCTCCATGCCTTGTAGAGCCGCATGTGATTGCACTTCTGGGTTTCCAGAAGGTTAAAGACATTTCAATTGGCCTTCTTTGAGCCAATCTTGTCTCACGCACTGCCTGGAGGCTGAAATATCATGTGCTTCTGAAACAATTGTTTTCTCTGTGCCAATGTTTATTAAAAAGCATAGGTCAACTTACAATGCATCTGATGAAGTAAATCCCAGTCCCCAGAACCTTGTGCTATAATAAATGTGTCACCCTTTAAGATCCCACAAGATTCCATAGCAACCAGTTGCAAGGGGTCTGGATGTACCTGTTGTGCGCTGATTAATGTGAATGGGTCTGTCTCCATGGTTTTACCTGGAAGCAAGAATTTGAGAAAAGAAGCTGAGCCCTTTAATGATTGTTGGTGCTCCCTGAATGCTCAATTCACATTTAGGTTGGAGTGTCCTGGGCCTGTGCTCTGCAGTATGTGTTGTGTGAAAAAGAGGCAGATTAAAGATCATTGGATAAAAGTTCAGTTATCCTTTGAGATCAACTAAACCATGATGTCCTTATTTCTTTTCGAAACTCGATGCCAAAGTTCCCTTTCAATTCCCAGCAGCGGTTTTTGGAGGGCCCTTAAGTACAGTGGAGCTACTGGGTTTCCTCACTACCATTACCTGATTACTCGCTAGGAAGGGACGCTACTGGTGGGTAAGTGATCTAGCTGAAAGTGTCTACCATCCTTTGCCTCCTCTTGGCCAGAGGAAAAAGGCAGGCAAGCAAGCTGTTGGCAAGGGGGAGGAGGAGGAGAAGAAACAATGGAGAAAAAGGAAGCCATCAAATCATAGATCAATCAACCTCAGTAGAATACAAAACATTCCAAAGGAACATTTTAAAACTAACATGTGGCAGCAATAGTTATGAGGTAGTTTTTTTTCCATATTTTTAAAACTATTCACATTGCTAAAGATACCAAACTACAAAAGAATACAGAAAAAGTTTTAATACATTACAAAAGTGTTCTAAAGAGACGACAAAAGGTATATTGAAAAACACACAAGCATAGGCTTATGCACACATTAAACAAACACAAATTATGTTCTATTATGGAGGGATTCATAGATAGGCCCATCAATGACAGTTTGGGTTTGGATTTATTTGTTAGCAGCCATAAGATTCTCCACAGAGCTCTGTCCTGAATGTAGCTGCTCAAAATCCAACTAGTCGCCATCGTCGTAGTTTTTCTAAATGTAAGTGTATAATGAATATATAATAATAATTACAAAGCAATACATTTCTTAGCTGGCAAGCAGTATTACAACACAAGACTCAAACTGCAAGAGAACAGGCTATGGCGGCATAGCTGTCAACTTTTCCCTTTTCTTGTGAGGAATCCTATTTGGAATAAGGGAATTTCCCTTTAAAAAAGGGAAACATTGACAGCTATGTATGGGGGGTCTCTTCCGCCCATTTCCCCCCAAATCTAAGCTTTTTACCAAGCCACATGAAGTGATTAGACATGGCTTGCAGAGATTTCAAAGCCTTTCCATGTATGTGGATAGGCCCTCTTTGTGAGGAGAACAAAAGCTTTGGAAGAGCTATCTTGTTTAACACAATTACCCTGTGTAATCACGTAAGACTTAATTTCTCCATTGTTGGAACTCTCTTTTGTCAATTACCGTCAGATCACTAGACCAGCAGTATTAAAGTGAGATTGACACTCTAAAGCTCCCAAGTGTCTCGGATCCAGTTATAAGAAAAACCATTAGAAATAACCTAAAATGGAACATGTCTAGCTATCATTTCTCATTTGCTGCAATCAATCCTCAGCCAGACGTCAAACCAATTTGTTCTCTTTCTTTTTTGTCTCTCTGGAACAAAAAATTCAGAAACAAATCATACAAGATAACATCATCAGAAAAAAGGCCCTGTTTGTGCTGGATGTTACCTGTGTTAAAGAACACTTAATGGGTTATTATTACATGCTGCTTCAGTGAAGCGTTCGGTCAAAAGTGCAAAATGGAGTGGGTGAATGTAGACAGCCCTGAGGGGGATCTTTGCCACCAGGCCCTACAAAGTCTTGGTGTTGGCTGGTAAGAAAGTGCTGGCTGCCTAAGTGACTATGTCCCGGCCTGAAGTGCTTCCCTGGCTGTTTTGAACAATGTAGCACCTGCTTCTGACACCCGAACCTAGCTACTTGGAGCCCATTCGCTGCTGAGGCCTAAAGATGTACAAAGGCAGAAAACACAGCTTCATGGAAGCTGTGTGTACATTTTGGATTAGTGCATTGTTCACTAAGGGATTTCTTTGAAGACTTCACATGTGTTTCAGCTAGTATAAAATGCGGCCGCTAGACTGGGCTCGACATTTTAAATCAAATTCTTGTCAGTTTTGAAATAAGTCCATTGGCAACCAGTCCACTTCAAAACACAATTTGAAGTGCTGTCCCCACGGCCTCCCAGCCCTGAGTAGGTCAAGACCAAATACCTCAAAGCGCCATTGACTCCGCTTCAGCCTCTTGGATTGCCTGTGGGCAGCCTTCAGCTGCTCTGTTGCTGAGATGAGAAAAGCCAAGGCAGAGATTTCTTAGTAGTGGGACCATGTTTCTAGAATGCACTCCAGAGAGATATTTGCTTTGATGTTGACTTCATATTTTCAGCACTCAGTAAAGATATTTGCATTTTTCCAGCGATGGGATGGAGAACCTGAGGCCCTTGAGATATTGCTAAACTACAGCTCCCATAGTCCTTTAGCATAATAGGCCATTCTGGCTAGGGCTGACTTGAGCTGCAGTTCAACATTTGGAGAGACACATGTTCCTTCTCTCTGGCGCTGGGTCTTTTCCTTTTAATGTCTGATGTATTGTGTGTTCTGTGTATTCTGCTGGAAGCCACCCAGTGTGTCTGGAGCAACCCAGTCAGATGAGCGGGTACTAGAAATTTATTTATTATTATTATTATTCCTGCTGTTTGTTTCTAGTCTTACACGATTCTAAATCTACCCGTTCTCTTTTGCAGTTTTTAATATTTTATTATGGATTGACTGTTTTTAGGCTACTACTTTCAATTGTTAGCTGCTCTGATAACTCTTCATGACTGAAGGAGGGAAATATAAACAGGGTAGGGCTGTAGAATACATTTTGCATGTAGAACATCCCCCAACTTCAAACCCTGGCATCTCCAGGTAGGACTGGCGTGGACTCCAACCTGGAACCCTGATAGCCATTACAAGCCACTTGAAAAACAGGAATGGGTTGCCGGAAGCTACAGGAATAGCCTCCTGGCAGCTGCCTCAGTGCTGCTTGAGATGAGAGTGAAGGGAGTGGGAAAGGTGATGGCAAAGTCTGAACTCTTTTACCTCACTGGTAAAGAAACTCTGTCATAATCACCAGTGGGCCCACCCAGTCCTGACCTCCCCACCCCTCATCCTCCCAATAATACTGCTGCTGGGATCCTGTTAAATATATGCATTAAATAAAGTAAGGTATTGGAGGCTGCCTCTCTGGATTTCTGTTCAGGTACAGCACATTAAAGCTGGCTAGGCACATTCATCCTCCCAAGTGATTTTGAGGCAGCCACCCCCATCCCCACATGAATGACAATAGTTCAATGCTGATTCTTCTGAAAAGCCAGTCAGCGCCTTCCTATGCACCTAGAATTTTATTATTGGGCCTATGAAGCAAATAAATTCTACTCTGGCTCTCTGAAGTCTTTGTCCATGCCTAGGCATCTGCGCCATTTCATACTGTGCAGGAATTATTCACGAGCAGAACTCAGCTGCTTACGCAAGCAGAAAAGTTCCTGAATATTAAAACACACCAGTAACCATTTCAAAAGGGAAATTGTCTTAGTCCATCAAAACAAAATCCAAAAACTGCTACATTTCCCCCAAAAGAGCCCAACAACTCTGCACCAGACACAATCCAATTTAATTCTACACAACTCCTGCTCCACTCCATCACAAGACTTTTATCACCTGCTGCAAAAGGGCTTTTTTTCATGATCCCTCACCTGTTTGTTTTGCGTAATATCCTGTATGATCACGAGTTCTGATTTTCTTAGAAGCTTGCTTTATTAATTGATTCTAATAAAGGCAGAACGCTCCTGTTCCCAGCTGAAAGAGGAACACTTCTTGTAGAGGTAACTGTATATGAGTGGAAAACAACAATGGCCTTTCCTTCATACATGCTTTATGGTTTTTTACATTTGTAGAGAAGAGACACACTTGGAAACTGAGTAGATTATGCTCTAAGGCTGAACTCTCTTGGTAAAAAGGACATGCGCTCCCAGCCACTAATAAACAAATCTGTGCACTGAACACAGAGGGGCTTTCTTACTTGTAGGATTGGGCTTCGCTTTAGCTTCCTAAGCAAGCATACAGCTATTAAAAGACAACAGAAAATGATATTACGCCCTAACCTAGCTCTACATGTCCTTCCCATTTTTTTATTATTTTGCAAGCATTCATCCTCAGCCTTTTAAAGCATAAAGAAAAAAAATCATAGGGGGGAGAGAATGAAGACCGACTCCAGTGAACTGCGGAGGAAGGTTTACAGCTTGTGTACATCATCACAAATTAAAAATGCCATTTCTCTAACCTTCCCACGGCATTTATTATGCTGTTGAGATCACTTGCTTCCAGACAGCAACAGAAATAGGAGCTGCCTTTGTTCAGTTTTTATTAAAGCTAGCGCAGCCCTCCAAAATTGCATGTGGTTTGGTCCCTACAATTAATAATTATCTGCTTGAAGCATGTTGCCCTGGGCATTAGAGCTTGGGGGTAGGGAGAGGACCTGTTCTGTCCTGGATGCCAAAACCAAGCATATTTCTTCCTACAGGAGCAGAGTAGGATCTGTGCAGGTTGCTTAACTTAGAGCTGGCGATCGGAGGGAGCTCAGATGGTCCACTAGGACATTTGTAGAGCTGTACTGGGGAGTGGCCTGATCTCTCCCCTTCTTCATTCCTCCACCCTCCCATGGCTTCTCAGGGACTCATCAACTTTCCCCATGTCATGGCACATGGGCTTTTCTGAGAGAGCATCATTTGTGGTTGCTTTTTAAAGGGCGTTGTAGCACTAGTGCGCAGAGTAAGGCTGTGTCGACATTACCATTTGCTCCCACCACTGATGTTCAAAGCTGTGTACACATGACGTCAACCACAATCCACAGGGATCCTGCAGTCCCTTGAGAAATATTCCTTTCCCTCAAACCGGCTTCCATCTAATTTGAAAACTCAAGCCAGAGTTATGCTGAGGTGCCTGAGCAGATGACCGTTTCCGTGAACAGGAGTTTGGGGTGATGCAACTTGAAATGCTAATGTTGCCTAAGATTTGGGGTGGGGTTTTTAAAAGTCAGGTGAAACAAGTAAGGCTTTATCCTAAGTTTCACTGGTTGGCCAACAGACAGGAGGATAAAAGTCTGGAACGGGAGGGAGGCAAGAGAAACCAGGTGGGACAATAGCAATGCCCTTGCACCTTCTGCTGGTAATTAATGAAAGACAGGCTGTTTTTTGTGTTTTTAAACAGTAGTTCTTGAAGAAAATAATTTTCCATTTGTAGCCTTCTGTAATGGGGCGATCTCTTTACCAGAGTACTCTCTGCTGATTTTCTCCAACCTTTCTCTCCCAATTTTATTTAAAAAATAAAGAAATGTTTCTTGTGTTCACACTTCTAATACTTTAGGAAGGTTTCACCAGGGGAAACTTCTAAACCAGTCAATAAATTATGAACTTTCTACTAACATTTTCCGGTCTGTTGATTCCATATCATGCAATTTTAAAAGGCCCTCAAATTCCCTCTTGCAGGAACAGAAAACCCCTTTAAAATGCTCTCTCAATTATTCAAGCGGGGGGGGGGGGCACAAATATCATCTTGGAAACTGCTGGCATCTAAAAAATAAATGTTTTAGCATATTGCCTGTTTCTGACATGGCCCTGTGAACAAGTCTATTCTGATTCTGTTCTAAGCGATGCTCTCACATGAAGATCAACCTGGTGTTGCTTCATTCAGTGCCGTTATCTGGTTTTGCCTGTTCCCATGAAGAGGAAGTTCTGATCAACCTTGCTTTCCAAGTGCAGAACAAAAAAACAGAACAGAACATGATTATTTTCCAGCGGTTTGCTTTCCCTTGGTTTAAGTGTGCCCATGTTACTATGGCAACACTCTTAACAGGGGACGCCACAGCTAGATGTTTTGCTTGTAGTAATTACACACACACACAAAGAGAGCATGATTCAGGATTTGGGACTGTCAGACATCGAGGATGGTAAGAAGAGAACTACTGGATCAGACAAAAGACCCATTCAGTGGCCAGGGAGATGTATTCAGCAATCCCACAAGGAAAGCAAGCAGGGCCTTCTTAATCCTCTGTCTGTTTGCTCCTCAGCACTTGCTATTCAATGGTAGACTGCCTCTCACCCTGAAGGTTTCCCTTAGCTATTCATTGCTGACAGCCCTTGCTAATAACCTATTCCCCATTAATTTACCTAATGCCCTGTTGAAGACGTTTAAACCAGTGTTCTCCCCCTACTATATAGCAGCAAACTTCACAGGTTCATTACAGAGGCAAAGATAAACCCATCTTAAGCACTGAGCTCAGAAAGGAAAAGCTGAAAGAAGATCATGTACTTTCTAAAATTCCTACATTATATACAGAAATTGATATTAGGCATAGTAAGGCTGAGAATCCAAGCTTTCACTTTAAAAAACAAACAAAACCAAGTTTATTACCTTTATGACAAGATGGAAAGCATGTAGGTAATGTCTGATTAAGTGTCACAGATGAGTGGAAAAAGTTTAGCAAGATTTCTAATGATTAGGAAGCTGGACCCTAAATAGCTCCTTTTGCCTGCACCATGATTGTTAGCATAATTAAGCAAAATCCCTGGTGGGGAAAGTAATGGTATGTACTTTTCATTGGGGCCGATAGGGCTGCCACTTCTGAACATCATACAATCCCAACAAGATATATTTTTTTCCTCTGCATTTACTCCCATCCAGGTATTATTATCAGAATTGAATAAATATCTGTGATGATCCCTGGACTATCTGCTTTTTGTATCACTACAGCTAATCCGCTTATGTAGTTTACCAAGAGAAAGCAGTGATCGTTTATTCTCTTTACATGAGCAGAGCTTTGTTCCAAGTGATCCGAGATTATATGTGCATGTTTAATCAAGCAAGTCTCTTATGGGCTAACATACCTTCCACCAGAGGTAAATCATCACTACACACACACACACCTTTAAAAGACAAAAGTGAGCTAACCTTCCTTTTGATTTTCTATTATATGTGGTATGCTGTGTCTCCATATTTAGGGTACAATTTCTTCAGCTCTAAAGCCAGATGCCATCACTTAAAATTCCAATGAAGGCATTTACCTTGGTGATTTTCAAGGTAGTGTCTTTAAATGATTGTTGCTTGTCTGAAAAGCAGAAAGAAGTTAATCTTGTAGACCTATGTTGAAAACTGCATATTGTATTAATACAGGTTGAGGCAGCAGTGTGACGCAGCAGCAAAAAAAGCTAATGCCATTATAGGCTGCATCAACAGAAGTATAATGGCCAGATCAAGGGAAATAATAGTACTGCTCAATTCTGCCTTGGTCAGACCACACATGGAGTACTGTGTCCAATTGTGGGCACCACAGTTTATGGAGGATATTGACAAGCTGAGATGTGTGCAGAGAGGGGTGACCAAGATGATCAAGGTCGGGAACAGTTAAGGGAGTTGGATGTTTACCCTGGATAAGAGGATGTTGTGAGGAGATACAATAGCCATCTTCAAATATCTAAAGAGCTGTCACATGAAAGATGGAGCAAGCTTGGTTTCCCCTGCTCCAGAGAGTAGGATCTGAACCAATGGCTTCAAGTGACAAGAACGGAGATTCCAACTAAACAGCAGGAAGAACTTTCTGGTGCTAAGAGCTCTTTCACAGTGGAACGGACTTCTTCAAGAGGTGGTGGACTCTCCTTCCTTGGAGGTTTCTAAGCAGAGGTTAAATGGCCATCTGTCGTGGGTGTTTCAGCTGAGATTTCTACATTGCAGGGGGTTGGGACTACAGGGCCGCTTCCAACTCTACAATTCTATGCTTCTAGGTTAATAGTAGTTATGAGCATGGATAGCCACTTGAACTATGTGCTGATGATATTAAACTACCTGGGGAACGGGTGGGTGGAGGGTCAGTGGATGCTGGTGGGGAGGAGGCTGGTGTTTTTGAGTTCTGTACATTTCTGTGGTTGTTCTGAAATGCAATAAAATTATATTTAAAATAATAATGAACAAATTTATGTATTTAAACGCAACCATCTTGTTTTTATTAACATGATACAAAAAGTGATTTAGTATATAAAACCAATATTTTGCGTATAAATTATAAGAACACTCGTTATTTACAATACTACAGCGTTACGACACCTGTAAGATTGTTTTCCTGAGTTAACTGTATAACATATAACTTCATACTATATTGCTGAGACTTTGGAAAGTGGTGAAGTTATAATTTAAAATAAGGTCTCTAGTGCCTATATAGACATAGTAACCAGTGCAAAGGGATGCTACTAAATCGTACTTGATGGAGGACAAAGTTCATATCTGTGCAATACATACACGTGCTAGTTTACTTACCCCTTAAAATATTCTGGTTAAGTTTGATATAGTAACAAAAATAAATACAATTTCAAAACAGCAGAATATAAAAGAACCCACTCTCACCTAAATATGATAAGAGTTCAAGTAATCACATTAAAAAGAACAAGATATCCATGCATAATATTTTCTTGGATTTTTTAAAAAAACAATGTTTTTGAAGTGCACAACCTAGGGTCTTAATGCTGCATATTTAAGCTGTAAAACAGTGTATTTCTTTAGAGGAATACCCAAGATCTTGCAGAAACCTGGAATGAAACAAACACATATACACAAAATAATGTACAGAGGGAAAGCAAGAATATTAAAGTAGCATTACAATTTATTTATTTTTAAAAAATGTAGATTATTCCTATTATAAAACTGGGATTTGTTTGTTGATGCTACAAAACCTATGACCAACTTTCCCCCCTGGTGCTGTTGGGCCCGCCCTCACTTAAATATAGTGCACCCACCTCACAGAACACCAGTTCCACTAATTCCTACAAACTACCCCAGATTATCTTGTAGGGTACTTGTGTGAGGGAAAACTTAATAATTTCGAGTCTCAGGCAGGATTTGATCCAATAAACAAGAAAGATTTTATTAAACAAAGGAAGTTTATGACACAAAGTGGGTAAAACATAGGATACTTCAGATTATAATGCTATTTCACTTCAGTTCTTTCTCAGTTGTTGCACAGCTGTTGCCACTTAATACTTTGGTTCTTAAACAAGGTGGTATTTTCTGTCAGTTGCACCCTCCTTAGACAACCCTACTCCTGAGGTACTCCAGGTAACAGACCCAAGGGATCACCACACCCCTCTTAACTGGTTTGGGAGACTTCTCTTTTGGTTGAAGAATCTCTCCCCTCCTGACTGGAATGAAACCTAAGTAGACTGTATCCTCACAGCTTCTACTTCTCCTGGCTCAGCCTCAGCCTCCCAGTTAATTCCTGGCTTATTACTCTTACAGGACACCACACACTGTCCTTCACATTAAGCTCAGAGTCTCCTTTCTCTAGCTTGTGATATATTCCTTAAAGTGGATGTTTCTACCCAGAACCAACTCTCTCTATCCTCTCACTCCCTACCTCCCACCCTATTCTCCCAACCTACAAACTGTCTCTCAAAATCCTCTCCTTTTCAACTCCCTCTCCTGGAACCCTGGCCAATCAGAGGCTGCCATCCGTTTACCGTTTGCTGGCAGGGGAAAAGAAAAAGAGAACACTTGGGGACCCAACCTGCCCAGCAAAACAAACTTTTCAGTCACACCAACCCACCCTTTAAATTAGCCCACAACTAACAAGTGGTATCCAATTTTAGTCCGGGCAGATCCACTGAAAACAATGGATTATTCTACCCTAGGTGGCTCTCACCAAGTTTCCCACATATGTAAATTCTTTACTGCTTTATATTTGGAAATTTTTAAATAAAATATCAATTATAAAAATTAAGGGCGAGGAGAGCATATGAAGTATACAACATGTAACAGATCAATATTTCCTCTTTTACTTACTGTATTCCTTGCTCCATGAAAGGTGGTGGACCACAGATACATATGAGCACCTTAGAATCACATTTACTTCTTTTCACAAATTGGGAAAGAAGAGAGGAAGAAATTTTTCCTTCTTTGCCTTTCCAGCCTTTCTTTGGCTCCGAGAGGACAAACTGAACCTCAAATCTGAAAGACAGAATGATTAAGTCACAGAACATGCACAATTTATTCAGCCATAGAACAAACTGGAACGAGCAAAAAATAAATAAAATTGGATATTTTTTTTATGTCAGCATATCAGGTCTTGTATGGTTCTGCAACACGGAGTTTGATCTAGAGTGAAGGCTAAAATCTGTTCCCTTCTGGTCTTCATTGCATTTGGGAAGTATGAAAATTACAGTGACTTCAGGATTTCTCCTACTCTTATTTTAACAGTTCTCCTTTCTAACTGGCCTCTTTTATTGCATATTCATTAATAATGCTTTAATGTTCTGATTAAATTGTTATTGTGTATTTTAATTGTGTATGTATTTTATCATTGATTTCATAGCCATTTGGAAACCATTTTGGCATAAGTGTCATGCAATAATGGTAACAGTGATGATATTGTTCCGGAATTTAGGGGACGAAAATATTATGAACTACAGCAGCAGCTCTGAACAATGAAAGGCATATTGAGATGATGGGAAATCACCACTATAGGCAGAAACAAGATTTCTATATTTTCCGTCAAAATCAATGTGAAAAACAATTTCCCTGTGATTTTTTCCCATTAAAATAATAAAGGAAGCCGCTTCCCCCTGCAGTGTGTAACTAACGCGGCAGATAAACAACTGAATAAAAGCTTTTTACATAGCCCTTTCTGTAACAAAAATAGTGAATGGTTTGGATATCAAGCAGTGATCTGATGTTGGTCCTGCAGAGATGAGGCACTTTGCTTTAAGCAAGATGAATAATTATTCAGCACAACCACACCCACAGGCCAAAGCACTTCATTAATATTTCAAAAAGTAATTTGGATGACTAACAGATGAATGCCTTGTACGCTACACTACTGCAAATTCAAACCAAGCTTAAATGCAAGACAAGGGGTGCAAGCAATGAATGATGTAAACAGGGGGGATGAGTAACAGGAGGTTTGTGAACTTTAGACAATATGATCATCACCGAATGAATGAAATTCCTTTCTGTGCACCTATCCCTACAGAGGATATATATTGTTCAAAGCTAACCTGTACTGCCCAATAAAGCTGCATTTCTATGTATTTTGTGCTTGCAGGAGTAACATACTTCTCTACATTGCTAGAACTGAGCAGGCACCTACTGCAAGGAAAGTGGGGGGGGGGAGTCTCCATCCTCCTCAAGAACAATCAAGATACCATCTTTCCCCCAGTTACCCAGTTCCAGGGTCTCCCCAGTTACCTTGCATCATTCAGGGCTAGTTGCTCCAGCTGATTTCTCCAAAGTATGTCATCTTCCGTCTTGTTGAAGAACATAAATTTCACTGCCCTTAAAAAGAAATTAGGGCTTCAATAATTAAAATCACAGCTGTTAGAAATATTGTACCCATGCAGGAGACACTGAATAATGCAACAAGTATTCCTCAGTAAGAACTCCCAACAGCTTTTAACAATGCCACTTTGTGTAATTTAATAGCAGTGAAAGACTCATGTAAGTTTACTTATGTATAGTGGGGTTGGAAGAGATGATTCTGGCCCCTCTGTAGCCCTAATTTGCTTTGCCCTCCCTATCAAACTCACTCCAAGCACGCCATTGCTGTACTAAGACCACTGCTCACCTTTGTATTTACATAACATATCTGCCCTTTGTCTGGATGGGTTAGAACAAGAAATACAACAATCAAATACTATAATCACTGAAAAAGCATCAGTTAACTACATTATGTGGTCCAGGCATATTATATACCTGGGGTGTCCAACTGGTCGACCACAACAGGTTGATCCCCGAGTGATATTGGTCGATTGTGGTAGATCACTTGCTCATTTCTGGCCCCGCCCCCTCGCTATGTTGTGCAGGATCGCTAAAACGGAAGATGGAGTTATCGCCGCCCAGCTCTGTTTTTGGTGCACGTACTTTGGCATTTCCGAATTAAGGAGTGTATATTTGGTGCCACCCCTAAAAAAGCTCAAAAACTTTGAGCTGCCCCCCCCAGTCTCTTGGGAGTTGGATATCCCTGTTATATACAAGAGGTGTGACCCCCCAAAATGCACATTTTTAGTTGGTGTTGTAAAGCAGGCCTACCCTAGAGCTACCTATCATTTTGAGATTGCCCAGTATCTCTTTTTCTCCATTGTCTTAGTGGAGAAATCACTGTAGTGCAGAAATCACTGATCCTCAATACACAAATTGTATTGAAGGGTGATGGAAAAATTGGGACCCCCAATGCCGCTAAAAATACAATTTTTGTCCATAGCTGGGGAATCCCTCGATTATACAGAAACTCCTACATTCTATGAGGGTGCTCTCATTTCAATGACATACTGGTAGTCACAGGAAATCCGTGGTAGAATTGGAATCAGCTAGACCCCTGGCAGTTTAATTACCATGAAGAAATCAAACTTCATGACCCCCGCCCCCACACTAAAACCTGCTTGTAGGAAACTGTGCACATGTGATTTGAGAAACTTTACAACCACAACCAGGGAAGCCCCCACTCTTGCCAAGTAACATTAGCAGAAGCCTTACAGTACAATCCTATACATGCCTACTCAAAATTAAGTCTGATTTCAATACGGATTACTCCAGGGACAGTGGGTGTAAAACTGCACCTGCAGATATTGCTAAAACAAGGTAGTAAGAAATACTGCAACACAAACATGAGCAATTTGTATTGTTTTGTCAAAACCTTCCTTCACAGCAAAAGACTGTTTTGTTTCTATCATCAAAGAATATCTGTGCAGTGTTTTGAAATGATCTTGCTGCTAAACACATATCCAGAGCAAGAACTACTTAAAATGACTTTTCTTGTCATTTATAACGCTTGCACCTAGTCATAAGCAGAGAGAGATACCTGAGGTTGTTGCTACTGGTCAGAGCACAGCTGAGCAGCTTAACCATTGGGGTGAATCCTGTGCCTCCTGCCAATAAAAACAGATCCTCTACATCTTCCATTTGTGATTTCATGAAGTTACCTTCAGGATTACTCACAGAAATATACTCCCCTGTAGAAGAAGAAGGAAAAAAACATACAGTGCAGTGAATCTTGGAGAGAATGAAATAAGGGCACTCTCAACATCCACCCATTAAAAGAAACCTAAGGGTGCATTAGCTCACATTTTATACAACTATAAAAACAGTGGGCAGGATTCAACTTATGAGTCCTGTCCATGGAAGCCCTACACAAAACCCTACCCTGTTTGCACAACAGGATTTGACTCAGGGCAGTTGGGAGAATCTCTGTAACAGCACCTTTGGGGGTAGGAGAGGAAAGAGGGGGTTGTTTTGTTTGGTAAGCCAAAATGCTTGCCCTGATGGAAGGGTTGCCTTAGTGAGGCATTGAATTCCTTCTAGTATAAAACAATCATTCATCAGGAAAAGATTGAGAAACAAAACACTTAAAAATAAATAAATTATATTTTATTAATTTTTCAAGAAAACAAACTATATTTTTGAAATGAATGGTTTGCAACCAGATTTTTCGATAGACCACCGTACGATGCTTAACAGCTTTCCCCCTTTTTTCCATTTTCTATTAAATGTATTTTCATATCATTAAAAAAATTTAAAATGGAAACTTTCACAAGATTTATAGCAACAAACACTGTTTTAGAATATCCCGAAAGAGCGCGAGAAAAAGAAAGAAAGCAAACACTTACCTATTTGTAGGGCATCAAGTACTGGTGTGAATAGTCCACTTGGGTAAATTTTGATTATGAAAAATATATGCAACTGATCATCATGACAGGGGTTTTTGAATGTAGACACCAAGAAAGATGGCACTGGTGTATATGGCTTCACTATCTCTGTGCCTGAGGAAAAGAAGAAGAAAATTCAACATTTAGTATTCACAGAAACAATCCCTTTTAGTAGAGTCAACCATCAATGTCAAATCACATATTCTTACAAATAATGCAATTACTTCCTGCTAAATGTGGAAGTCATATGGACCAGAAGCCCTAACCCCTTTTCTAGATAAACTGAATGTTCAACATACCTGACCACGTGTGTATAAATGGGCTAAACAAAGAAGTTTTGAATACCATCTGAGCGACTTTTTAAAAAGAAAAAGCAGCTTACTGGTGTTTATGAAAAGAAGTCATGCTGTCAGCTGACTTAATAATTACGAGCTGATGGGCTGAGTTTCAGCACTGATGTATTTTATCCTGGTACTTGTAACAAATGCAGCTTTTAAGGTTGGCTATTATCTTTGTCTAGTTGCTAAAACCTATTTTTTTAGACTGTGAAAAGGCACAACGCTCAACGAAAATAGAGTATCACCTTTCTTCCCGTTCAGAACTGCTTGCCATTTTCTCCTTGTAGCTTCTCCACTCGCACACTTCAATCCAGCGGGAGCCACTGATAACAGAGTTGGGGGAGCTATTTTTGTTGATTCCCCCTTCCCACAGCAATCCCTCCTGAACACCACCAATGCATTCTGGAGGTTGGGGGACCCTCTCAAATAGTGTGGTAGGTGGCATGGGGGGATGTCTGTAGGAGAAATAAGGGATTTGCAAAAATGGCTTCTTTCCCTCTTCTGCATAATAAAGCCCTCTATGAGCAGAGGAACACAACTGGGTATTATCCTATTTTATGCAAGATTAACTGGCTGGACATTGCAAATTCTTTCTGGTGAGGTGTAAAGTAGTGGACATCTTCATACACAAAACACTGCTAAATGAACCTTTATAAAATAGAGTTTTAATTCCACAGTATATGGTTCCCTTTCAACATTTGAGACATCTGAGCATTACCTGTTTAATTAGGGTGGAACATGTTTTTCATTTAAGAAGGTAAGTGATAAACTTGTGTATCATTTGTGTGCCTTTCCTTTTTAAAACAACAACACCACAACAGAATTAGAATATATTCTAGGAAATAACAAAGGATCTTTCATCACATTACCTGTAATAGTTTGTCTGAGGTAAACATGGTGCCCAACAGGGACCAAGAGATGAGTTCCCAGTGGTAATGCTAAACAGAAGAGTTGGGTGTCATGACTGACATTTGTCTTTGACAGCAATCTGCATTTTCTGTAATACAGACCTTAAAAATACAGAAACTGTAATTAATTCAATCCAGGCCGCTCAAATGTTCACATTCCATGAATCTAAAGAGATACTTCTGTGTGAATAACTCTTCTTCCATGACTGGAACAAAATCCTCAGATCCTCAAACCAAAGTCATGCAAAATATCTACTCATGCCTTTATCACTTGAAAAGTCAACAACTTATGCTTCAACCATTAGTGGTATTAAAATTAGTTATTAATACAGCAACAACAGATTCCTGCTAATATGAAAATTTCAGCTATCATATCTGGTCCCATGTAAAGGTTATGGCATTTTTGAATCATTGCGTTTTTGGTTTCCAAATATATTATATAAGAATCTGAAACATAACTGAGATACTTTGCACTCTGCATAAAATTTTTAGGCAGCTGAGGAGAAGAGGGGATATAGAGAGGTTTTATTATCATGGACAGTACATTTTGCAGGTACAATGAAAACACAAAGCCATCATATTATACACAGCTATACACAATGCTTTTGCTAAGACTATAATACATCCTTAAACATAGTCATTCTGACTATGCTGCAGACCTTGAACAGCAATCTGATTTTGTCTCCTAAAGTTTGGGTGTGCTGAAAATAAGTCATGAGTATGGCAGCAAAACTAATTACCTCTCTCTGTGCGTTTGACAAAGGAGTTATGACTTTCCAATGGCTGTCCAAGTTTTTTCCAAGACAGAATTTCTTTCTTCTTCAGGATAAATTCCACCTTTCCCACTTTTTCAGAGACCTGTACTAAAAATACACAGTGTTGTTCTATACTAATACATACATGTCATTTTGTACAAAAAATGTAATTACAGCGTTCACAACCTGCCTCTGTTCAATTTATTAAAGAGAGAGAGACGGAGTAAAGCCCTTGGGAGACCCACTGAAAGAAATGGTCATTCGTTTCAATGAGTCTTCTCCGCGTATGGTTGTTGGATATTCTCCAGAGACAATAAAATTGCAGGGCAGCAGCTGAAAGAACGAAACACAGCTACTTTGCTGAAATTAAACAGATTTGGTCTAGTCAGTGCCTGAACTCCTTATCTACCAATATTGCCATGACCTGCTTGATACAGAGAGATGGAACAGAAATGTAAGCAGTAATAGTCAGAATGTGAAAAGCATTTGATTAAATACCACACTTTGCAGTTTTTATTTGAATGAGAGCAGATGCATGCTCAACAAGACAGTTTTACATATGGCAAATAAATAAATAAGGAAGGAAGGAAGGGACAAATTATATTCAAAGGACAACAGATCATTGTTACGGGACCCAACATAGTGTAGCCTGAATCAAAAAGAACAGCAATATAAGGAAGCTTTTGGCTGGTTCCTTTTTAACAGCAGCCCTCATGCAGAATGACAGACTGTTTCTAAAGTAAAGTAAATTTCAAAAGTAGTTTGCAATATGGCACAGGAGTCTTTAACATGGCATTAAAGGTTTTTTTTAAAAAAAAAAATCAATAGAAAACACTTCTATGAGCAGAAAAGCATTTCTTTCAAACTGTTTATCAGTAAAGAAGAGACTCAAAAGACTCAAAAGACATTAAGATAGTCATTCAAGAATCTTGACAGCTATGAAATGCATTACAATGAATAAGATAACTAACATAAAATGTAAGCTTTGCAAAGAAGCTGATGCAAGATGATACTCTCAGTTCTTAAGTTAACATGCTGCTACAAGTAAGCTAAACCAGTTTAACTTCAATGGTGCACCATGTGCATCTAACATTGTTTTTATATAGGCATGCATCAATGTGTGGTGAACCATGCAAACAGACTAAGATTATAGTCCAATCATATGAATTTCTATGCCAACAAATACTTGCTAAGGCTCTGCAGTCTTGATTAGCACAAGAGTTAACATGATGTTAGAACAGGGAAAGTATTTCACATGGGGGCACTCTACTATAGATTAGCCTTATTTAAGTTTCTCAAACAGTCATCTGGAAGGTACGGGCAACTCTCAACTTACGCTTCTGCGGATGGCACTTGCAGTGGTTCTAGGGGTTGCTCGTGCGTAAGCCGGTGCAAACACCTGGCTGGGTTGCCTGAGTGAACCTTTTCTGTCCGGACAGCCACTCACCCGTGGCTGTCTCAATCGCTGGCAGAATCCATCAGTGGGCGTTTCTTAAACTTCTTCCAGCAAAGAAGCTCTTTGACGCCTAGTCTCCTTCTACTCTCTCTGCGCGAAAGCCCTCTGCACAAGGAGGGCGTAGGCAGTGGAGGACCTCTACTCTCCCCGCTGGTCCCCGGCAAGGAGTCATGGGACCGCCTCACCGCTTCCCCCATCTGCCCCCCTTCTCCACTGGTGCTACGCTGATTCTCTTCCCCAGAAGATGGGCTATCTCTCCCAATCCCGGGACGCTCTCTGGAATCCCTCTGGATTTTGCTCTCTCCCTTCGGCACTGATGTCAGTTCCCTGACAGCACTTAAAGTCAAAAACTGCATATAGTCAAACCACCCTGGGTTCAACAGCAGGTGGGATTCCAGATGCCCACCCCCTTTTTGCCCCCTCTTTTTAACTTTTTGGCCATGAGCAAAAAGCTGAATGTGCGTAAGTTAAATGTACGCAAGTTGCGAGTTACCTGTACTTAATATACAGCACAATAAATACATAGAAATACAAATATGTTACATTTCTTGCACGATGTAAGATTTCGGAAACAGCACTAGTAGTAATATTACTGAAAAAAGTGATCAGATACTGAATATACTAACAAGTCAGAGCAAAAAAAGCACAAATGTTTTGACTGTAAGAGGATGTACTTGCTTACCTATCATATCCTCATGAACTGCATAACTTAGTTCTAAAACAGAAGTATATATTTTAATTTAATAAAAACCAAGTGTCTACATCGATTATTATGAGTAGCAATAACCATTAAATGTACAGGTGTCAGGAAAATGCAAAGCTTTAGAGCTTTGGATTTCATCATTTAAATAAAGTTATGAGGTGCTCTACAATGGAAAACCCAAACAATTAGCTATACCACAAAGTTCCATTAAATTAATATATAGGCATGGCTTGGCAGTACATATTCAAGTCTTGGATGTGCATGCTCCCTTCTCCCCCTTTCCTTGCCAGGTGGAAATTCCCTCCCTTTACACTAAGCATATTTTGCTTTGAAACCAGAATTGGAAATACGCAACAGCGTATTTTGGTTTGGTGGCAAACAGGAAGTGAGAGAAGAAACTGCAGCACCAGAGGGAAGGAGGAATTGCGCATTCGAATTAAAGGCTGTTTTCATGTACTGCCAAATTATTGCTTGCTGTTATACTTCAATTGAGCCTCATAATGCAACCAATCTACTAATCACCTTATAAACCACTGTCTCAGGGTGATTTACACATAAATTAAAAACAGAAAAACAACAGATACATTTAAAACAAAACTAAAACTTTTACAAATGAAGACTCGTGATAAAACTAGTCATAAATCAAGGATCCACGTATCTGGTGTGTGCACACAGCTGGAGCTTCATGCTATTAAGAGGAAAGGTCAAAGCTCAATTTTAGAAAGTGTGCATTACATGCACAGTGTCTCCAACATTTCCAGTAGAGGCTGGGGAAAGCTTGGAAAGCCTCTATCACTCAGTAGAGATGATTCTGAGCTAGATGGAGCATCCTACACTTGCACTCAGTTGCTCTGTTTTACTAAGTTCAATATCTGACCATTTAATGGTGCCCTTTAATGGTGCCCAAAGTCTATCACTTGAATTTTTTCTTCACTTTCTGCTGGAGAGGAAAGATGCTTTTAAAAATGAACACTAGCTACTCTTAAGGAACAGAACAACTGCATACAGGAATGAAACTCCAACTGAATGCACAAGTCTCTCCCTCAACATATTTCACATCTTTGGAGTCTAGCCTTAACATAGAGATACCAGCCTTTCCCAACCCTGTGCTCTCTAGGCATTGTTGGACTACAACTCCCATCAACCCTGACCTCCAGCTATGCCTACCAAGTACAAAACATTCATGGGGTACCATGGCTTGAGTACAATACACATTCTACTCTTATCACTGCGGGATTTTAATGCAGCTGAGCTGCATTTATATATGAGTGTATATGTGGATCCATTACATGTATATAATTACATGCACACCTCTGCAATGAAGAATTTGCCAGTAAAGTCCTTACCAAGATGTAAAAGATACGAGTAGTCTTTCACAATCAGCTCTCCTCTCAGTTTACGTTCTTGAAGGTCAGCTATCACCAATTCACTGTTCATATCCTTACAGAGGAAGGAAAATGAAGGCTTTTCAAAGTGGTTGTTAAAACTGAAGGGTTTTTTATTATAATAGTGCACCATCAATGCGCACAGCACTTTACAAAGTAACAAGAGTTCTCTACAGTGGAGAGTTTTCAATCTGAACCTATCAAGAGGAGCCAAGAAAGAAGACAGGAAGGAGGTGGTGAGGGTAAATGGATGAAGAAGGCACTTCATTTCCACATACTTAAGCCTGGTTTTGGTACAGAAGGAGGACAGAGGGAGAAAGAAGAAGAAGAAGAAGAAGAAGAAGAAGAAGAAGAAGAAGAAGAAGAAGAAGAAGAGTAGTAGTAGTAGTAGTAGTAGTAGTAGTAGTTTGGATTTGATGTCCCGCTTTATCACTACCCGAAGTAGTCTCAAAGCGGCTAACATTCTCCTTTCTCTTCCTCCCCCACAACAAACACTCTGTGAGGTGAGTGGGGCTGAGAGACTTCAAAGAAGTGTGACTGGCCCAAGGTCACCCAGCAGCTGCATGTGGAGGAGCAGAGACACGAACCCGGTTCCCCAGATTACGAGACTACCGCTCTTAACCACTACACCGCACTGGCAAGTGACACCACACAGGTGTCCTTGGAGGCAGTTTCAAGCATACGGAGAAGCAAGAAACAACTCTGGACAGCTGTCAGTGAGGTGCTGGAGGAGCAAAGGCCAAGGTGACCTGAGTTCAAATTCCCAGCTAGCCATGAAACTTACAGGGTGGCCTTGATCTAGTCACTATTTCTCAGTCTATCCTACCTCACAGGGTTGTTATGAGGATGAAATGTGGGGGGAGAACAAGTATGTTGCTTTGAGCTCTTTGGGGCAAAGCTTGGATACAAATGGAGCTACTAAATGATATATTGGAAAAACAAGCATACAGTTTTCAAAATTATTTAATATAAAAAGCAATTCTCTACCTTTTGTTTAGTGTATATGACCACGGTGATGGAACCATCTGTCTGGAACCAATCATAACTGAAATATTAGGAAAAAAAACCTATTAATCTTTTTGAAACAATGCATGTATATATCTGCCTCTGTACAAACCTGTCTTCATTTGTTTGCTGAAGAAATATGCCTAAAAGCACTTGAAAACATTCCACTATCTAACAAAGCTTGTGAGCAAAATTCTGGCAGTCACACCAAAAGATTGATATTACCTTTGTTTACTTTAATCTGAAAGGCACCATCACATAGAACAAATGTTGAGTTACTTTGTTTTGTTTATAATTTGAAATTAGTAGAATTTAGCTGCCCATTTCCCACTCCACCAAGTGGTGGAGTGGGAAATGTACCAAGAATCCCAGCCCCCTAGAAATTACTGAATTGTTATTCATGCCATTAAATAGTGTAACTATGGTCACCGTACTTTACAAAGATTTTATAAAAATGATAAAGGTGTCTTGGAATAGTACCTGGGAACTGCTTCTTTGGAATAATTATCCGGGACTTTCTTTTTAGAAAACAGACCTGCAAAAAAGAAAAAGAGAGAGAGAGATAAATGACATACATATATAGGGACCTAAAAAGCAAATGTTATTCATTAGGTAAACCAATCGACTTAGATCCATGGTTCCCATGGGCAGAACTCCACTCATGGTCTGCTCCTGTGGAGGAATGGCAAAGGATATTTTCACTGACCCCTGCAAAGCCGGAGGAAGTGATGGGGGGGTGGCCTGGGGAAAGCAGACAATAACTGCTTCCCTTCCTCCTTCTACAGTGGCAGCCTTCACTGGTCGGTCCCTTTAGAAAGTGGAAGGAGTTTATAGAAGGCATAATCTGCATCCACCCCCAAGTATGCAGATATAACCTTAGTTTCATTCCATTTTATTAGCATAAGTCATGTATCAGCCCAACCTACCTCTCAGTAGGTTACAATAATATATGAGGAGAACATGCATTTTGATCTGAGCTTCTTGGACAAAGGGCAATATAAAAACATAGTAATAATAACTTTTTCAAATAAAGAACACTGTCTACCTGCGACATATCAGGCACTTGCTGAAATTAGTTCAGAACGTTCAGTTCAGAGTTGATTGTCCTTAGGTACCTGGAAGCACTCAAGTTCAGGATACAACGTTCATGCCTCCACAAGTTTAAATTGTCTGAGGCACAGAAACACCCCAATCCAAGAGAAGGGAGGGGGGAAAGGCAACCACGTATCACTTGTCAAAGAGCAAAGCGTAACAGATGGGATCCTGGTTTAAATTCATTTGTTTTGAGCTTAGATGAGGTTTCTGTCAGGGTGCCTAACATGCTAGTGTGATGCAATTTTAAAATGTATAAACAGTTTTAGTAAATACAGCACACACACACACACACACACACACACACACAGAACTTGTATCAAAAACACAAAGAAACCAGGTACCATATAAGACTGCGGAAGAGTTTCACAGTTGCTAGCAGCTGCACACACCTTTGAACATAGCCTGAACATGACATTGCTCAAACTTTCGCAATGTCAAATTCCGCAGAACAGCATTTGGATGTGTTTCCGCTGTTTACCTCAAATTCATTTGTTTAAGAATATTCATATACTGCTTCATATTTTAAAGTATCTAAAGTACCTGCAGCGCTGATTATACCACATAATTAGAGCCATTATCCATCTGATCACACAAGGGCCCTGCCTTGAGTCTGCTGCATGTGAAAGCAAAACGCATCTAGACAGCTCTCAACTAAGTACAATTCAGAGTACTGTGAAAACAGCCTTTGAGTCTTTTTTTTAGTGGTGTGGGTGGGGGGAAAGTGTCACACAAAGCATTCAGCTTCACCCCATAGCCAGCAGCTTGTTGTTACAAGCATCTCACCTCACTTCCAGAATACCTGCTGCCTTTGGGCCTGCCCCAGTTGCCAGTTAGGAGAGCACTAATTTCCCCTTCATCCACACAAGACACTGCAGCAGAAGACTATGCATAAAACTGGAGTAATCCGTACTTTAATGAAACTTTATTTGGAAGTAGGGGGTGGATAACTTTTTTCCCCCCAGTCCAATGACTGCAATTCAAAAATGGAAAACCATGAGGGACACATGCCTGACTATGGCCAAAGTGGTCTCTGAATGTGCAACTGCTGTTGCATGCAGGCACTTTACTCACCACAAACTCTTGTTTCAAAACACACACATAAAAATTGTTAATCCAGGCATGCATCATCCACAAACTGCAACCTCCCCATCCCAGCACTAGGATAACCTCTGCTCTTAGCCCAGCATGGAGATGGGAGAGATTTCCAGCTCAGAGAAAGTACTATTTCCATCCAAAACACAGCAGTCTTCTACTCTTGGTGGAAGCCAGCCTCACACGGGGAAGTGGGCCACATTTAAAGGCTTGGCAAATCAGATCCAACTCATAGGTTGTAGGGTTCACCACTCCCAGTGTAAAGGATCAAAATGAATGCTGGATCCACTGCACATAGTTATATGGTGCAAGAGACAGTAATATTCCCACCCAGCCATAAGAGTTTTGCAATGTTATGAGAACCAACAAAAGAACAGAGACAACTAGTAACTCAAATCCAAAGAAAGTCACACACAGTCCATAGACATAAATTTATGTCAATGTCCTGTTGCTTTTCATGGGTCTTCTCAGATTTCCCAAGGAAATCTTTTCCAAAAGGTTGGAAAACTCTCAAAAAGTGTGTGAGTTGGGGAGACATGGGGCATTTCGGAGAGGAGGGGAAATTGATGAGAATCTGCTAGTGGAAGCTACCACTAGATGGAACGCGCTTCTGTGAACAGAATGGACATGTAGGATTTAAGTCAAATACCGTTAAAAGGTGAGGATAAAGGATCCAGGTAGCCGGATGAAAATCCACACACCCCAATACCACTAGGCATTCTGTCTAAATTCTACCATCTAAATATAGCTCTTGTTATTTGAAAAGATGTCCTTCACTTGGTAATGGAAATGTCATTCAAGAATGCTGACCTTAAGGTTCCCAGGTGTCTAATGCAAGTCTGAACAGAAAATGAGTCAAACAAAGCCAATACCAGAAAGAAAGAAAGAAAGAAAGAAAGAAAGAAAGAACTGGAACACTGCTGATGATTTCAAACAGTGAAAGTATACCTGTTCCACTATGTGGTAGCAGTTTCTAAACCTTACCAATAACTATAATAAAATATTAAATGGTTAAAACTGGAATATTTTCCATTAACCATCTCTTCAGGATGAGGAAACTCGGTATTATTCAAGACCTATGATCCAAAATAAGTAGAATCAAAGTTTGCTATACCTATAGAAACACAACAGAAAAACAAAATCTGCCCTCTTAATGAATTGTCAATAATACACTATGAAGACTTCCCAGGGGAAGAGATTTTTAGAATGCCCTTTAGAAACTCTCTGTAAACAATGCTTAGCATTTCTTTTATTGATTAAAATTGATCTTTTCCTGCTTGCCTAAAAAAAATATATTTAGAATTATACTATTATACTATAACTATGTTACAGGGTTGCTGTAGATTTTTAGTAATTCCTTCATTCATTTTTTCTCCTATATTTACATGTGATAGTGTTCTAAGAGTTCAGGAATATCATATTGCTTACGGGGACCACATATACTGAAACTGTTACTACTGGAAATTCACAGACTATCTTGAAGTTAACAACAACAACAACAAAAACAATCCAGTTTAATGCAGCAAGACTGAATTTTCAAGCCTTGACAATTTATTTCCCAACTTACTAAATGCTGCAAGTGACCTTTATATTAAAGTCTAAACTAGATTCAACACAGGAAACATGGGACACAATAGAAAACTCAGTGAAAATATCAACTGTCTGCTATAGCACAGGGGGGAAAGTACTGTGTGACCACATTCTAACTGCATTTGAAAGATAATATTTCCGCTTAATAAGCCAAGGTATGATCAAGCATTTTGCCCAAGCCTTTTCCCTCTTATCTGGAAAAAGAAGAGAATAGGTGGCATCCAACTAACATGTCCTGTTGGCGCAAGGATTTCCTATAGTGCAACAGAACATCCCACCCACCAGAGCAGATTTGGGGAGGGCATAGGGCATGTGCAGGGGGACAAGGGAGAAAGTTCTGTTGTCCAAGTGCAAATGTCCGGATGCATTAGTTAGCTACACAAGTAGGTCTTGCCCCAATTATTCAGTTGCAAGGACTGAAGGTCCCCGCCTTCCCGCCGCCCTATAAAGCTCCTCCTCTCCATGGTCTTTCTGAAGCAGTCGCAGACTGCATCTGCATACAACCACTTTCTGCTCTTCCCTTTCCATTTCTCTAGGAGAAATGGGCTGTAGGAGACCAGGAGAGAGGGCAGCTGGTCGCAGAAGGAGGGGGAGTCTCCTTGGATTTTCACCAGCCTGCCTCATCGCTGCCTCTTGGTCCCCCTCTTTTCCAGCCTCCGCTTCTCCCACAGAGTTTGAACCGCTCTCTGACACAGCCTCTTCCTGCTCACTAAACCCTGTTACCTCTTTTGCCTCCGACTGCTCCTCCTCCCTCTCACCACTAATCGTCACCCCACCACCAACCTCCCTGGCTCTCAGCCTTCTTCCCCTGGGGGTTCCCTGGAGGGTTCTCCAGCTAGTGCCTCCCACCACTCCTCTGCCTCCAGCCAGTCCATGACATGGTCACATATTCAAGAATAATTTGTTATTAACCGACCAATCACATCAAATCAAACCAAATTACATAAATTCCAAATTACACAGCCGAATTTTAAATTTTTGTTGGGGGTACCCATATTTCAAGTTCCGAAGGGATCCAATCAACTTCTTGCTTCTTACTGCTATTTTAATGTCCACAAATCTAACCTTATGATGTTCACAGTACTATCCAGTCCTTTCTTATTATTTTTCCACATCTCTTGTTGTTATTTTCATATATTATTCCTTTCTCTTTGTGGCCTCTGATAGTCTCCGCAAGCTGGTTAGAACAGTTTGTAATCCTGCGTGGATATTAATTTTTTTATCCAGTAGCCATATTCAGACGTTTCCCATATAACATCACTTCCATACATCAAAACAGTCTTAGCGTCATTAATCTTCACCAATCTGCCTCCTTTCTCAAAACCTCTGAGGAGATTCACTAGGAATGCAGTCTGAAAACAAATCCGTTCTTCCTCCCGGCTATAAATCCTTTGGCAAGATGGCGACTCTGAATTAATTGCTGCGCCATTCCCAAAAGCTCTCATTGCTTCTCGGTCTCCATAAAGCATACTTTTGGTTAAAGTTTATCTCCACACAGACCTTAATCATCCTGCTTGGATCAGTTCAATCGACGGTTCTAATGAGGAGGGGTTCTTGTAAATCACATAGAAGGAAAGTAAAAAAGGTGTCCCCCCCCCCATTCAGTCCCGTTGTCAACATACCCAGCCTTTGGTGTATCTTCATCGTAAAATATTCCTGTTTCTCCAGCCCGTCGTCTTCTTTCGCAGAGGTCACTTAAATTAGCAGACTTCACTCCCCCTTCTTCACTTGAAATATGTGCATTTGCTTCTTTTGTAATTAATTATTCCAAATTGCTGCAACTAGTGCGCGATCAGAGACAGCGTCCAGGAGAGCCGATGTCCACACGGGGGCATTCTGCCTAGGGCCCTCACCCCCTTCTTTCGAATTAGGGGTGATTTATGGGCACAGCAGGCAAGGGCAGTGTTCCCCATTTCCTTGGGGCAACAAGGGAGGCTGCCTACTCCCATAACAGCCTCTTAATTACCCTGTGTGGGTCGGAGAGATGGTATTGTCGGCCATCTTCCAATGCGCCCCCTAGTGGTGACATGGTCACATATTCAGACCCCATTGGCACAACTGCCTTGGCCCTCTACTTTTACATCTCAATACAGTGGTACCTTGAACACTTCGGGTTACAAACACTTTGGGTTACAGACTCCGCTAACGTGGAAGGAGTACCTTTGGTTAAGAACTTTACCTCAGGATGAGAACAGAAATCACGCCATTAGCTAAAGTGGTACCTCAGGTTAAGAACGGTTTCAGGTTAAGAACAGACCTCCGGAACGAATTAAGTTTGTAACCAGAGGTTCCACTGTACAGTATATACAACACAGAATATTATGCTCGATAAGCTTCCTATCACAATAAAGCTTTCCCCCCAGTTTCATCATAAACTTACACTGCCCTTTAGTGTTGCAATATTAGATTATTTCTTACATCCACCCTCACAAGGCAAATTCTCAACATTTCGCTTTCACAGATGGAGAGCACAGCCTGGGGAAAACTGATTTTCCCAAAGTCCCATAATAAAAAACGGTTCTAAGTCTAATGCAATATACAGGGAAAGATTTGGCCCTTGTGGATTTCTCTGCATACCAATTCTTCTCCGGTTCTGCCACTATGCTAATGAACTCAACGAACGGTGGCAACAGAAAATTGGTTTCATGGCAGGCTTTTTAATTATAGTTTTGTTCCTGTTCTATTCATAAATTACAAGCAGAGAATATACCTGCTTTTTAGGTGAAGGCATGGTAGATTATCTTTATAAAGAAAGACAGATGAGGGAGAGTTGAGTCAGAGGGCTTATTTACACAAGGTAGATGACTCAGTGTTGTTTTGCTGCTCTTCATATCTGCCCACGCTTATTTGCAATGAATTTCTGATTCAGTCCATTTTTACATGTCCAGTACAGTGACTCTAGTATTGTTCAGATATATTTATCGGCTAATGAAGCATATTATTGAAGCAGACTTTGATGGTGACTTATTCAGCTCAGTCACCCATTAACCCTTTCAAACAAAAAACAAATGTGTTACTCCATGATAGCTACTGATAATATGGTATTAATTTTTAGCCAAATATAATTCCTGGTCCATATGTTCTACAGGTATTTCTCCAAAGCAACAATTTAACAGCCTTTCCTCCTTATTCTCAGCAGATACAATAAGCTGTTATTCCTTATTATAGCTCAGTGGATCGCTTTATATGATCAGAATTATGCTGATACAGGAAGGGATAGGGAGAAAGAGAGGGAGAGGAGAACCAGTTTACTGCCTTTTTAATTCTTCTCCACAATACTCTTAAAAACTAGATTCCGTATTTTGGAAGAAGCATTTTACTCTTAACAACAAGAAATGACATGAATTGTGGCAGGCTAGCACTGTAGAGCCTCACTGGGGTGGGAGAGTGGGAAAACTTCATCTCGAATTTTGCTTCTGAAATATATTTTGTTCACAACTGCAGACATCCTTTTGTTAGCAGCAGTCAACCCTGTAGGAATCAAACCTAAAAACAGACTTAAAGAATAAAGAAATCTAAATTCTAGTTTCAGTTAACAAACTCACTGCTCAGTTAAGTAGCCGACTTCTGATTAGGACATAAGCGACAGCATTAGAAACACATAAACTTTTTCATCATCTCTTCAGAATCATCTTTTAAATTGTTTGGTATGTGTCAAATCTAGATCAATCAACTGTAGCAAGAAGCAATGGGTAGGTATTGTATGTTTCCTCTCCACTCTCTTCCTCTGGTGCAACCACAAGGAGATTAGAAGCTTGTGTTTCTGTTTCCAGTTAACAGCAGTCTGTTGCTATGTCCATTCTCTGAGAAACAGTGATTAGTCTTAAGTATGGTTTAAACCAGGCATAGGCAAACTCGGCCCTCCAGATGTTTTGGGACTACAACTCCCATCATCCCTAGCTAACAGGACCAGTGGTCAGGGATGATGGGAGTTGTAGTCCCAAAAAATCTGGGGGGCTGAGTTTGCCTATGCCTGGTTTAAACTAACTTCAAACCGTGGTTTGTAATCCCAATTTGCTAGTCTAAGCCAGGTATCCCCAAACTCGGCCCTCCATATGTTTTTTGGGACTACAACTCCCATCATCCCTAGCTAACAGGACCAGTGGTCAGGGATGATGGGAACTGTAGTCTCAAAATACCTGGAGGGCCGAGTTTGGGGATGCCTGGTCTAAGCCATAGGAAAGACTAACAACATTTTGAATTCAGACATAACACGCTACAATTAGTTGAAAACTGAAATTAAAGCTTCTAATATGCACCTCATGACGCTGGAAGAGCAAATGCATTAGCCCAATGCTTGAGCACTATGGTTTCATGTAACATCTCAACTCAGCCAAAAGACTTCTGTAAACACAATTTCTTCAACACTATGAAAAATTTGACCCGATGTCTAAGCACCACATATATGCATAGCAATTTGCTCCAACTTGTTCTTCCCGAAACTCCTGCCACCATCTTTGAGCAGGCTTCAATATAAGACAATAATATGAAAGCAGAAAGCAAGAAGAACTCAAGACCTGTGCTGTTAATAAGGGTACACAGGAACAGAGATTTCATCAAGCTCCTGCAAGTTTTCCAACAACAAAAACTCCTCAACTATTATTGGCAACAGATCCGAGGAGCATTTTTCTTCCCCTACAGCTGTCTTCTAAAGTAGCCCAATGCTCCATCTTCTCTACTTCATTTTCTGCTGTGCCATATTATTTCTGACAGTAGCACATGACAGTACAGGCAACTTAGATAGAGAGTTGTTGGAGTGAAAGTGGGATGGTCCTTCGCTTAGTCAGAAAAAGATATCTATATGAAGTTCCACCAGTGATCTGCATGTCTCTGATTTGTATATTTCTGTGTTGTTGTTTTTAAAATGCATGCGATACTGTTTGCACAAATACTTACCATTTAAGATTCTGTTTTCTTCAGATACAATGGGGCAAGATTCTGCAAGTATGCAAGAAGAATGCTGTGATCATGAGAGCAAAAAAACTCCCACAAGTTATGCTACAATATGCAATCATTCTGGGCAAAACAAAACGAAACAAAAAAACTGGGGAAAAATAAAGAAGGCTCATCATAGCTGAAGAGAAGAAAAATAAAGCATGCAAAAGAATAAAGATCAGTAAACTGAAGAGAAGAATATATCCAAATGTAAATAAATGCAATTATTTGATGGGCTACTGGCATATATAATGAAAAAGTTAGTACAACCTTAGGAATTATATATTTAAAGCCACGGTTTCCCCAGTCTGGATACATTAACTGCATAACATATAAAAGTGACAAACTGAAAACTGGATTTCTTAGAAATGCTGCAAACCACGTTTAGCATTATGCTCCCAACATGTAGGATGCTGTACTGCTAATGACACAACTATCTGCTATATTTTCGGATAATGAAACAATCTCTATGAAAACAACATGGAACTGCCTCATTATGCTACATCATTTATGTGTAGAGACTAGAATGATTTTTTCCCCCTGCATGCCACTGTGCAATGTTTGTGGTAGTGTGAATAAAAGCCACCCAGCTGCTATGGCAAGCCACTGTTTGCCACATGGCAGCACTTGCTGCAAGAAGCAGCTTAAAGCACATTTCATTTAGCGCCCATTTATGTGCACCAGCCCTAGGACTTGCTGCACCAGTGCTGCTTCAAATGGAATGCATTATAACCCTCTCAGTGGCAGTACTCATGGCCTAGGACCCTCGTACTTACGGGACCACCTCTCCCAGTATGCCCCACGGAGAGCCTCAAGGTCCACAAATAGCAACACCCTAGTGGTCCCGGGCCCTAAGGAAGTTAGATTAGCTTCAACCAGAGCCAGGGCCTTTTCAACTCTGGCTCCGGCCTGGTGGAACGCTCTGCCTCATGAGACCAGGGCACTGCAGGATCTGATTTCTTTCAGCAGGGCCTGTAAGACAGAGTTATTCTGCCTGGCCTTTGGCTTGGAGCCAATTTGATTCCCTCCCCCTCTTTCTTTCTTCTTTTCCTTTCTCCTCCTGCGATGAGGCTACATTTTAATATTTTAATGTTTCAATATTTTAATGTTGTATTTTAATTTTGTTTTTAAGTTGTATTCATTCAACTTGTTTTTATTATTGCTTGTTAGCCCGGCCTTGGCTGGGGAGGGCAGGGTATAAATAAAAATTATTATTATTATTACTACTACTACTCTGGACAAGTCATCTTTGCCCCTTTCACCTGCAAGCAAACTGCAGGAAACACTAGACTACAACAACAACAACAACAACAACAACAAATTTATTAAATTTGTGAGGTCCATGCCTTTACACAAAATACCATAGAACATTATTAAAAGATAAACCAAAAAGATTATAAAAGTAAGCTAAAATTCATGCCATGTTGTCCCAGCCAGGAAACTACCCAAAAAAAAACCCCACCATTCAAGGAAAAAGGTACAGCAACAGGTTAGGAGAGCAATGGGAGGGACCTCACCGTTTCATCCAGGAACCATACCCTAGTTTTCATAGCCTTCACCACAAAGACCGCTACCACGTGAGAAATCCGTGGATCAGCGTCTACCAGTAAAAACTTTACTTGGTCCTCAGAGTTGACTATTGATTTAGGAATAGTTTGTAACATCGCATCCCTGAAGGCCGAATAGATGGGACAATACAACATGTAATGTATGAGATCCTCTTTGGTTCTCATATAACAAGGACATATCCGCTGCTCTACTGGGATTTTTGCATATCTGCCTGACAGATAGGCCGTAGGAATGGTTTGAAAACGGGCCATAGTAAAGGCTCTCCGAAGAGTGGGATTGGTGATATTCGCCAAGTAGTTGGCGCATATTTTGACTGCTTTCAGTCGGGAAGCCAGTGGGAGGACCCTGGGATCTGTATTTTTGTGGTATCTAACAGAGCGTCTCTCTCCAGGATCCATTTCCGGACTTTGTCCGGGCTCCACCGTGAGGATATTAAACTCCGGTAGGGTGTATCTAACCAGGATCTCAGATAAGTTTTGGCGCCAAGTGGTATTCTTTTGAAAAGATACGAAGGCTTGTTTGGCCAATAAGGTGTTTGAAGAGTTTGCAAGGTTGATGTAAAATCGTAGGAATCTTAAGTGGGCCCTGGCAGACACAGAGGGTAAACCAACCTCCACCCTCAAGAAGGCTGCTGGGGTTCCTTGAGGAAGGCCTAGAATCTTCTTGAGATAGTAGTTTTGCAAAATTTCAAGCCGTTCCAACAGCCTCTGGTTCCACCCCCGAGTTCTATCCCATATAACATCTGGGGAATAGCTTTCCCAACGAAAGCTCTTAATGCCGGGATCACCAATTGTCCTCCCCTGGTATGGAAGAAACTAAGCAAAACACCAATTGTTCTTCGTGTTAGGATGGTTACAGCCTTAAAGTGGGCTAGCCAGCTAGATGTAGCCTGGAATGTAACACCCAGATATTTAAAAAAAGGGCACTGTTCAATCACTTGTTCATCTAAAGACCATCTAAAGGTGTGACGAGCTCTAGTAAACACCACAATTTTTGTTTTATCATGGTTTATCTTTAGTGAATTATGGGAACAGTAGGCTGCGATCCCCTCCAGCATGCTGCGTAAGCCTCTTCGGGTGAGTGCCATTAAAACCATGTCATCGGCATATAGCAAAATATTCAGGCGTTTACCTTCAAGGGCTGGAGCCGATGACTTGTACTTTGCCATGTACTGGACAATATCGTTTATATAAAAGTTGAAAAGAAATGGGGCTAGCAGGCATCCCTGTTTGACCCCTTTCCCCAATGGCAGTGGGTCCGTAAGAGTTCCCGATGGCCCAGTTCTGATTTTGACTGTAATGTCAGTATGTAACTCTCTGAGAATTTTTAAAAGTCGTCTGTCAATGTCCGTTTCATATAATTTTTTCCATAGTCTATCTCTACAGATTGAGTCGAAGGCAGATGTCAAGTCTACGAAGGCCACAAAGAGTCTGCTCTTATACGCTTTTGTAATTAATTATTCCAAATTGCTGCAACTAGTGCGCGATCAGAGACAGCGTCCAAGAGAGCCGATGTCCACACGGGGGCATTCTGCCTAGGGCCCTCACCCCCTTCTTTCGAATTAGGGGGTGATTTATGGGCACAGCAGGCAAGGCAGTGTTCCCCATTTCCTTGGGGCAACAAGGGAGGCTGCCTACTCCCATAACAGCCTCTTAATTACCCCGTGTGGGTCGGAGAGATGGTATTATTATTATTATTATTACTACTACTCTGGACAAGTCATCTTTGCCCCTTTCACCTGCAAGCAAACTGCAGGAAACACTAGACTAAAGTTTACAACCATTTCTGTAACTAACAGTGCATTTTAATGTTTTCATTCCTAAGTCGGGCCTTTGAAAATGTATAGTACTTTAGAGCTGATGTCTTATCAGCAGACATTTTTAGGAATGGAATGATCTCTATATGGAATACTGAAAGCTTGGGATACTTTGCCCTACTCTTTAAACTTTGGCTACAGCACATTCATTTACATGTTATTTTTTCATAAAGGAAAAAAAATAGATACTTTTCAAATATAGTATCACGTCCCAACAACTGGGGATAAATGAACTGTTTAACTGCTACTTTGTCCTCAAATAATTCAGATAGTCTTCACTCTAAATGTAAGTGTACCAAAAATGCCAACAAACAGCAAACTATGGCCACAAACACAGCTTGCTCGAGTCTCTAGCTGTGCTTTAGGCTTGTGGGTTTTTTGGTGTTTGTTTGCTTTTTCAAATTGCGATCATCTCTGCCACATAAAGACCACCTCTGCTTTTTAATATTTTTAATGGATTTCAAAAGCAGTGGTGAGTGGCAGGCTCTCATTTTTTCAAGAAGCACCACAAGTCCCATGGGATGCATATGTAAGCCCCAGAGATTGCCTAATGAAGGACCTCTGGAGATTGTATCCAAAATTTCCCCCTTAAGATTATTGCTCCCTGTCGTTGTTAGTGTTTGTTCTTAGAGCTAGGAAAGACAAACAGCTAAATTACTGTACAATGAACTATCTTAAGTAGAAGAAATACTGTAACTATTAATTTAGCTTTGTATATGAAGCTGACTTTTGAAAGGCTGTATTGGAAGGTGATACTCAGTATAATTTAAAAGTGCCAAATAAAATGAAAGGATATTGATCTATGTCTATTACACTGAAAAGGAAATTTTCGTAGTTCTCCTTTATAAGACATTCTAAAGAGCCTCCATTTCCTCACTGAATCCAGGAGTTCAATATCATTATAGAGTGTGCAACAGAAATCAGAGGAAGAAAACAAGCTTTCAGCATCACACAAGTCAGCAAGAAGTCATGAAGAAGCTACTACCCTGGAGCAAACAGAAGACGTAGAGCAAAAGCTAGCAGAGCTTATGGAAGGCGGGAGATAATGATCATTCACAACCTCAAAATTGCCTAGGATGCCCAATTCTTTAATGCTATTTTAATCACATAAAAGTTATAAACCTGCACCAAGACCATTTGTTTTAAAACCCTGCTCTTGTACTTAAAAGATGCCTTAGCCAATCTGGATTCTACAGATTCTGCTAAACTAGAAGACTACTCTTGGTTACGTTTATACACAGCAGCATCTTACTATAACTCACAGTGTCAGCTACATAGCAACAATAAAACCCAGTCTCCTGAGCTCTCTGTTGTGTTGACACAGCAAGCAAATTAAAACAAGAAGCTAGAACATTGCCTTTTAAAGCTGAACCAACACTTGGCAAGCATTAAAAATAAATTTTAACAAAACTGTGCTACTCAGGAGTATGTATTGAGGGAAGGGAACCATGGCTCTGCAGAGGTAACACAATGAACTAGTTGTGCACATCCAAGAATTCAATCTAACAAACGCTACTTATCATAAGCAAGCCTCAGTTAAATGAATGGGTCTTTAATAACAGGCAGATCATGAGCGCACTAATTTGCCTATGGATCATCATTGCATCCAAACTCAGGTGCTTAGCTGGTCAATGCTAAGGGCCTCAACAAAAGACAATTTAGGTGTGCACATACACTGTAAAGTGTAATGTAGCAATGCGTTTGAAAATTCAGATATCACAGAGGAAGCCAGAATTGGCTACGTCTCTCTGTCAAGTTACACTAGCAAGGGAAATTGATTTTGGTATGGAATGTGTCAATGAACCTTACTCCAACATAAATGGGATTAGGATTGCACCTAGTTTTTTTTTTAAAAAAAATTAAACAAATTATTATTACACACACAAACACACACACACACACACACACACAGAGAGAGAGAGAGAGAGAGAGAGAAAGAGAGAGTGTATACCTTTCAAAGCAGCAAAAGGTTTGAGTGCCATTCTTCCAACCATACACTCTTTCAGCATCGATTCATAATTAACCCAGCGATGAACCTGCATGTAGAAGAAACCAGGACTATTTTAGAGGATTCGGGCACTTATAATAACACTTGCTTCTAAGCAACTGTAAAGGTATAGTAAAAAAAAACAACGAAAACTTGTTACATAGAACTTCTGAATGAAAACAAAGAGAAGCAGAGATAGGTCCTGATCCACCATGGAGACAGAGGTACTAAAGTGGCATAATATGCTTTTCATTTTTAAGAAATGTAAACTCAAAATAGGAACAATGCAACTAACACATGGAGTAGCACTTAAGCTTCTGATTTAGCTATTTAAGAGGGCACCTTGCTGAAGTTGTACCCAATCGCTTAACAAGTGCATGATATAAATGAATTTTCAGTTTCTTTTTGGAGTGGACTCATGAACTTCTCTCTTTCCTTTCCTCTCACTTGGCCAGGAGGAACACAATGGAAGCTTTTACTTCAAAACAACACATCTTACAACTCAAAACATCAAAAAATTGTTGTTTATCATGATACACACATTATACACAATTAATTTTAAAATATTGTAAATGACAGAATAGTGTCTTCTTCTTCAGGCAGCAGAATACTTTATAGTGTGCAGCTTTCAGATTAAGTTTTGATGAACTAAATATGACCTGTACTCTTTTTACCTGATCAAATAGCTCTGTGCCATCAGCTCCTGCTGCTTTCATCAACTCATCTTCGCCACCAGGGTGATATTCCATATACGGTGTGATATTATACACAAGACCTACAATTTTTGTAAAAAGAATTTTTAAAAATCCAATTAAAACATGCAGCATGCCCTCTATGAAAAAAAATATTAAATATATCCGCATTGCTCCTTTATTATTTTGGCAATACTGAAACAGGAAATTGTACAATGAAAGTGGTTATATTCACAAAAAGGCAGGAATGCCACGCTAGGTAAACCTAAGGCACAATATTACAGCACATGTGAGAGCTTATGTTCTGGTGACGAGGCATCTGAGAGTCCAGAATCCAGAGTCACATCTATCCTTGCTTCAGAGGAAGTGGTAGATCCAAGCATACATCCCTTCTTATGTGCATGGTTACCCTTTCCCCTAATCAATGGAGATGTAGTCACATTGGGAAGATCTCTGTGCATGCTCTGCAACATGCAAGGAACCAGGAAAATACATATATTTACTTTTGCAACCAACTACTGAAATAAATATTCATAAATGTATAAACTACATGTCTAAAACACCACAGAAACCCCTCAGAACAAAGTCCTGAAACGATTTTGTCTCTCCCAAACGACCTCAAATATTTCTCTGCAAGGTGAAAGGAAAAGGGGAGCCACCCCATTGTCCCTTTGCTCACAAATCCTGTCTCAAGGGCACATTTCATATATGAATGGGGTGAGCCTGTGACCTGGATTCAGGGATTGAGTAGTTATTATAACAAAAGAGTGGCCAGGATTCCCAGGTAATCCAGTCAGGTAACCTGGCAGACAGGATAAAAACAACTCACTCAGATTTCTGTTGTAGTCCGCCCCTTCTCTGATGTACGTATGATGTATTGGGGGGGGGGGTCTTGGGCTGCACCCCTTCTGTGATGTATGTATGATGTATGGTGGTCTTGAGCTACAGGGTGGGCAGTTCAAAAGTCTATATAAGGGCTTGCACACCTTTGTCTTGGGTCCTCCTCCTCTCTCCTGCATGTGGGGGAGCACCCTGTTGCAACAGCTTTAATAAAAATCAGGCTTACTAGCTGCTTCACTTCCCAATATTCTCTGGATGGCCTCTGTTATTTTCTCTTTCTGATGGAGAACCTACAAAGGACTCTATAAGGGCTTTTGTGGACCCCATAAGGGAAAGAGTTCAGTTTTTGTTTACAACATAGACAAGGGATCCACTCTAAGAAAAGTATTTGCTGATAAATGGGCTAATCAGAACTGTGGGGTTCTCTCTCATTACAGACTTGCAAACTTGCAAAGCTAGAAAGCTACAACAAATCTACTAGGTTTCAAAAATGCCCCAAGACTGTGTGTGCATAACACTGTCTATTTAGCAGTAGCACAAGATACAGAGAATAATGCTTTAGGGACTCATGGACCACTTGTCCAAATATTTTGGCTCAATACAGATGTCACATAACAAAGCCTTTCATCCAATATGCACTCAGAATGCCATCTAGTGTAAAGTACTGAGCACTGCATATCAGAAAAGGTATGTTAACTCTGAAAGTAGATTCAGTCACTTTTTTGTTCATAGGTATCTTTGCAGTGTGTCCTGGGCAGACAGGTGAATTTATAACATCACTGATAAAAAAAACCAGAAGCGGGTATTTCACCAGTCAGAATGATGTGAGTGCCATTTTAACGCTATCACAATGTAGCTGATGTTATAGAAAGGATCCTAATTTGTTCATAATGCATGGAAATGCTTTTCTTTCTCAAATCATGAGACCCACAGAAAATGTAGGTGATGCCAGCAAGTCAATACATACAAATTTATATAAGGTGTGCTTCCCACTATCATTTACACAAGATTTTAATTATAGGTAGGTAGCCGTGTTGGTCTGCTGTAGTCGAAACAAAATAAAATAAAATAAAATAAAATAAAATAATAAAAATTCCTTCCAGTAGCACCAACTAAGATAGTTATTGGTATAAGCTCATAGTTGGTCTCTAAGGTGCTACTGGAAGGATTTTAAAATTTTAATAATAATAATAATAATAATAATTTATTTACGGTATACCCTGCCCATCTGGCTGGGCCTCCCCAGCCGCTCTGGGCGGCCTCCAAAAAAATATTAAAATACTGTAATACTGTAAATTTTATTTTATTATTTTATTTTGTTTCGACAAGATTTTAAGACTTTGGGGGGGGGAGTATGTCAGTTGTACAGTGGCATTTAACAGGTGTGTGTAAATACATATATTACTGCAATTAATGGTACTCTTCATAGCCAGGCAACTCAGTGATTATTTTGGTATATTAGATTCCTTATTCATGTTTCAACCAAGCCCTACAACAAGCAATTTTGCCTTTGCATTTAGTGCTTTCCTAAAGCACAAAGCAATTATAGCTATTACCATGCATTACATCTGTGCAGCTTGGCAAAATACTATCTACTATAGATAAATGTTTCATATTTTCCGGAGCATTAAAACTACAGCTGAGAGAGGAATGAGTTCCAAGCTGGCCAATGCCAGCAATATACTCCACCTGGAGGTATTTTTTTGAAATGAAAAGCAGCATTCAAGAGCACAAAAATAAACAGTGAAAATGGAACAAAGATGTTTACAATGTTTGCCAGACTCTGTTTGTCAAGTCCAAGGCCAACAGGAAAAAAAACACACTGGAAGAAAATTAGAGGTTAGTAGAAGGGAACACATATGGTATTAAGTCTTCCAGGGAAATCTAACAGTGTATTACCTTGAATTCATGAACCATGGCTCTATCAACAGCAGTCCACTATGACAACAAATATGTAGAGTCAACATGTACAAAAGCTCTACTTTCAGAGGCATCAAGCCTGTCTCTACTAGAAGCAGAATGCTGGCCCTTGGTTTTCTCCAGCAAGGCAATTAATTTGCCCCACAAACCTCGCAGAAGCATTCTGTAAGCACAGTTTGTGTGTCATTTGGCTCTCAGCCTATTAGTGTACTGGTCAGGACGCAACCCGGAATGAAAAGAACAGTCCAGGGAGTCAAATGATGTTACAGAGAAATACAGGAAGCTTCCTTATACCAAGTCAGTCCACTGGGTCCATCTAGCTCAGCATCGCCTACAGACTCTACACTGATTGGCCATGACTCTCCAGGTTTTCAGACAGGGTTCTCTCCCAGATCTACCTGGAGATGCTGGGGAAATGATGTTGGGACCTTCTGCAGGCAAGGCTAATGCTCTTCCATTGAGCTATGGCCCTCTCCAAATATTATTCTTCCATTTGAGGAAAAACAGGTGTTCGGTGGTTCATATTCTGTTTGTCTCTCTTGTTTCTAGCATAAAAAAGCAAGGACTCAAACCTGAACCAAAACTTTTTTTTCCTGAACCTGAACAGAATTAAAGTCCATTTGATTGCTGATCTCAGGATTCTTATAAGACAGGGCAGACAGTCCAACTTTTCATACCAAGAGGGCCACAAGAGTACTTGAGACAAAGCCTGTGGGCTGTACACTGCCTTGTTGTGTGGGGGAGCAAGCCCAAAATTTCACACACACAGAAGCCAGCTAAGTGAGGTGCTGGACTTTGGAAAGGAGGCACAAGGCTCTGGAAGGGTCCTAGAGCCCCTCCCACAGCTGGGAAAATGCTAACTGGGCTTTGGGAAGGAGGCAGGACGACTCTAGAATGCGGTCAGAGCCCCCATGCCTCCTTTCCAGAGGCCAGCACCTCCTCTCCTGGCTTTGAGAAGGCAGTGTGAGGGCTGTGGAGGGTGTAATCAAATGTTGCCACGGTCACCAAGAGGCCTCGAGGGCCACATGCAGTCCTTGGGTTGTGTGCAGGAGAAAGAGAACCTAGGTCCTGGAGCACATGTACCATCTGCTCCTGACAGAACGATTAATGGTCTGAGAAAACCGCTGGGGCAGATCCTGCCCCACCTTCCCTTGGACAACCCTGAAGGAGCCCAGGAAAGGAAGAACACATACCATCAGCTCACAGTTGGCCTGAAATGACTTTGTGACTCTTCATTTTAAATAGAGTGGTACCTCGGGTTACATACGCTTCAGGTTACATACGCTTCAGGTTACAAACTCTGCTAACCCAGAAATAGTGCTTCAGGTTAAGAACTTTGCTTCAGGATAAGAACAGAAATCGTGCTCTGGCGGCGCGGCAGCAGCAGGAGGCCCCATTAGCTAAAGTGGTCTTCAGGTTGATAACAGTTTCAGGTTAAGTACAGACCTCCGGAACGAATTAAGTACTTAACCTGAGGTACCACTAACATATTTGTTTTAATGCTTTAAAATAGTAAACTGCCTTGGGTGCTTTGGCAGAAAGGGAATTGCAGTCCAACAACCTCTGGTCTATTGTCTTTACTAAAGGGGCATCATTTCCCACGTCCCCTAGTGGGCAGTAAGTTTCAGAAGCACTCTCCGCACACCCATTGGAAATTCCACAAATCTGTTTCTACTTTGCTTATGACAGAGGATATACATTTGCAGTATATTTCCAGTAAATGAAAGGCAAGGATAACTCTTTGGAAGGTGAGTGAGAAAAAAAAGAATATGCTCAAAGCAAAATTTTGGACAATATAGTTCCAGGTGTTCACTTGCTGCTATCTAAATGCTAAATGGCATTGTTATTAACTAATCTCATTAAAGGTAAAGGGACCCCTGACCATTAGGTCCAGCCGTGACCGACTCTGGGGTTGTGGCGCTCATCTCGCTTTATTGGCCAAGGGAGCCGGCTTACAGCTTCCAGGTCATGTGGCCAGCATGACTAAGCTGCTTCTGGCGAACCAGAGCAGCGCACGGAAATGCCATTTACCTTCCCGCTGCAGCGGTACCTATTTATCTACTTGCACTTGAAGTGCTTTCGAACTGCTAGGTTTGCAGGAGCAGGGACTGAGCAACGGGAGCTCACCCCGTCACGGGGATTCGAACCGCTGACCTTCTGATCGGCAAGTCCTAGGCTCTGTGGTTTAACCCACAGCGCCACCCACGTCCATTAATCTCATTACCTAAGCTCTAATAAAACTTTAAAACCACTTACACATATTTATTTTGTTATATTTATTTCCTCTATATAAGAGTGGCTGGGGAAACCCAGCCAGATGGGCAGGGTATAAATAATTACTATTATTATTATTATTGCATAAAAGCTTTGGGGGAAAATAAGTAGCAATAGCACATTCATAAAAAATGTCAATAGAGCAGCCTACCTCTTATGCATATCCAACAGTCAGTCCTCTTATTATGCTTAGCAAGCTCTTCTTCAGTCACCTCTATTAATCTTCCTTTTAGACCAGTTAGATCTTTCCCACTTTTAGTTAATCGAATCCAGTCCATAAGACTTCGGCCTGGTTTCAAAGGTACCTAGAAAGGAAGATAAGTTTGTGGAGGAAGATAAGTTTATTAAATAATTAGCAACAAAAAGCAGAAGTAGATTGGTTTCTTGCCATCCTTTATGGTGAACAGCAAAAATCCTCGTTTAATTCTGGCACACAAAGACAAAGCTATATAAAGCAGAAGAAAATAACCTTCAGACAGAGCCATAGCAGACAATGGTGAGGAAAGTTAGCATGCAGGACTGCTTCTGAGGTAAATACAAATATGTAAGCTAATAATCAGAAGAACTGGGGGAGGGGGAGGGAAGTTCAATTTATTCCAGCCAAGTTCTCCTATCCAAACACGTTTCCCTGAACAGACTCTTGGAATGGGGTATAGTTTAAGGTTTTTTCAGGCTGTGTGTGTTGCTGTTATTAATATTCACTTTCTGTATCTTTTTTTTAGATCTTATAATTTATGTGAAAATTGTTTAACTTGGTTGTGCACTTTTGATATTTTAGTTATTATTTACGGCTATTTTTGTTAAGTTTGCAATTAGGGATTTTTTTCATGTTGTTAGCTGCCTTGAACATGACTTGAACTATGGAAATGTGGCATAAAAATAAAAGTATGTATGTAACCAAGCCCCATGAACATCATTATAGCTAGTGGTCTAGGCTCTTGAATTAATTTTTTTATCACAATTTCATATCCTGGCTTGTCTGTAAGCCAGTAACTATAGTTTCCTGGTTCTGATGTAGTGGGAAGTTATGGTTAACTCTGGCTTTGTGCCATATTTCACTGCTCATGGGAAGGGAGGAGTAAAGTAACTACTTAATAAGCCAATATTTTATAACATAAAATATTGGCTTATATTGGCAGTCATTGTGCATTTAAGTGCTCTAAGTGCACAATTTAGGCTTGGTCTTTACTTCTATATGAAATTAAATCAGCGACAACATTGGGCCTGGCGGTGGGAGGAGAGAGAGAAGATATACAAACTAGAAAGACAAGCATACAGCAAATCTCGTGGTCAAGGAGACTATGCTTTAAATGCAATTGAGAACATGTAACATAGGGGATTTTAAGGGAGGCTATTGTTTCCCCAACAGAATTTCTATCTCCCTACAATAGGGAGATACTTATGCTGGAAAATACGCAACTTGTGTATGCATGAGGAACACAACACTGCATCAGTTCCTGCTTTTCCTGCATCTTTAGTCACTCTAAATTTCTATTAAACTTCTCCTTAGATCTTCAATATGGGCAGAACTTCACTCCAATTACTACTGTTATTTGTGACACACTTAACAGCTGCGTGGTTTTTAAAGTGCACATTCTTCTCTAAAGCTCAAGCAGCACTGCCTGCAAAAGAGCTGTACCATGAAAAATTCATTGACTCTACTTGTTGAGGACTCTGCAATTTCCACAGCCCACCACATTACTCAACAGGAATCAGCTGACATACCAACACTGTTGCCACATGGCTTCAGCCTTATACATGACAGCCCACTACGTAGTTCCATAATCACAACAATCAGCTTGAAGACACTTTGAAACCAATCTTCCTTTATGCAAATGTTTCCCATACCCTGCCACTATTATAGTTTTAACCAAACACCACACTGGACTTAAGTTGAGTCCCAAACACATGAAAGGAATAGGATGCACAGAAGCATCTATAGTCTTTCCACAGCCCTAAAGAACAAAAAAGCCAGACACCGCCCGTCAGCTATTAGGGCTTCCAGGATAATGAGCGTATTCTGAAAGCAAGCTTGAACCCTGGAGCTCCCTTCTCTTTTAGAAACTACGTGCCCCATAATTACACAACAGTCCTCAGAAAAGAGGAAACAGCCAGATGCATCTGTGTTGCCTTGCAAAACACACACACAACACAAGAAAAGGCAGCACGAACTGCTCTTAACCTAAAAACACCTCTGAACCTCAGTCCCTTAAGGACTGACACCATCCTCTCGCCGGGCAGAACTTTAGGAGCTGCATAACACAGAAACCAAACAGGTACAGCTTTTCTCACTTCCTACATCTCCAGGCCAGGAAAGGCTTCACCTGCCGAGTTTCCGCCTGTAACACCCATCTGGGTTCAAGATCTCTACCCTCAACGAGCAAAGGAAGCGTTAACCCCCATTCCGCCTCTGCAGGTGCCAATGCGCAAGGCGACCCCTCTCACACCGCCAGTTTGCCCTGGGACCCAGTGGCGAGGAGTACCGCAGACCCCCCGGCCCCAGCTCCCGCCGCACCTTGCTGCGCCCTCCCGCGGCCACCCGCTGCTGGGAGCCTGGGGCAGGGAAAGCTTGAGAGGGGACGTTGAGCATCCTGCCGGCCGCAGGACAGCCGCCCCAGCCGCCGCCTCCTCTTCTTCTTCAGAAACTGCAAGCGGACGGAAAGAGCCGCTTCCGGGTCCGGCCCGGCGCCGAAGCAGCCAGTAGCTCAGCTGAAAGGCAGGCGGAGACTTAAAAGGCCGTACTGCGCAGGCGTGAGGTTGAACCGGGGCGGGGCGGGTGCTTGGAGCTCTCTCCACCGACGAGGGCGCGTGCCTAGGCCCCACCCACCTGAGTTGACTGACGGCGGCACAGCAAAAACCCACGGCGGGGGCGGGATCTTCCGCCCACGTGGTCCAGAGACGCTCCTAGCTGGCCGCTTAACCGCTTGCCCGTGTTTTGTTTCGCGCGCTTGGTGCGCGGGGATTTGTTCCTTTAAAATGCTTGCATCCTGCTTTTCGAGTGGCGCTTGCTCCAGGTGGCGGCAGAGGATCGTACAACCATAACATCAATAATAACAACAACAATAATAATTCGAAGTATTATTATTATTATTACCATAGCTGTCAACTTTCCCCCTTTTTAAAGGGAAATTCCCTTATTCCGAATAGGATTCCTCACAAGAAAAGGGAAAAGTTGACAGCTATGATTATTACTAATAATAGTAATGCGAAGTATTAAAATAGACGTCAGTTTTGCATGGCTGGGTATTCCTGCCTCAACAAAAAAGTATTCAGTGCAGTAAAGGTCGCCTGTCTAATCTCTCAGCCTAACCTACCTCACAGGGTTGTTGTGAGGTTGAAATGGAAAGAACCACTTACACCACCTCACCTGTCCCACCCCCATTCCTGCGTTAAGCAGGAAGGTCTGATGAGGACTACTACACGTGTATAGCAACCCTACTCACGTTTGCATTGCCTATAAAGGCATAACGCCTGAATACAGTTACTGTGGATCTCCATTAGCATAGCCAGGGTTTTTTTTGGGGGGGGGGTGCAGAACCTCAGTTTGCTATGTAAGCTACACCCATGAGGATCTCACTATTTGATAGAGTACAGTTCTGAACTGTTTAGCCCACAGCAGTCCCTTCAAAGTCAATGGAGTTACTTCAGTGGATGAGTAAGCAATCTATGCTGTAGAAAAGTGCTCAGAATTCAGTACATATTATGCTCTTTAGAAAATCTATGTGCACCAATGATTTAGGACTTTTTAATAAAACCCACTTTTCTTATCTGGAAAGTGTCTGTGTTTGGAGATCATACCATGCAACAACATGTTACTACTGCCTGTAAACACACTATTTATTTTGTAGATTTATATTCCACTTTTCAGAGAAACTTTCTTACAAGGCAGCTCACAATAATGTATAAAAACAACCATAACAACGAAATGAAAAAATACAAAAAGAAAGCCTAACTAAAAAAATTGTTTTCACACATCAGGATACACAAATAATCTAATAAGAAGTGTTCCTGAGTAAAAATGTCTTCAGAGTTCACTTAAAGGAGAAAGATTTCCATTACTAAAGCTGAAATTCTATGCAGCTTACTACAAACACACAAGAGCAGTATATGTGCTTGTGTGATTTTCATATACAATGTCCTACAGATGGATCTCACTTTGTTTCCCTATAGGAGCAATTTCTATATATGAACTACTGTATATTCTGAGTGGTTCCAGTTTCACACACATGGAACATTGTTTGAGTTTATGAAGTGTAAATCAGCATTGAGTTAATCCAGTTTATCAAGTCAGATACATTTTGTACTCCAGTTGAGTCTGGTTTTAACTCTTTATGGAGATTTCAGTAATCAAAAAAGGCAATGTTTACTCAAAAGCAAGCCCCATTGTATTCAGTGAGGCATGATATCAGGTAGGATAACTAGATGCAAAAGAGGACGGGGTTTTCCCCACCTTTGATAGTTGTGCAGAATAGGAAATTTCAGCAGGGAGTGCACCTTGCACAACAAGGTACATCTGAAATTCTCTATTCTACACAACTATTGAAGGTGATGGAGCTCCATCCAAGTAAATGTACATAGGATTACAGCCCTACAGTGCAATCCTATACTTGTCTATTCAGAAGTAGGTCTCACTGAGTTCAGTGGGACTTCCAGGTTAGTGTAGGATTGCAGGCTTAGATCCTTTGTTGACTTAAGAATGGAATAATTTAAGAATGAGCTGCCTCTTTCATTTTCTAAGGGCAGCTTCCAGAATGACAATATTTTCATATGTGATGTGTGACATGCAACACGGAAAACACAAATTCACATTTCTCCCTCATGCCGGTTTGTATGCTTCTCTTTTCAAACCTTGAAAAACAATGCAAGGCTGAAATTCTTACATGAACATCAGTTCCACTGAAATCAATAGGGCTTCTTCTGAATGAATATGTTCAGAATCAGGGTATGGGGCATAAAAAAAAAAGTTTCTTTTTAAGGGATATATATCTGGATATATATCCAGATTCCAATATGCAAGCTCACCCCTCCTTATTTCTGTCCCCTGCCACAATGCATCCAACCACCTATGCAGCTGTAATTGTAATCGATTCTGCTGCCCTATGGTACTACCAGCATAAAAGAGTTGCTATTTTCAGAGGAACAGAGGAGTGTAGCAGGCATAAAATGAAACAAAACTCAATATTGTTTCTATAAAAATGTAAAATGCTTGATTTTTAATGAAAAATAACTTACATATAAATTAGTTTAAAATACTATGATAGCATGTTGATATCAATATTAAATTAAGGAATGAATATGAACAGTGGTATTAACATTCATTATAATTAAGAATCCAATTCTGCTCCAGAATCATGTTCCGAGTCATCACTATCTTCCTCATTCTCTGAATCTTCATAGAAGGAAATTGTGGCTTGGACAGGAAAGTTCTTCAGAAGTGCTTCAGCTTCTTGATACAAGTAGTCAAAGCACCTTGATTTGGGCCAGAATAACCTAAAAACACACAGAGACAACCTGTTCTGTTAATTTAATATTTCAGGGATTCATTTCAGTCTAGTTGACCTAGGGTTAATGTGAAATAACTTTTGCTGAAAATTACTTCTTTAGGTTTTAGAGTACATGCGTAAGAGGTAATTGGTGGAGATTGGATACTTCACCTTAAGCAAGTGGATCTTCTTTCGGCTTACATGGTGGGTACCATTGGATGCAAACCAGAGTTAGGAGCTATAAAATGTGGCTGCACTCTGATACTCCATTTACTAGAGCTACAAAAGTCCAGCAGGAAATGGAAGTTTAATGAGAAAACAGGCCCTACTTATGCCTAAATGTAACTAGCGGCATTTCACACCTAAAGTTTCCCTACAATTAAATATTAAATGATGCTGCAAACCTTTCTGAATGGTTTGGTACTGGTAATAGCTCTGCTCTTGTACTGCAAAAGGCGTAAATGTACTACATTCTTAGTGATGACACAGAACTTTGGTTCCGCAGGAGCTGCTTAGTGGGCCCATCACTTCAGTCTGCAACCTAGTTCCCCACCCTTGTGAAAATTTCTTGTCCTTGGCCAGAATACTTAAACATACATTCTGCAAAACTCTAGAATTAGTAAAACAGAAGCTATGTAAGCCCTCAAACACAATTATTGTTGTACAAGGTCAAACAGATACCTCTGACAACTCAAACACCAGATATGGTTTGATAGCATCTGATGGGAAATTTAACAATGCAGGTCTGAATTGCTCCTGGGCACATATAGTGAGTAGGACATACACACATACAAGAAAGGTTAGCTTTGCACTGGAACCTTTGCCATGATGCTTGATACTGACAACTCTGCATAGTACATTTTCCCGTTCCCCTGGGTGAAAAAACCAGAAACAGTTATACAACTGAGGGGGTGGGGATGAACAATCTGGTAGAGAGTTTTTCAAACTTATCTCATCCTGCCACACAAACTATGTAGTCCACAGTTCTCTGGTGCAGCGAATGAACTCACCCAGGACTGCAGGGTTGGGAGAGAGAAGAACATCTTTCATGTGGAATTGTAATATACACCATAGGAATCATGGTCTTCAATAGGTGGGCCACGTGCTATTCTATGACCACCAGGAGAGGCAGGTGTGCAATACAGGCAGCAACCTCATAAAGCCTTGTGGGTCAGAGGGACAGTGCAATGATGTAGCTGCTGCCTGAAATTAACAAAAAGTGTCCACTGTTCTGCACCATAACCATTTCCACCTGTTGGTATTCTTCTCACTAGGCAGCTGTTAATGATTCCCTGCTGGGAAAAAATAGTGAAAATGGCCCTAACAGAAACTGTAAATAATAATATTAATGCTTACACCTTACCTGACTGGATGTATATACTGTGTGAGTTTTGCTGAGTCTGTCTCAGAAGAGCTGCACAACTAGGAGTAATAAACAGGAGACACAGATCAAAAACAGAATGATTAACAGTATCCAGAAAGGGCAGTTTCAAAAGTAATATAAAAACTATTCCTGAGCATGGAAAATTTGTGGAACGTAAGGAAGCTGATTTCGTTTTAGCCATCTGTGGTCCACCAGATGCTGCTGAACTACAACTCCCATCATCTCTGACCACTGGCCAGGCTAGCTGAGGGTGGATGAGAGTTGGGAATTCAACAACATCTGAAAGGACCACAGGTTCCCCAGCCTTGCCTGACAGATAAGACATGCATATTCAGGTATCACTTGTGAAAGAAACATAAAGCAACATTCCAGATATCAAAAAAGAGTGTCATCCTGTTTAATTATTGACTTGGCATTTTTAAATGACCAAAGCTTTATAATGCCTTTATAATGGATTCTTATTTGTATTACTTGGTTGTATTTGCTGTATTTCAATTTTACAGTTTCTGTAACCTGCTTAAAGTAAAGGTAAAGAGGCCCCTGACCATTAGGTCCAGTTGTGGCCGACTCTGGGGTTGCGGCACTCATCTTGCTTTATTGGTCGAGGGAGCCAGTGTACAGCTTCTGGGTCATGTGGCCAGCATGACTAAGCCGCTTCTGGCAAACCAGGGCAGCGCATGGAAACACCGTTTACTTTCCCACCGGAGCGGTACCTATTTATCTACTTGCACTTTGACGTGCTTTCGAACTGCTAGGTTGGCAGGAGCAGGGACCGAGCAACGGGAGCTCACCCTGTCGCGGGGATTAGAACCGCCGACCTTCTGATCGGCAAGTCCTAGACTCTGTGGTTTAACCCACAGCACCACCCACGTCCCTGTCTGTAACCTGCTTAGGGATTTTTATTTTTGCCAAAAACATATATAACTTTTCTAATTAATTAATTAATTAAAGCATGCCATCAAAATAAGCATGACGTTGCCCTCACTATTGCCAACTTGGGCTCTTTGGGAAGAAGGGTGGGATATAAATTGAAGCAGCAGCAGCAAGGACATAAAAATAATGTCAAATCCCAATATGACTTCCTTGGAGGTTTTTGAGCAGAAGTTGGCTGGCCCTCTGTAATGGTTGCGTTGGCTGAGATTCCTGCATTGCAGGGGGTTGGACTAGATGACCCTTGGAATCCCTTCCGACTCTACAAATCTATGACTTTTCCCGAATTGTGTTTAACTGACAGCCTGAAAAGGAAAGGACGACTTTCCCTTTCTCGCTCCTGCACACCCACAAAGTTAACGATCCAACGACCAGCTTCGTCAGGAGAACACAACTCCCCACTCCAGCCACCCCACGTGGGATTGTTGCCGCTTTAATCAGAATGGACACACTCACCGCCCTGTAGTTTCGCCTGCGCTGCCTTTCTGCATCTTTGGGGGTGGGAATCCAAGGTCTCCAGAATCCTCCGGACCTGTAAAATCAATAGAAGGGAATACAGCTTTGCGTTAGCTGGGCGACACAAAAAAGTGGTCGGTTGTTGGAAAGGAGGGTGGTGGAAAGGAAAGGAAAACACTTGAAGCCTATGATTTCTGGAGCTGGCTGGCCGGCTAGCGGGTCTGGAGGAAAGCGCGGGTTACCTCGCTTGTCCTCTGCAGCAGATCCGGGCGTTGTGCGCGCCAGGTGGAGAAGCACAGAGGCGCAGCCGAGAGCTGTCCATGCTGCGTCGCTGGCAGCAGTCGAGGCAGCCCAAGTGGCGCAGACGCCGCTGGCGCACCGCTTCCTCTTCCTCCTCCTCTCCTTGTCGTTGTGTCTCCCCTTCGGGGTTTAGCCTGGCCTGGGTTCTGGTGCGGCTGCCGCCCGAGGGGTTTTTATAGCTCTCGCCGTGCAGGGTCCCAGCCGCTTTCTCTCATTTGCCGGAGAGGTAAACAAAAAGGCTGCGCGTGAAAGGCGCGTCAGGGTAAACAAGGAGCGTGGACGCGTGCGAGCTCCAAATGGCCCAGGGAGAGGTTTGGCGAGGGAGTGTGAATCGCACTTGAGCAGACACATGGCTGTGTTGTCCTTCAGAGGGGAGAGACCACGCTTGGGCTCGGGCTGCGAAGTGGCCAGCGTGAGAAAGCCAGCGTGTGTATATCTGTGTCTGAGTGTGTGCAGTTTTGCTGGGAGAAATGCCGCTTCCCGCGTTGGAAAATTCCTGCAACTGTATTTTTAGTTCATTCGAATATTTAGTCCTCCCTTTCCCAAAAATCGTGTCCAAAACAACTTGTAATGATGAAACAATCAGATCCAACGCAGGGAAAAAACAACAGAATTGAACAATAAAAACAAATATATAAATTTCATTTTCTCTCTCTCTCTCTCTCTCTCTCTCTCACACACACACACACACACACACGCGGGCGTAGCCAGGATTTTTGTGGGGGGGGGGCAGGACTTTTGTTAGGGGGCAGAACCAACCAATTTGTCAGTTAAATATTTCTATTTTTTTACTTTATGGGGGGGGGGCAGCTGTCCCTTCCTGCCCCCCTTGGCTACACACTGACACATGTATGTATATAACAATTTTATATACAAATATATATATAACAATTTAAAATACAACAGCAAGAACAATGAGCTGAAACAAAACACCTGAAATACCTAAAGGCATCCATAGAACACCACAGAAGAAATGACCGAAAGTTTCAATGGAGCACTATCTAGTTTATACATGTTTTCCAGAAATTGCCCACTCCATGTTTATTTTTCACAATGAAGGCCTCCCCACATGGCCTCCACATGGTTGCAGGAAGGAGCACTTGGATCCTGGCCACATTGCATGGGAAGTACATGTGCCAGCACCACAAGCTTTGTGCCACTTACAAAATCATGGATGTTGCTTTAGCTCCTAAAGCTGGTCTGTGGTGTTGCGATAGAAGGCTAGAGTCAAAAGCTTACAGATTTGAAAGCACATTCCATGGGAGTCAAGTGTTTTCCATCAGGGTGCCAATTACATAGACCTAGTTTGTGTTGTTTATGATGCATTTGGCTCCAATTTTCCACATTTATTGGGTCACTAGGAATATTTCATCAGTTCGGGGGTGGCTTATGTTACCTTTGAATTGGCGCTGTTGATTAGCTGCAGGAGGGTTTATGAGCTAAGCACACAGTAAAACAAAATACCACTCAAGGCAAGAGCAGGGGTGATCTATACTGAGGGAAAAGAGTGTTAAAGGTTTGAATAGTGGACTGGGAAACTGGTACTGCATGATAATATGCAGAGGAACTTTAGGAATATTTTATTCATAAGAAAAGTAATACTATTTGAAGTGGTAGTTGTCACTTCAATTATTTAAAGCAGGCTGAACAGTGCACACAATGTGTGCACACCTATAGAATGCCTATAGGTGTCATGGGAAGAAGGAAGAATGCACAGTGAAAAGCTGTGTACCAGATATTAGTATGGTCATAAGCCAAGCAAATAGCAACTCTCCCCCTGCCAAGGTAGAACAATATCATATAGTTAATGCACAGTGTTTTTTATGGTCTTAAAATGATCATTATTATGACTGGTAGGGCATATGTGAAGGAAGGGCTTGTATATTACAGGGTCCCCTCTGCAAGTTTAGTGTATGTGTGGTTACTGTTCCATGTGCAGAGTGTACAGAGACACATCTGCCAAGATAGGCTTGTCCATGTAATAGATTTCCATAGGAAGTCTAGCCTCCTGGTGAAGTGATAACCTGGGTGATGAGCCATTAAGTAGTCCACATTGTTGCATGTCAATCCAATCTCTGAGCAGTGCAAAATTCCAGGGTTTCCAGGCACGCTTACCCAGGGTTTGTGTTTCCTTCAGGAATGCAGCACAGTAGAGACTGTGGTGTATTTATGGTATATGGTTTATTTACATACATATGTACAATGTGAGACTACACTGGAGGGTTCATCAACACCCCAAGAGCGTTTTGCTTCCCCCATCATCAGAGCCTTGGATTCAAACAGAAATCATACATTGCTCTCAAATGTTGCTCTGACTCTCTCTTTCCAGTTTGCTGCTTTAGTTCTGGTCCACAGCACTGCAAAAAACTCTATTCCGGCTTTGTCTGTTGAGGAAGAGGCTCCACCCATTTGCTTTCTCACACTGAGCTCGTTAATCCCCTAATGGCTCATCACCCAGGTTATCACCTCACCAGGAAGCTAGCCTGGCTATTCCAAGAATTAGAAGCCTTGATTAAATTCTAACACTTGCTGGATCCAGGGATTAGAGGGGTCTGCCATATACATAGCTTAGCACCTCAAACTCATAGAGTGCACATGCAGCAGCAGAACTTCAGTTAAATGAATCATTGCTTGGAGCGCACGTTGGGTTGTAAAGTATTCAGACTGAGACTTGGTATAAAATTAAAAGTTTATATTTATTAAAGGAAGAACATTTTTTATATACCTAACTAGCTAGTAGGGATGCGGGTGGCGCTGTGGGTTAAACCACAGAGCCTAGGGCTTGCCGATCAGAAGGTCGGCGGTTCAAATCCCCGCAACAGAGTGAGCTCCTGTTGCTTGGTCCCTGCTCCTGCCAACCTAGCAGTTCGAAAGCACGCAGTGCAAGTAGATAAATAGGTACCGCTCCGGCGGGAAGGTAAACAGTGTTTCCGTGCGCTGCTCTGGTTCGCCAGAAGCGGCTTAGTCATGCTGGCCACATGACCCAGAAGCTGTACACTGGCTCCCTCGACCAATAAAGCAAGATGAGCGCTGCAACCCCAGTGTCGGTCACAACTGGACCTAATAGTCAGGGGTCCCTTTACGATTAACTAGCTAGTTGGAGAAACAAAGACGTTCTACTTGCCTTTTTGTTCTTAGAAGGTAGATCAAGATGGCCTTTCACTTTTAGGTCCTGTAAAAGTGTGAGGAGGAACAAGTTGTAAACAGGATGCAACCTAAGATGTATCAGTCTAAACTGAGCAACAAGTCAGCATAGAGATAAAGGTAGAGGGATAGTCTAGGAATCCTGAAGTTCATCAAGCTATCCGTGCAAACCCCATGCAAACTTCACTCATTAAGCTGAGTTGCACCCAAATTTCCAACAGGAAAGTCATTACTGACAGCAATTTCCACTTTGATGACACAGAAGATGCATAGTTTGGTGTGAAAAGATATTGAGTAGACAGCAGATGCAGTTGGCATACGTCTGCTCCAGCCGTTCTCCAAAATGGCCTGCAACCATCCTCTTGCAGCACTTATCCCATCAAACATGACTCCTCCATTCATAAAAAGTACATCAAACTACAAGTTTGGGGGTGTTTTAATACCAGCCCATTCCATTCTACTCCATTCCATTCCATTCACTGCATTCCTTTGCTATATTGCCAATAAGAACCAAAATATGTGGAATAAGGAAGGAAAGAAGCCTTGAGCTATGGCAAATAACATACATGCACTTCCCAGAGAGTGTCCTCCCTGAGATGGCCCCGAATCACATCTGTCCCAGTGCACTGCCAAGGATTGTGCCCTAAAGCCATTAATAGCCAACAGTTATAGAACAGAATAAGATAGTGGAGTTGTGCACTCCAAAATAATCTTGGGGTCACTACAAATGACACACCCACTCCTGCAGGACAGTATCCTCTGGAAGTTGATGTTGAATCACATCTAACACAGTGCTTAGTTTAGGTGCAGGTCATGTGCCTCCAATGCAATAATAGTTAAAACTATTTACTATGAGTAAGATGAGTAACTAGGGATGCACATCCCAAAATAAGCTTCGTACCATTACAGATCATACAGTCATATCTTGGAGAGTGTTGTCCACGAGGTGACAGTGAATTGTGACCTGTCCAACACTTTGGGTGCAAGACACTGACAAAATGTGCTTAAAGGTAGAAGAAATAAGTGGGGATGTGCAGCTCACAGTAACCTTTGTGGTACCTCAAATGATGCACCCAAATGTTGAGGAGAGTATGGCCTATGAGAAGCCATACAATCATGTCTGACCCAATGCAGGGTAGGTGCACATGATGCTGACAGGTGTGTGTGCCCCAGCCAATATTAAGACAAGATTTCTATAAATGAATAATGAACTGGGGGTAAACTTTGGACCACCCCAAATTTTATCTCTAAGAATGAATTCATATATATAGGCAATTGTTGCAACAATCAATGGAGTTGGGGCTACCCAATATCAAACTGAAGGGCAGATTATTTAAGACCTCACTGCCACTGTATTCCCAGGTGTAACACTTTCCTTTTCTCCCTTAAGAGTAAATGGCATCCATAAACTTATATGGAAGAAACAAAAGGGGTGAATGTAGGGTTGTGGTTGACTATTCAAAGTGGTATATTACTGCTTTCAACGCCTGGTGCAGATGAAGCCAAGGCCACTCTGCAGTTTGACAAAATGTTGGGAATTATATACCGTAGATTCCGGCATATAAGACAACTTTTTAACCCCGGAAAATCCTCTAAAAAGTCGGGGGCCGACTTATACGCTGGGTATGGGCTCGCTGGGCAGTGGCAGTGGGCGGCGGGCTCCACGCCGGGAGGAAGCTGCCCAGCAATGCTAAGCCGGTTTCGCTGGGCAGCTGCCTCCTGGCGCGGAGCCCGCCGCCCACTGCTGCTGCCCAGCAAAGCTGCCACGTTTGGGGGGGTCGTCTTATACGCCCAGTCGCCTAATACGCCGGAATCTACGGTACTTTATGAGTGTTAAAATATTTATTTGTGGTATTACAACTTACAACAGTTCTGCTA